ACACAGACAAGGGTTGAGGACATAACATGCGCTATCGACAAATTCAACAAGGACTTGGACTTTATAAAGAGCTGGTCAACGAGGTTTGGTTTGTTGGTAAATCCAACCAAATGTCAAGTGATCGTCGTGGGGAGCAAACAAATGATAAGTAGGTTGGATATGGCGGTCATCCCACCAGTTGTCTACAACAATGTGACTATACCTTATAGTGCAGTGGTAAAGAACCTGGGGTTATATATCGACTCGACACTTGACTGGCGGGCACAGGTTACACACGTCGGCCAGAAAGTCACCACATGTCTCCGTGCCTTATATCGATTGAAGAACTTCCTTCCCGCTAAAACTAAGGCTACGCTTATGCAGTCCTTAATTATTCCCATAATCGACTATGGTGATGTGTATTATTTCGACCTGAATGCAGACCTTCTCAATAAACTAGTTCGCCTTCTCAATAACTGCATTCGATTCGTTTTCAATCTTCGCAAGTATGACCACGTATCTGCTTTACGTTCCCAGCTGCAATGGCTCCCAATTCGTCAGCGCCGCAGTTTACGACTGACTTCTCTCTTTTCTTTCCTCAACTCTCCATCGTTACCTGAATACCTCGTACCCCACTTCCGTTTCCTATGCTCCAATCACGATCGAAATATTCGATCAACCAACAATATGCTTCTTCTATGCCCCCCTCACACCTCTAACTTCATCAACTCCTCCTTCTACGTCCAGTCAGTTCTCCTCTGGAATGCCCTCCCTGCCGAAATCAGGATGTCAACAAATCGCCCTGCATTCAAGAGAAAAGTGCGCGATCTTCTTCGGGGTGAATTGGCGAAATAGTTACAGCTCTAGTTCCCGACTAAGTATTTATATATTTTATTAAATTTATGTAGGTTTATGTATGCATGTGTGTTTTTATATTGTGTATGTTTCTGGACCTAAATTATGTTAATATCATATTTTATTTTGCACCTACCGCATCATATTTCTACATCACCTGAAGGTTGACTGGGAGAGAATGCCTAATGGCATTAAGTCCGTCTTTGTACAATATGTGCATTAAGTTTAAAATAAATAAATTATTAGCACCTGATTGTAACCACGACCACATCGTTATTCACCCACGCCCGGTGTCTGACAAATCCTTTAGTTTCAGGTGATGCCATTTACTATGACTTGCTAGGATTTATCTGGTGCCTATATGGTATTGTATTTTCGTAATCTCAAATAACCATCTCTCAAAAAACACCAATCTTAAATCACCAAATACATATCGAATAAATAAATACACAATATTTTACTCACAAATGAGCCATATAATAAACAACACTGGTGTTACATAATACAAAAACATACTTTTATTAAAAGACCTTAGGTACTTATTTTTAACTTCTCTTTAAGCTAAATTGCATGTGACAAAAATTGAAGTCTACGTACGTCGTATTTAGGCCTAACAACCTTGACGACTTATTTGGCACGGTTTTTCTCATTAACTTGAAGACCTATTTGGCTCAGTGGAAATATTTGTATCCATGAATACCCCCGTGGTACATGTATATTATGTACATACACACACTCACTCCCTCATTTTGGCGACTATAAAAGAAATCAGCCAAAATCATTTTCCATGTTCCACATTGTGCCAACTCCAAATACAATTTAAAAATGGAAGGGAAAAGGGTAGAAAAGTGATGATGACCAATAAGTATAACTATAATATATTAGGATCTACAACGCATACACTTTGTGAAGAGTGAGTAATACGAATATTATTGTGTTGAACAAACACGCACAAAAGAAATCCATATAAAATTCGAATTGGCGTGTCCAAGGCCTCATCACACATAAAGACTGCATTTTTATAAGTCGTCACTGACTTAAGTGTATTTACTCGTCTATCGTTATTCGATTACGATTTTTTTGTAAATTGTATTTTAGGTTACGATTAAAATATTGCGACTAAAACGCTTTTTTTTTTATTCTTTGCTAATTCTTGCTTCACTATAATAATAATATTAATAATTAATAAAAATTAACTTATTTCTCTCATAAGGTACAGTAGGTCTCAGGGTGTAACCCTACAGACGTAGGTACAGACGAGTGCACAGTATCGTAATTGTATTAAAATAAAATAATAAAAAGTCACTTAATTAAAGCTGGAGTCTATACTAGTCTCGAACCCTGTATGACAGATCTCCATAGTCCGACCCACAGGCCCACCACTATGATTGTACGAGTTGTAAATTTACTAATATGTTGATTGGCAAACACTTTCACATTAACACTTGACGTTATCAATAGCTTTGTCACTGTTTTGCATTAATTCATTTAATGCCTATAAGAAATGTACATTTGCGATAAAACTAGATAAAATATAAAAACCTAATGCCTTATCAGGCTTCCTACGCCCTACGTTATACAACCTAATTGTGACTAAGTTCTTTGAGACTCAACCTAGCATAAATATGTTAATAACTCAACCTATTTGTAACTATGTTCTGTGAGATTTACGAAGTTAATTTAGTTTAAATCGTAAACCGTAAGTAGAAAGATTAACTTAACGTCGAGGTCTAACAAGTTTATAAATCTAAGTCATAGTAACTTATGAACTTTAGTGGCTACATTTAAATTTAGTACCTACAAGTTGACAGCTCTAACCGCTCGTCTATAACTTAGTATGTATAGGTACTAATACCTACTGTAGTGTGAAAGAGATTTGAACGTTGATATACGAGTAATATTAACAGCAAAGCAAGACAATGTGACTTGAAGTGTTATAAGTTTGATTGGCTAAGATGTCCATGGGCGATGGTAATCACTTACCATCAGGTGACCCGTCTGCTCGTTTGACCCCCAATAAAACCAAAAAAAAGGTGTAAATAACAATAATCCTGAACACGGCTGAACTCTTCTCACTCGCCGAACTCTGATCATAAAGTAAAATTTCTCCAACAACATTAATCTATTTATTATGTAGACAGCAGTGAACAGAAAATATATTTTCTCTTTTGTTGTGTTGTTAACGACATCTGAAAATGAACTACTGATCAAATATATGTATTTGTCTGTGTTATAATTTTATATATCATGCCAAGCATAACTGTTGTCTATTTTTGGAGACACAAGATCTGTTTTGGCGTAAAATGTTGATTTATTTATTTTTATGTAGGTACAATCAGCAAAAAGCGTTGTTGACAATTACATGATATACCTGGTTCACTATAGTTAGTTAATGTGACTGTGGTATAGAATGCGTTAAACTACTGTCTTATTATAAGTAAATTACAGTACGTAGGTTTGCAGATAGATAACCAATTAATTTTCGAACATTTCTTTTACCATCTGGTTAATGCCTGCCTCATTTCTGAGATTTTTGAATATTGTCATTTTCGTGTTTATATTAACAGCTGAAACGGCAAAACTATCGAGATAATGTTAAAAGTAAAATTATGACAGGTCACCAGGCATATCACTGGTTAATTACCATATATCCTCGAGAACGAGTTCTATAACATAGTTTTCTACTATGTAAAATTCCAAAGCATAAAAATAACATAAAAATGCAAATATTGATTTTAATTTAGCTCCAACGGTTACAACTCATAAAAAGTTAATAAAGCGTGACTAACACAAAAATTCACATGTGCCGGGTTTCATAAAAATGTGTTAAATATTAAGTTTGCAGATATCTTTGCGTAAAAATGTAGCGTAGTGAGGTTACCAGAGCCTACACCCTCCCTCCCCCTTAAAGGGAGGGGGAACTCAAATAATAGAATCCTGAAATCGATACAATAATTACGTAATAGAAGCAAGAGAGGAAACTTCTAAGGGAACGTAACTGTAGGTTATTAGCGATCTGAATTGCACTTTATTGTTTCGAATCAAGAGTCGCTATTTATTTATATGATTTTGTGGACTGAGAATTCTGACGTGCTTCTATCAAGTATTGCGCGGCCACACTGAAACATTGCGTATGTAACGACCGATTAACGTATCTTGATAAAGACTTCTTAAATATTTATTTGAAAATATATATGGGCCGACAATTGTAAACAGTGTTATCTATTATACGTATTTACAACATATATTTTAAGATAAAAAAATATCATGTCTTGATAAAACTTACTTAACTAGCAATGTCGTAGATAAATGTTATTATTTCTTTATAGGCTTACCGAATACTAACTTTCTCTTTATATAAGTGGCGTTGCACTGAACACTGTTGACACTTTCGAGAAATGTTTTTTTTTCAATATTTGTCTAGAACGGATCCAATCAATGCTTTTGAAAAGGATTTGATAGGACGTTTTTTTTCACTCAGTTAAGTAAAAGTAATTTAAAAAAAGAAAACATTTTTCAGTTTGTTTTTCATATTCAATAACTATTTTGTCCAAAAAGATCTCACCGGTCACGGTATTAGTATCTCGGCCCTTCGTCAGTATACTTATTTCGGGGATTACCCGCACCAACTTGCTCACTCATAGGATCCTTAAATCCTTAACAAATTCGTTCTTCATTCATCCATTCAACATGTAGAAGCCATCAACAGCCTTTTTGAAACCTACTGTTTGATGAGAAATAGGCTATTTTTATATTTGATTTATTTATTAGCTCTTATTCTTGTTACAAGTGATTGTTAATCTCCACTTGGTCGTCGATTCTCGCAGAAACCAGAGAGACGAGAAATTAGTTTTATAAATCTCTGAATTGTGTAATAATAATATATAAATTTTATTTCAGGAAGCCTAATACAAACATAATTTAATAGTAATTTTTATGACATAATAAAGGCTAAAAGTTTTGCACAAAATCTTCTATTCTAGACGCCTAAACTAGGACACTTCCTGTATCTTGGGCGTCATATACACCTCTGTAAACATTAATTATCGTAATGCTTTTACAATTAACTTACATACCATTTAAATGTAATCCGAAAATGGTAAGAATAGTTATTACTATTGGTCAACAATGTCATATCTGTATTACAGTCAGCGGAGGTATACACGATGGTGAAAAAGGACTTAGATGAGATCGGCACCGCTGTGAAGAGCGAGGCGAGTCATGTCTTCTCTTCAACATCCAATGTCATCGGGAAGACACTCAAGGTACTCACGAACACTTGATCCATTACCTTTGACAGTTAAGGCGGAATGGCTAAGGGCCATTATGTGATTATGTGGTAGTTTCAAACTTAAATTTGTTATTCACTAGAAAAACTAAGTATTTACGTAATTTAAACTTCATCAATTGAGAATTAATACTATAAACATGGCAATTTTCTTTTGCAGTTGGATGTACCAGAATCGCCAGCAAATGTTATGAAAAAGAGTCTTAGCACTTTCATAGGTAAAAATATGTTCATTTTCTTTGCAATTCATTTTAAAGAATCGTAATCATGACATCACGAGCACACTTGTCTTATGGCTATAAATTTATGTATTTCTTTAACCTTCAGGTCAGGTAAGCACAGTGCTAAACCCTGAGCCGGATGATGAGGACGACACTGAAGTTATCCTGTCTTCAGGGGACACCACCATGCTTTCCACATACAAGGTAAGTTCATATGTAATCTTGTATACGCCATTTATGTGCCGTTGTAATATTAACTTTATATTTATGTACCTTATATATCATCAACAGTTTTTAATAATCCACTGCTGGACATAGGCTTCTCCTTAGAAAGGAAGTTTTGGCCTACTATACCACGCTGGCCAGACGGGTTGATACAGGGTTTGTGTCAAGTTTGCCTTCTTTTTGAGATGCTGGTGTCCTGCGTTGTTTTGCGCTCTTAGTCGGCTCTTACGACAACCACGGGATGAATTTGGGTAGTGACATTCCGTATCCTAAATCCGTCACTACACGGACTAAATATAACCTTATACAAAACGTTCTTGGAAAATCTTCATTATCAGCCTGTCGCAATCCACTGCTGAACGAGGGCCTCCTCCAAGGAGCGCCATTCTGGTCTTGGGCAGTCCGCATCCAGCCACTTTCTTTAAGGACTTATGGTCGCTGGAGCCAAAATGTTCTAGAGTGGAGACCGCGATTAGGCAAAACTGTAGGGCGCCCTGCGGCACGATGGGCCGACGAATCAAAGAATGTGAAAAACCTTAAACTACTTTCGTTGTCACGTTTTTTACTTTCTCTGTATTTTTTTTTTGCAATACACAATTAATGTCGCTGATGTTGCAAACTCACACTTACATATCTACAATTTAGCCACTGTTTTCTTCTGTTTACAGAAAGAATTAGAAGCTTTACAGCGTGTGGATGCCACTTTCATCGTGCCAGCATACAGCCCTGAGTTTGAGGCATGGCGTGCGAGCCTCGAAAATACAGAGGCTGCCGTTATATCACTACAAGGTGCAGGCCGACGCCTTGAGACCAGTCCACTGCTGAGGTCTCAATACGACAAGCTCGTGCCTGATGCTGTATCTCATGAGGAATTCTGGGAGAGGTATGTTGACATAGGGTAAAGGAAGGTTGTTGCTGGACAAGGCGGGTAATTTGTTTGAGAGGGTACTTTGCCCGTACGTTACTTCTCTGCCCGCATCGTCCGCCACCTCTACGAGGTGGGCCCCGATCTGTCGATCGCCCGATTCGGTACGTTCATCGGTCGGCGCTGTGCTGCACCTGAGGGCCGTGACCGAAGAGGCGGTGAGCTGTGGCGGCGTTCTGTTGGCGGTGTCACTGAACGTCGCCAACGCATTCCATAGTCTGCCATTCAGCTGCATCAGGGAAGCACTCCACTATCATGGGGTGCCAAAGTACCTGATACGGCTAGTTCATTTCATAGATAAAATAATAAAGGTTTTTGTGATGTGTGAAATGTTGTGTCCAGATATTTGTTTCGCGTGGCGTTATTACAAGATCGTTTGGCTGCAGCAGCTCGTAAACAGCCTGTGGAAGAGCCTACACAGGACCCCGTGCTCGCGCACCTGCCTATGCAAACTGCACAAGAACCTATTTTACAGTAAGTATAGGATAATTTATTTTATTATCACTTAAGTTATATTAAGAACTAAAACTAAAACGTTATTTTCATCAATTATTTCTAACCAAAAATACTCACTCAGTATCATAATTACTGTCAAACATACTAATTTATTTGACCAATTCGTTTCATATACGGGAAAGTGTTGTGGTTGCCATCATTTCTGATAGGTTTCACTATGAAATATCGTATACCCAACTATTTTCAAGATAATGAACTTTTTATACTACAACCCCATAAAGTATTTAAGTCGACTTACCCAATAACCCTGAATAAGTGCCAAGTGAAATCTTAAACACGTTAATGAGACTGTTTTAATTCCTGTGAGCATCTCGCTTTTATCTTCAACTACACACTACATAGAGCGCCCCACAGTACGAGAATACTGTTCATACATTTTGGTCCTTCGAGCTGAATGAACATCAAAATGATCCTTTTAATATTATTATGCAACAGAGTAACACGATTTTTTTCGAATTCTTAATTCAAAACAGACTTCGAGATCTCAAATACTTAAAGGAAAACGAAAATGAATTAATTTAATCTTAATAATTTTGTTATGTAATGATTATGCTCTTTATTTTAACCGACTTTAAACACTTTCACATAATAGCTTATTTCTTTCTAGATCCTATAAATAAATCCACATTTTATATAATAAATTATAGACATTATAATAAACACGATAAACACTTATAAAAAAGTTTAATGTAAATCAAATTTTTTTTAGGAGTCCTAAGAAGGTCCTGTCCGGCATAGACAACGAGAAGCCTGTCGAAATCCCAGAGCTAGACGACGCTGTTACTTGGGACGACGGTAAGTGAATAGGGTAGACACAATCATGTGCCTTAAATACTGAATATCGATAGTATACGTATCGATAACTCAGTTATAAAATCAAGTAAAGGCTGAATATCATTGAACTTTGTGAATTATATTGCTAAGTCCGTCCGGAACGAAACCGGAGCCTCGTAACCAGTCGTGATCGAATACTTTTTCGTCCTAGTATGAATCCAGTTGCGATCGAAGATTGATCTTATTTTTTTGTAACCAGTTCGATCGCAGCCTTTTTTGTTCTTGTCAAATTTTATATAGTACCGATTTTTCGTTAAAAAGTCTGTGTTCTGGATGCCCGGACAGACAAACAGATTAGTCTCGTGAATATGGCTCCTACCCCCTTTCGTCGCGTACAAAAATTTCCAAAACATTGTTGGACTTCTTGATGTTATTTTGGAAAAAAATGATGTTTTGTCTCCTTCATCAATGTATCTAACAGGTGAGCCATTGTCGGATACTTCTTCCCTATGAACCTATTAAATCTGTTGTGCCATCCTTCTATGTTGTTTGTGGTTCTGATATTTTCTTTCTCACAACAGCAAACTTTTGGAAAGTCAGTGTTTGTCAGCACCTGTTTTTTGAAATTCGTTATATCTTCGCCAAAAAGGCTCCATAATGTACCGGTATCCTTCCTGTATACATTCTTTCGGCAAGAAACTTTTCACCCTTGATGAGATATTCCACCTTTTGGCCTTCCGGAACAGGCATCTATTAAAGTGGTAGTAACACCCTTTGAATAAGATATTCGAAAAAACTTTTACACTGCTTGCATAACTGCGACCTTAAAATTAATTATAATTTCCACAGGATTCCAGTCAAGAAGAACAGATTTAATTAGATTGAATAAAATTGTATGTTTGTATAGTTTTGTCTTGGAGGAAGCAAAAAAATCATAGAAATCACAGACTGGCTTTGCACTACGTAAAGCTGCTTAAACCCGACTTGGTACGACTTAAATGTTCCATCAGCAAGAATATGCTTACATCGACCAATCAATTGTCTGCCTTTTTTACACAGAATATGATTCTTTTGTTATCCTCTTGATCGTCGTAATCCGCTAGTAGCAAATCTAGAAAAAAATCCGATATTTTCACTTCACTTTCTACTTTGAATCTTCTTTTTTTAAACACCCAGGACTTTATTCCGGGCAATCAAAAGCCTAGTTTTAACTCCTTCGTACTTAGGAATCTCTTCTACTAAATGTATACCATCGTTTTCAAGATGGTATACACTGGTGTTGTATTTTTTCTGTATTGAATCGAAATTTGTGCTTGTGCTTGCTTTAAGATTATCCAGTTCTTTTAGGAATTTTGCTTATAATAAGAATTATGAGCAAAATTCTGTTTACAGTCATCAGTATGCAATTAACCGACTACTATTTCGTTTCGGACATTTAAAGTGATACTCCTCTTGCAACCGTTTTTACTATTGCTACGGCATAACCAAAACGTGTTACCTTTTGAATAAATTTTCTTGCGATTACTACATAATACGCCATTGCTCCTATTCTATTCGTAATAAATTGAATTTCACCTACTTTTGAACACATTTTAATGGTAAGAAACGTTTCTGGTCCGGCAATTATTTATAAATATTAAATTTATTTATGATATGAAATACTTATTTATGATGCAATGACAACCAACATTATGCGATTTATCTTAAAAAGGAATTGGCCAGTCATTAATCATACTACTATGCGGAGTTTTGAAAACAAAACTCTTTGGAAGGTTATATATTGTTGATTGGTTTCGTACGAGGGTGATTTTGTCTTCAATCGCAACTACGAGTAGTTTCGTACAAGGACAAAATAATATTCGATCGCAACTGGTTTCGTACAAGGACGAAAAACTATTCGATCGCAACTGGTTACGAAGCTCCGGTTTCGTAGACGGTCGATGAGACAATCTATACAAAACAATTCCCGGTAATAAACGTAACAAACGAAATACAAAATTTTACTAGATATAGGGTTAACTTTCAAACTTTCTCGTTTTAGTTAACGTTAGGTATTATTTATACGGGAACTAACTGGATCAAAAAGTAACTGTTTTACTTTACCCCTGAATTGCCTGAAGTTTCAGCCAGGTTGCACTGATCGTAGTTAGTAGTAGCTTGTAAGTAATACTTATTGATTGCCTTAATTCCCTTATAAACAATAATATTATTATGTCATCAGATTGTTTTTAATCTATTTGAGTTTTTTACATTTGAAATCAATTTATTACCGGTATTGGATAAAATACTCTTCATAATTTTTCAATATACCTGATTGGTTCTATAAAACAAAAAATCAACTCTAAAAGATATATTTTTAAAAGTGGCATATAATTTGTCGTATATACTCAGCTGAATGGGATCCAACCCTTACAAACAATAAGTTCATAGTTCATAGTTCATTTATTCACAAACAATAATATAATTGTGTTTGAATGTATAACAATTCGCCGTAATACAAAAAATATTTAAAAATTAAAACAAAAATATAAATAACATAATAATCAAAAAACAAATAAATTTGATAGATTTTACAATATGTCATGCAGAATACAAAAAAAAAACGATAAATTATATTAAGGCATTTCATGATTCAAGAATATTATTCACAATATTTATTATTATTACATAAGTTATTAAGTATTTAATTGCATATATTTTGATTGATAAATTCATTGATGGAATAATAGTTATTTTCCAACAGGAAGGCTCCAAGTTTTTGTTTAAATAAAGAAGTCCTATAAATTACGCTTTTTATGCTTTCCGGTAAACAGTTAAAAAGTTTAATGGATTGATACTGAACACAGTGCCGAGCTATATTCATTCTAGGGTTTATTGTATGTTGAATATGTTTCCTCCGCGTGCTCTAATAATAAAATAAACGTAACTTATTATTAAACTTAGCCTTTATATTTTACTAAGGTCACATACATTGGCCATGGCACATATTTTTGTGGAAGTTTTCGAATATACTAATATAGAGATATTTTAATATTGCCTAATATCGATATTTGAATAACATGTTTATTGTTATTCAAATATCGATATTAGGCAATAGGATACAAAAATATCATTAAAACTAATATAGATTGTATTTCTGATTTTAGTTATTAAAACAAATGTAATACTTATATTCTTAATTAAATAAATTATATTTTTGAAATAGTTGTTTTTATATTCCCAAGTATTTTGTAAGATTTCCATAGACAATTTGCGCGTAGAAGTGTATCAATAATAAATCAGTTACAGACTTTTTAAGAATTAATTAATTCAAATAGAACATGACTAGGAGGTCCCTAGTGTAATAAATTCTTATTATAATATAATTTCGGTATAATAATATTTTTGCCATATTTTTAATAATAGACTTTTTTAGAGGGTATGAGGTGTGTAGGAGCATTTTTACAACGACCATTACTTTTGCTCTCGCCTTGACATGACATCATCCACTTTCCAAGTACATTCATTTCTTATCTTAAATTCTTCGTTCTTTTTAATATCTGTTTTTGAAGTAAAACTTTTTTACGCACGCTTGACTTGGGGAGTAAGCTAGTGAATGCGTGACGAGAGCGTTACGAAAAGTGTGAAACGGAAGTTGAGAGGGGGATATAAGTTAGTGAAGATAGACAGAGAGAAAGTTACGTTTCGTATATTACTGCACTATTAAGATAACCACTTTTTTTTAAGCAAAAGAAAGTAGGCACTCTTATTATACACCGCCAGAGGCGTTACCTTGATGTATGCATAAAGCCTTTATTAGTCCACTACTGGACATTGGCCTCTCCTCAGAAAGGAGGTTTTGGCCTATATACCACGCTAGCCAGACTAGTTGGTATAGGGTTTGTTTCAAGTTTTCTTCTCTTTGCAGTGCTGTTGTTCTGCGTATTTGGTTCGTAATTAAAGACAATTTCAAAACAGCGACCGTTTTTACGATGCGTTATTGTATGAAATTGCAGCTTTACGATCCTGTAAAAGCACAACATATGCTAAGTAATAAAATCTTACTAATATTGAATACGCAGTTTTGTGATACACGGTTCAGTAATTGTAATAATGTCCTTTATTATAATAATGGCTACAAGGACATTAAGAGAAAATGCGCTATTGTATGTAGAGGACGATTAATGAAAAAGAGGATTAAAATGCAGTAGGTACCTACGCATGGGATTCATTTTTTGCGTCAAATATTATTACTTAGCGCACTGAATAAATTTTAGACCTTCTTTAAGAGTAATACATATAAAAAATATTATAGGCTTCGTGTAATAGTAATCGACTTAGAGTAGACAACGATGTAGAAAGTAGATGATGTCGTGTCTAAGGTTTTTCTTTAGCTCAAATATGATCCAATATGTACATCTTATTACATACGCCATTTAAACTAAGTTAATTGTTGTTTTGATTGTTAATAACCTCAACAAATAACTTTTTAAATTTTGTTTTACTCTATGTAATCACTCTGTACAGAAGACTTCGCAAACGACGTGGAACTCACAGAGGAACAACAAATACTACTTCTAGAAGAATACGAGAGGGAGATAGCCACAAAGAAAATGACCAAACAGACTTCCTCTCGTGACTTGGCCAATAACAATTCAGACAAAACCACCAGCACAGACAGCAAAAAGAAGATTTTGCAAACCAGAGACAAAATGAACAATAAGAAAAATAAAAATGGCCACTCACCGAAAAAGTCGCCAAAATCGGACGTTTGCGGTAACAATTTAGTTGAGGACTATTTTGGTGAAAAAGAAGTGAAAGATGATGCTAGTGCAAATTCTGACGAAAGCTGGGAGAAGGAATTCGAATTTGAGGATGCCCCACAGAAAGCATGAACTAATCCGGCCATAGATTTATTAAAATAATATCGTTGTGGTACATTGTGCGAGTAGAATCCAATGTTATTGAAAATGTTCATGTCATCCAATAAATATCTATATTAGATAAAAAAAATGTAATGTGCTACTAATATATATGTAAAAATGAAACCACAAACATGCAGAGCTTATTACAAAATTGATTTAAGTATGTGTTCGTTAAAGTCAGAACTGCACAATGTTACCATCAAGCTAACTGCGCACACGTTAAGTTTTGCTGGGTGGCCTCGTTTGTTGTCATACATTCATTTAATTTTACATAAACTATCACCAGAATACCAGCTAAGTATGTAATGGCGAGTTTTTATTGACAAGTGACATAAAGACAAACCAAAAAACTGAAGACTCATTCAACCTTAAATAATTCTCTCATGCGTTGTCTATTTTCACTTCACTTTTCTTCAGCAAAATAAAACATCTACAATTTTAGAGCCCTGTTACATCAGATCAATAAAAAAGTTAAGATGGAACTTTGCGAAGAACGAAGTGACGCGGGTTTTATAAACATGTGTGCGTGGTCCATCATAATTTCATTTTGCTTACCTATGTGTGAAATGCGATTCCATCTTACTATATTTTCTTATAGTTTGATTTTTACATGCTTTCACAACACAACTCGGCATTTTTACTTGTAAATATTGTTGTCATTATGATGACTTTTGCTGAAAAGGCGTAGTTTCGTCGTACGTGTATGCGTGTAACTATGTATGTACACGACAAGTCGTAGTTTTATTTGGCCTCACTTATTTGTTTACAGACTACCATCGTAACTTTTTTATTTGATCTTTTTTTTAACTCACAAACTCGCCTGTCCCTAGACACCTCATGAGTTTCCTAATTCTAATAATAAAATGTGTTGAGTATCACAAATGGTAGCTAACCAGGTAAAGGTAAAACAAATTTATTTTTCAAGATATTAAGCTATAATTCATTTCAAAAAAGATATCAATACTCGTTATAGAGAGTGTCTGTAAAATGTAATGACTATTTGTTTATTTACCTAAGAACATAAATGAGTAATTTTAAACTTCTATGTACTGTTATGATTGTTCAGTATTAATAATTCGCTCAAATTATATAGTATTTGTTATCTTAGATTTGCACGAATACGTGAACAAAAAAGATCAAATGTATGGTCAAAAATCTTATTTAACGAATGAAGGAAAACTCTATATTTACTCCCTATATAGGCTTAAAGTAATTAATGGGTCGTTAATTTAAAATCCTGCCTAAAAAACTTTTTACTTAAATACCTACCTAGTCACCGTAAAATGAAATATGAGTCAGTAAATGAATGTTTGATAATGAATATACCGAGGCTATGTAATCTATAAAAATGTTGATGCTCATGCCATGTTAAATTACATAATAACAAGACATGTATGTTTGTTATACGAAATTATAAAGCAAAGTAATATAACGCAATCGTCAGTTAATAATGCTTTACTTGAGTGAGTTTGGATGCAAGATTATGTGCAATATTTCATCTCATCTTGCATATGCAATTTTGATGCAAGATTATTTAACTATTGTTTTTAAATATTTTCGGCTTCTAAGTCCGTATTGTGACGACTGAACATGATATATAATAGAGATATATATACATATTAGGTAAGGATTGTACACATTTTATAAGATATATATGAGTGACTATCTTTTATTAAATAACTCCGCCAATTTGATCAAGGAAGTACTCATCCAATTAATAATAAATCGCTAGTGAATTTTTTTAATAATTTGAATGTGTGTTCAATTTTACTTAAAGCAATGTTATCCGGTTTTACTAATGTTACCATAATTAGGCCGATTAAAATTGTTACTTGGTCAATTTAAAAATGCCGCCTCTTTTAAATCGTTAATAAATATCATAATATATTGCGAGTGTATCTTGTTATAAAACATTAGTTTAAGTGCACATTTATTGCGTTTCGTTATAAAGCCACCTTCTCTCCTATGTTGCATTTACTTAATGAAAAAAAATCACATTATCAAAAAATATTCACACTATTATACGATAAAGTGATTTTCTTTGGTAATGTGGTGTATTTGTACGTTTAACTATCAATGTGTTTACTGTTCGTTATTAAATATGTTAAACTTGCCTATAATAATTTATTACACAATTTCTTAATTCCTACAGTGAGGAATAGACACATTTTTCATAGCTTCAATTTATTGTTCTTGTTGTATGTATAATATATAATCAATAATAGTTATCGTTTTTTGTTAAAGTTATACTTCTTTACTGTCGTGTGGATTGATTAATGATCTTTTAAACACCATTTGCTAAAATACAGCTACGTCTATCACTTAACATTACCCCTTCTGAAGCCAGAAGGTTACAGTTTTGTTCTGCTTAAAAAGAGGCGACTATTCAATAATATTTTAAAGGAATAAACAATACATAGGTATTGTTTAGGTAAATATATATGTATTGTTTATGTGTATATATACGCAGGTCAGTAAGTACTTTGACCTCAAATTAAAATAAAAAACATAATTATTATGTTATGAACTTACAAAATAAAAGAGTTTACCTAAAAAATACATATTTACAGTGCATATTTTGTATACAATGTAAAATAACGCTTTTTTTAATCTCACGCCTCTATTTCAGAACAGATAAACGCTATGTTATGTATTTCATATATTGTAGGCGAGTTTACAAAAAACAATTGTATGTAATGACGGAAGTGCTTACAAATTTTGCTAGTGGTACAATAATAACCGAAGTGTGATATCCACTAAATAGGACTAAACTAACATAGATGTAAGTAGTTAATAGTGACAATTATGAATGCTAGCAACATTGGCGAATACAAGTGCTGCCATAAAAAAAAAATATATTAAAATAGTTTGTCATGGGTTTGATTGCTCGCATAAATTGAAAATGTGGTTGTCTGCTTTATTTACTAAATTATAGGTAACTTTTGTATATCCTCATATTGCGATAACTGCATAGTTATATATAATAGATATTTAGTTATTACGTTTAGATTATATTGTTTTATCAGAAATGTTAAAGTAAAAGTAGTAGTGGCTGCTAATTATTTACCACATTTTCAGATGATGTTAGTTTTTTTAATACTTTTGATTTTAAGATGTATTTTATATATTGATGGCAACACTACTATATCTATATAAAAATAGGCAAGCCTTTTCACGGGAAAACCATATTTTAATATTTTTGGTTTAGTAAATATTAAATTAAGTGCAATAAAGTTGCCCTATACCGTAACTTGACATTTATTTTAAATATATTTAGGTTAAAAACTCCCACGAGTTAACACTAGATACCGTTATGTTTGTGTAAATTATGATTATTATGAATATGAATAAAAGTTATAAAAAATTGTATGTTTTTGTTTGATTCTATAAAATCGCACATAAAATCTGCACTTTAACGAGCCGCAAATGGCTGCATAAATTAAACCGTCTCGAGCGTCGAACTACATACCTTTCGCACTATTAGATAAAGCATTACCACTACCTTAAAAAAACCGAATTCGCGACAATTAAGGCCGAAACTATGATGGAGTCAAGTCAAAACTGCCCCTAAATTATATATTTAATTGAAAACAAATTCTGTTCCAAGTATCTATTGTTGGAAACTGTAAATTTTGTATGAAACTCACCTGGGATAAAAATAATTATTCTAATACCTTTACTACTCATTACTTCTCCAAGGATTATCTAATATAATTGCTCATTTAAATATCTGCCAATTTCATCTTCGTAACTTGGGCCTACCTGGCCGTCTCACCTGTTTGGACGTTGCCCGAACAGAATTCTCCCGCCTATAAGCGATGTGGTGCGGGGTGGTGTGTCGAAATCGGAGCGACTAAAACCAAACGGTGTGCCACTCACACACACAATAGGAGGAATCCGGGAACCGCTGTTATTAAGACATCCGGCACCCTCCCAGCGCTTGCCCGCAATGGCGCGGATACCACCATCGGATAAATTCTGTATTTAGGCGACATCCGCACACGCGGACGTCGCCTCCTCGCGGCTGGCCGTCGTGGCGGGCGGAAAAGAAACCCGGGCCCTGTCGGCCGCCTCTTTCTGCGACATGACATCTTCGCAGAAGGATGCGACCGCAGTAAAAGATCTGTCGCTACCGGCCATGGAGCGTATGACGGCCGGTAACGAGAGATCCCCGCTGATGTAAATTGCCAGCGTGTGTTGAGCCGAGTCCAATTGCCAATTGAGACTCAATTGCCTCACTGCAGCAAAGTCAGCACGTGGAACCTCCAACCGAGACGACCAACGAGCCATCGTGGCTCGGCGAGCGGCCTCGCGCCTCTTCGGGTACGTACTTTGGCACCCCATGATAGTGGAGCGCTTCCCTGATGCAGCTGAATGGCAGAATATTGAATGCGTTGGCGATGTCTCAGTGCCTCTTCGGTCACGGCCCTCAGGCGCATCACAGCGCCGCCCGTCGAACGCCCCATTTGAAAACCGAATTGGGCGTCCGTAAAAATGGCGGACGATCCGGGCAGACACCACCCACTCGTCTGGCCAGCGTGGTATAGTAGGCCAAAATCTCCTTTCTAAGGAGAGGCCTATGTCCAGCAGTGGACTATTAAAGGTTGTTGATGTGATGTGAACTTCAATGTGGTTTTCAAGTAAGAGATATATCGACAATAAAGAATCTATGCATGGCATAAATATGTAATAAAATATTTGAACAAATCTATGTTATAAAACGTAGGTTAAACAACATTTAGCTGATTGAGGAAGGTGAGAGCATAATTCATTAAGAACCCTAATAAGAAATTTTTAATGCCTTTTTTAAATTTAAGTTAAGTTAGACTAAATAACATTATAAAATTCATAAAACTGAATTAGTTAATAAATAATTTATCTAAATAAAAAACGATTACTCTGCCCAGCATTTTTTAATGTCTGAAATGGCCTCAATAAACTTTTTCCAAAGGAAATTGTTTAAAAAGTCATTAATAAAGAACACCTTTATTAAACCTTGCTTTAAAACTCTTGCATATACAATAAATAAGAAGTATAAAAACTCAAAACAATTATAAATATATATTTATTTTCTATTTGGCATGAGTACTGGGGGCGATTGTCCTTGTTGGTGAGGATAGAAAATAGGGTCCACAGGTTGCCCCAAATTGGCGGAGCCGTCGCCCGAACGAGGATACGGATGGTGGGGAGGTGCTCCCATCCATTGTGGATACCAGTATAGGCCCTGTGGGAACAAAAGAGCTGCATTAGAATTTATACCTTTAAAATGGGCAATAATAAAAATATAAAGTACCTACCTAAAAAATATACTTTTTTAAATGAGCAATTCTTGAATAATATATGTTTATACAAGAATTGCTCGTTTAAAGGTATTATTATTAGATACATGCACAAAAACTTTTTTTTTCAAGTAGGTTACGTATATTCAATTATATGCAATGAATTGCTAGTTGCACTTGTTTTATTTTGTTACTAAGTCGTCGGTTGAGAAGTGAAGTGATTTGTCGAAATCGAACCGACCATATAAACCTTACGGCGAACTCCTGGAGAACTGTGGCAGCCCTTGGCCGCCTCTTCCACTAAGCTAAATCTACACATCTGGTACCAGACTGATACACGCAGTTACTTTAATTAGGTGTATATTTCTTTAATTTTCTCCCACGTTCTGATTTTTTGGCAATACAGATATCGAGCGAATGATAATATTACTAATTAAAACAAAGTAATAAAAAATACCTTATTGCCCGATCCTTGACAAGTGAAGCGATACTCGTTGACAGTAAGTGGGTCGAGATAACTAATGCCAGCTATTGACCCATAGTTAGGCGGGAACATGTACCAGCATCCATCAAGTGTGTCTGAAACAAGAGTGTCAAACTTTTCATGAGATTTATGAGCACGAAATCCCTACTACGCCGACGGTTCGACGCTATGGAAGCACAGCTTTGAACACTATTTGTGACTAAACGACTGTCTTGAACAAAGTAAGAAATACTTACTTTGCCTGTAAAAACGAACTACGATAGGCTAGAGGTTGAAATGCGACTCATCAATGCATGGTAAGAAAAAAATAACTGTATAACTTTTTTATCTTTAATAGTTAGATGGTGAATGAAAAAAAAACGGTTAACAAATAGAGAGGAAAATAGTATACTCAAAGACCGAAAATGCTCATTAAGCAAATAGGTAAACAGCTTACAACGCGTCACGCGTGGCAAACGCAAAAAGACTACAAAGCGAAATTCGTGTTATGGTTGTTATGAAAACGAATGAACAAAAACGTATAAAATGGCGCCAAAAACCGGCTATTATCATTTTTATAATTTTGAAATACCCAGTATCGCTCTTACAATTAAGACGATTCTAAGGACATTTCTCACGCCACAATACATCAAGCCGTTTAGGTTGCAGAGCGTGCTAAATAAACTTACATATACGAGGGGTGATCAATAAGTAATGATAATCGAGTATTTCTAGAACGCACAAAAACCCAAATTATTTTTTTTCTGCTTGCTTATATATCCACTACTTCAGCTTCAAAAAAATGTATAAATAGGACACCATTACCGGGAGGTACATTCATTTGAATACGAACTGTCGAAGAGAAAACATCAAAATGGAGAAAAATGAAATAAGAGCTGTCATCAAGTACCTCTGCCTGAAAAAAATGTCTACCAAAGACATACACAGCGACTTAGAGGAAACATTGGGGGAGTCTGCTCCTCCATATTCCACAGTCGCACGCTGGGCAAAGGAATTTAAGCTGGGCAGAACCTCCACTGAAGATGAACATCGCGAGGGACGCCCTTCCACGTCCCTTACTGGAGAAAACGTCAAAAAAGTGGAAGATATCGTGTTGGCCGATCGAAGGGTGACCGTAAGGCATGTAGCTGAGGTCACAGGGATCTCCTATGGCAGCGTTCAAAAAATCATTGTCAACAAAATGCATATGAAAGAGGTCTCTGCGCGTTGGGTACCGAGAATGTTAACCGACGAGCAAAAAAAGAAACGAGTCGACATTTCGAGGGTGAATCTTCAAAAGTTCCAGGCCGATAAAGAATTTTTTTTGTCGCGTTTTGTGACCATGGACGAGACCTGGATCCACCACTTTGATCCCGAAACCAAACAACAATCAATGACTTGGAAACGAGCTTCCTCACCAACGCCGAAGAAATTCAAAGTGTCAAGTTCAGCGGGAAAGGTTATGGCGTCTGTTTTCTGGGATGCAGAAGGAATTATTATGGTGGAATATTTGGAAAAGGGGGCCACTATAACAGGCTCTTACTACGCAGGCCAAATAAGAAGATTGCGAGAAGCTATTAAGTCAAAAAGACGCGGTAAACTGCGCGCTGGAGTGCTGTTTCACCAAGACAACGCCTCGGCTCACAAAGCCGCAGTTGCGATGGCTGCCATTGAAGAAACGGGGTTCGAACTGCTCGAACACCCTCCCTATTCGCCAGATCTAGCTTCCAGTGACTTCTACCTCTTTCCTCGGCTCAAAGAACACCTCCGGGGCAACAAATTTGAGGACAATAGTGAAGTGATGGCCGCAGTAGAGGCATTTTGGGAGGGTCAAGACAAAGAATTTTTTTCTAAGGGAATCATGGGCTTAGAAAAAAGATACACTAAATGTATTAACTTGCAAGGAGACTATGTTGAAAAATAAAATACTTTTTTTAATCTAATAGTTCTGTTTCATATTGATTATCATTACTTATTGATCACCCCTCGTATACACTCAAAAACATAACCCTTCTTTTGGTGCAGTCGGATAAAATTCAGTGTACACCTCCGGTCTTTATCCTGATACTTTTGTAAGTACTGATTAAATGTTAAACTTACAAGTAATGTTCGCTGTCGATTCATCAGGAGTGTCCGTGGTCATCATGTTAAACGTCTCTGTCGTCTGCTCGATAAAAGGAGGCACAGGCGATAAGCCGGTGCCAGGATCACCGGGGATTATAAACGGACCTGGAGTGAAACATACTCAATTAGTAACTGCTTTACGTTTTTTTTTTATAGTGTAAGGAGGCAAACGAGCAGACGGGTCACCTGATGGTAAGCAGGACACCTGCAACTCAAAAGTCACAAGTGTGTTGCTGCCCTTGGAGTCCCTCTCGCTCGAGTCAGCCGGAGGGGGGATTTGGGCTCCGGTAACCTCACTCACTCAATGAAAGGTAATGAAAGAATTGCTTAACACCATTATACCATTTACGTCAACATTTTCACATATTTCTTTAGTTGATGTTGTTTTTTTTTTAAATACAACAGGAGTTGTCTAGTAGTGTCTATCTGTCTAGTGTTAAAAGGGCACAGGAATCTTTATTAGTGCTTCTTACTAATAATAATTGCTGTTTTCCCTCTACAAAGATTAAAGGACATGAAAACGCACAACTATTCACACACAATACGATTTTTCTCTCGTGACGAGCATTGCCGTTGAGTGATCACGGTAAAAAGCTGAAAGATTTGCTTAACACCGATTTTTTGTAAGGCCGTGGTAGGTCTCATTCTGGTCGAGCCAGCCAATATATACTAAAGCATCACACCAGCTAAGAAATTTTGCTTTGTTTCAAAAGTATAAAGAAATTAAATCAGTTTTCTTACCCCCATAGAAATTAGTGTAGTTCCACTCGCATACGTGATGGTCGCAGACTAACGGCGAATACTTTTCTTTGGTGTAGTACGCGTGGCCGTTGGGTAAAAACTGCAAAAAACTTCTCACTGACGCAAAGACATACAGGCACTGGATTATAAATAATGGGGTTTCTGTGGTAGTGGTACTAAAGTAACTGTCCAGTTGCGGAATCTTAGAAATGAAATAATATTTACCAGTAAATAATCGTGATGTCGAAATCTAACACCCTGTATGTTGAAGTCGAGTATGAATGAGCCGGAGGTGATAATGCAGGAGGCGGCGGTAAGTGGCGGCAGCTTGTACATCTCTGTGCCACACTTCACTATGGCTTTCGGAAGCGTAGATACATCACGGAGGTGTTGCAAACTCTTCTTGAAAGGAAACCTGGAAATTTCAAGATAGTAAGTTTTCCTATCGATTTTTAAATAATAAGTAACTCTAGGGAAATAAAATATATTAGGCATTGCAAATGTATATTTCAGTTATACTGATAGGAATATATTAGCTAGAACTAAAATGATTTATCCGTTATGAATATTAACAGGGCAGTGTTTTAAGAAAAAAGAAATGAAAAAAAAAGTTTTTTGCACTATTGCCTCACATCATCACATCAACATCCTCTAATAGCCCACTGCTGGATATAAGCCTCTCCTTAGAAAGGAGGTTTTGGCCTACTATTCCACGCTGGCCAGACGGGTCGGTATTGGGTTTGTTTCAAGTTTTCCTTCTTTTTGCAGTGCTGTTGTCCTGTGTAGTGTAGCTCCCTTAGTCGGCTCTTATGACACCCACGTGATGAATAGGGGTAGTGACATTCCGTATTCTCAAACAGTCACCACACAGATAATATAATTAACACTATTGCCTAATATAATATTATTACATTTTTACAAAAAAAAGTAAAATGCAGTGCAACACTAATCCTGCTCTAGATCTAAAACTTTAGGTCCAGTCTTTTGAAAACAATAAAAGCAGATGTAGATGTATATTTTCAGAATAATCACTTGTTTATTGGCACTAAAAATAGAAATGGGAATCTAATGATCGCAACACGTTCAATATTGCAACCTTAATTTAAATCAAAATTATTTCATCAATCATCAACAGCCTATAATAGTCCACTGCTGGACATAGGCCTCTCCTTAGAAAGGAAGTTTTGGCCTACTATATCACGCTGGCCAGACGGGTTGGTATAGGGTTTGTTTCAAGTTTTCCTTCTTTTTTCAGTGCTGTTGTTCCTTTGCAGTTTGGTGTGGTGACGGATTAAGAATACGGAATGTCACCACCCCTATTCTTCCCGTGGGTGTCGTAAGAGCCGACTAAGGGAACAAAATTATTTACTCACCTGAAAATACAGATTTCATTGTTACACTCTAGTCCGTGAATAAAATTGTCCGTTGAAAACACAACGTTTGGATCTTCCTCAAGAAAGTATTTCTTTTCATTCATAAAATGTATGAATCCCATAAAATAAAAGGCCCTCCCCTTACAGTACGGAGTTATGCCTCTCCCCATGTTGTATATATCGCTGTACAATTCCGATATGAATATGTACACGTTTCTGCCGCAATAATACTCTGTAACAAAATATTCGATTACTTCGCGATGTTTTAGGTATAACATATTTTTCGTGGTTGGGAGTTTATACATGCACTGCAACTCAGGAGTCACAAACGCGTTGCCGGCCTTTTAGGAAGGAGTACGCTCTTTCCTTTTATGGTTTGAAGGTCGATCGGTTCGGCAATACCGCAGATGATAACCCGATCCACAGATTGATAGTGCGGGGCAAAAAGTGTCTCGAAAGCACACAGTAGTGGAGCGTCAACTATCCAGGTAATGAGGTAATTGTATAATTAATTGGGTATCTTTTAGTAACTTATTTGCTATCTTTTAGTAATGAAATGAAATGAAAGAAGCTGACCTAACTCTTAAACCGGGCAAATTTCTGTTTTGCGTCAGCAGTGATGACTTATTGTGATTGCATTTTAAAAAGAAACCTGTTTTTACTACCTCATATGTCTCATTTGCTGATAGTTCTAACAAGATACTCGATTGGTAAAAGCAGGTAAGCAGAAACATAACAGGTTACCTTGACTCATATAAAACTCAGCAGGCACTGCGCCCCCCGCCATGGTGTTGTATGTAGCCACCCTCTCAGTTTTAATAGCGTTGTGGTTGTCGTACATTGTCAGCATGTTGTCGATTGCATCGTCTAAAGCTATTAGTAAAACCTACAAGTTGAAGAAAACAATGGAAAACGTATTCTTCAATGTACAACTTTCCGATGACAATTGCTTGCTTGATCACACATTAATCCTAGCGGCCTTAGTGTGCGATCAAACAAGCGGTTGTCATCCAAGTTCTTTCTTTTTTTCTCTCTTAAAAGACAACTCTCGGACTATTAAAAATATTCTGTGTCGCAGGGGACTTTACAAACATACATGAAATGGACACAAAGAACACCCAGATTCAGAACAACAATTTGTGGATTCCACAAAGTGTCGTCCCGGGGGGGGTCGAACCCACAACACTCAGCGCAGTAGTAGGTAAGCGGTGTGGCGACCGCTTAAACCACTACGCCATTTGTCTAGTTGGACGACAATCACATGGATTTTAATCGTTCTAAAACCCATGTGAGTCCAAAACCACATCATCATGTGAGCCAAAGTACGAACGTCCAAAGCTTTATCATAATCCAAGCGTCAGAGATAAACATATGCACAGGGTGAGGTAGATACTAAATAAGCAAGGAAGATAACCTATTGCTTATATTATAATAACTATGAAGGGTTCGTAGAGATCAAACTCTCACTCCCCAAAATCGTTCAAGATTTAGACAATTCGCAAATATTTAATTAGTCAATAAAAGAATGTTTCAATTATCTTAACAATGAAATTATGAAATTAGTAGGTAAAAGATACATAATCAGAATTATTTTGAAAGAAACTTGGAATGGAAAGGTTTGACGTTGGTACTAGCTGGCTTTGATTAATATGTGAGTAATATATAAGAATGTTTATCAGGAAAGTTACTGTAAAATACTTATTCCTCACTGTGAGCAACTTACTCACAACACACATCATTTCAATATTCACATTATACTGCCGAATCTATCTATATAAATGAAATTTCTTTTATAAACAGTTCTCTATATAGTTTCTTTGAACAAGTGATAATACTAAATTCAGAGATCTAACATAACATTAATAAGACATGTTGTTCTACAAACCTTTAACTCTTTAACATGCATGTGTATAAATCTTGCTAAATGATCGGTTGCAATGTGTACCAATTCATTGATAATATACTGTAAACAAAATGTAATTTAGTAAATATTATAATAGATGATGTTCTTTTTCTTTCTTTTATAGAAGACAACTCCCGCACTAGAAATATATCCTGTGTCCAGAGGCGGATTATCCCTAAGGCAAAGTAGGCACGTGCCTAGGGGCGCGAAATTACAAAGGGGCGCGCGCGCAGAATTTTTAATAAAGAAAACATATATGCCTAACAAAATAAGAACTGTGTCAGTAAGTATGCACACACTTACACAATATAAACAATTCTTTAATTCTAAGATGTTTAAGGTTGACATCAGGGTGTAAAGTACGAAATTGCCATGCCACTACTTCTTTCTTTCCTTTTCTGATTCCTAAGAAGATTGAGGCTAGTGTGTGTCCACAAAATGCAGTTGCTACAACTGCAGCTGTAATTGAGATTACTCTATGAGTTGTAGTAATAGACCAGAGTTGTCCACTCAGTGGCACTATACGGTGCACCGATGTAGGCGGAAGCCCTGACCGCCCAGAATAAGTCGCGCTTCTAGAACCTCAGGGGGTGGTGGTGGAACTCTCCCATGGGATTTAGAGGCGCAAATGTGTAGCGTAAGGACCGGTTTCCACCAATGCGGAGAAGAGAGGAGATGTACTGCGAATTTGGCAGGTTATTTCCACTAAAGTGGAGAGGAGATGAATAGCGGAGGGGAGATGTGAGCTGTGTGTAGCAGAGACGTAAGCTGTGAAAGCTCGAAACCAGGCAAGTGCTGAAGCTGCGAAAGGACGACGTCATGTCGTTACAATAGTTTATTTTGCTATTTCTTAATTTGCTTGAGGTAGAGGAATTAGAAGTTGAACAAAATACAATTAAATCTTCAATATTTAAATTATCAAAGGAAACATAGAGTCTGGATAGGACACCATATAAAATGTCACAGTCATGGCGAATATACCTATTTCAAGAGTTTGCTGAAGGCAGGGGGGAACGTGCGAGCGAGCGGAGACGTGTGTAGTTGGCGCCGCCTGACCGCCAACTACACACTTCTCAGCTCTGTCGCGCCACTTGCTCGCTCGCGGAACTAAATTCTATAGAAAAATGAGGCATCTCCTCTCTTCTCCGCTTGGTCCATTTTACCGAAGCTAAACGGAGACGAGATATGGAAATAACGAAATCTGATTGGTTTATTCAAACACATCTCCTCTCCTCTCTACTTTCGTTTTGGATACCGAGCCTAAGGCCGCTCGCCGAGACACTATGACTCGTTGGAAGTCCCGGCTGGAGGCTCAACGCTGCAGCCACAGCCACACAGCACTATAGCCGGTCATCGTCAAGTATGCAGGGTGGCATCACGGGTCCTTCCAACTGACGCAAGTCTTTTCTGGGCACGTCTGTTAAGGGAAGTCTCAGCAGTCGTGGACCTGAGGTGGCCTACGGCGGACGTCACCCAAAGAGCAATGGAGATGGCAATGCTCGGAGTTTCACTGCGTAAGCAAATCAGGAATAAGGAGATCCGCAGTGGTGGTGACTATCATCGCCCAGAAAAAATGAGGGTTTTTTAAATACACTAAATTAGTCAATACACCATTAAAAGTTTATGCCACAAGCGTAGATAGAGGTGCAACTTTTAATCCATCAACTAATGTTACGTTATGTAACATTTTAAACTAATACGTTCAAAACAAGAACTAATAAGATATCACCTTATGTTATTTCTAGAACTTAAATCATCAATCAACTCTTAACCAAAGCTAACGTTATCTCCTTTATAGAATTTTATTGAAAACGTTGACTTTTACATAACTATACGGGGGAGGTCATCTAAAATGGCCCGCGGCCAACTTTTGTAATAACCGTTCATACACAATGTTTTCTTGAAGAAAAATTTATCTGAAATAACATCATACGTTGCAATACATTCAAGTTTTATATATTATACTAGCTGCACCCTGCTACGCTTCACTGTGGAATATTTTGGTTGTCTTGATTGAAAATTAGGAACACAATTGACACAGAATTTAGATTAAAACGATCTTAGAAGCTTTGAATTATATATTATATAATATTATAATTAATATAGATTGTACCTGATCAGGTGCATGTTTGATCTTCATCATTTGTATCTGGTAATGGGCGAGATGATCCAGCTTGTCCGTGGGATCATGGCCATAAATTTCGAACGCGTCTATCACCATCGCCAGCGTTAAGTTCTCGCTTGGCTCCATACAGCAAGGATGGTTTGCTATCACATAAGTGTGCTGTAAATTGTTTTAAAAATGTCTAAATCTGTAAAAGCATGCCTGATTTTATGCTAATATTTATGGTCGTTAGATGTGTTATCCCCCAGGCTGAAAGGGCCTTGCAACTTAGGTGTAAATCTTGTGAATCTTCAAACTGTTGTAGTTCCAAAATAATGTTTAAATATATTACACCGTGCTGCTTTTGAAGCATTCAAAATAATAATTTCATTGGAGATGTGCGTAACCCACTTTAGCTCGTTCAGCATGTTTTGCGCAGCATGAAGACTGTTGCAGTTGCCGCGCTACATTCTACCAAGCTTATCAAGCACCTATTTGGCTTGGCACCGACTTCAAACAGACTAGAAGGGACTATTGCTATTATAATGTTACCTGTTATATTGAGGGTATTTATTATAGTTTTTTCGTAGATTTGTAATAATTTTTTTCTTGCTCTTTGTCAGTACTGGTTGAAGTCGGTTCAACTTTTTTTTAAAAGGATTTATTTCTTATATATTCGTGACTCTAAAGATGTCTCATACAATATTTAAAAAAAACAGACTAGATTGTCAATTATTGCGTGGACAATGCCAAATAATAAATAAAACATTCGGATAAATGCGAGTCGCACTCACTCACCAAGTGTTCCCTACTCATTTGTAGGTACATATTATAAATAGTTCAGGCATCGAATATCGCAGTTTTTTTCGAGCTTTGCCCGAAATTCAGTTTCCAAAACCTATAATTACTTATATTCTTGAGTTTTATAAGCGAAATTGTACCTCGATGATTGATGACGTACTTTACATAAATTACTTTAAATAATATTTTTTATGATTTGTTTACGAATGTATAGTTTTCAGATTTTTCCGTGTACTTGTAGTATAAGACGATGTTACTTGCCAAATTTCTGCGTCATGGGTCAACGGGAATTTTGATTATCTTGAGAGTGTCGAAGTATGCGTTTTTTGCGGCATATTCGGCTATAATATTTTTTACATTAATTTAGGAGTTTGATTATTTTACAACATCAAGGGACCGTAACCCTGAGTGTACGATTTTAATGTCAACTCAATACCTATACGCGTTCCTGAGTTAAAGGGTCTTGACAGACAGATAGACAACAAAGTGAGGGTTCCGTTTTTTTTCGTTTGAGGTACGGAACCCTAAAAATAAGCCTGACAAAAACCGATACAGAACTTCTTTTTATTTGCATTACCTAATGGTTTCATTTAAATTAATTTATTAAGTGATCGGCCCGTCTCAAAATTCGCTTTTAACACTGGCCATACGACGACCGTTAGGCATATAAAACAAGAGGTTTAGTAGGTGGTAATATATAATTTACTTACTGTCATTATAAAGCGACATGTTAAAACAAGTGTAAATATTAACACAGAACATTGGCAAGCCATACCGCCGACTGCCGACCGGCCAAGCCTGCGTTACTTCGGCACACTACGCCTTTAACAACCAATTAGAATAATTGTTAATTACACTTTTATTATTTTACACTGGTACATATATATTATACAACCAAATTGGTTCGTCGTTAACTTTTAAAAACACCCGGCTTAGCCGGGTAATTAAAAATGAAATGAAATAAAATTTAATTTTATATAAGTTTAAATAGATAGATAGGTACTCTTTATTGCACACTTAAATTAGGATACATGCGATGATACATACAGAAAAAAAAAAACAGTGATACAATGTACGGCCTTATCGCAGCCTGCGATCTCTTCCAGGCAACCTTTAGATAGACTATACTAAAAAGTAATATACAGCGTGTGGTGCGCATTTACTTCATCCGTATATTAACTAATGTTTACATACATAATTACACATTCACGAATATACATTCATACACTTGCATACATATATAGATATGAATACATACATAAACATACATCCACATACCAGTATAGCACATAGTTATTACGGAGATAAATAGTGATCCTTAACGAGTTCTTTAAAAATACCTACTGACTTTGCCTGCATTTGTAATTGATTCATTATTATTTATTGTATAGGTGCAGTGTCGTGTTAGTTAGTGTTCCAGAACCTCTATTAAATTAAATTACAATGATTCAATTCGCGAATCGTCCTTTTGGTAACATTAAATTTTAACTTTTACAAGTGGCTGGACATGAAATTTTCTACACAGACCAATGTAATTGTTTGGGCTATAGGGAGTAGACGAACACAAGAACCTCAGAAAACGTTTTTGTATGTTCTCAATGCAATCGATGTACCTATTCAAATTTGCGAGGCACACTCCAGGTGAAGTCAACTATGTTTCTACACCAAGTAGGTAGTTATGGAAAATTGATGTGCCTTGGTAACCGCCGGTACAGAAGGACCCAATCTAAGCGCATAATTATTCTTAAATGCTCATACTAAGAGTCGCAAAGTATACCTACCTAATTCCCTTTCATAATAACACACTTTTACGCAAATTTGCAATTACAAATGTATTGTAGATTGCTTCATATCTATACAAATAAATAAAATTGAAGTGTCTGTTTGTAATATTAAAATAACCGCTTTTTACTAAATGCATATGTATGTTTACATGGTACATATGCCAAAATATCATTTTTTACAATTTTTGTCCGTCTGTCTGTCTGTCTGTTTGTTCCGGGTAATCTCTGGAACGGCTTGACCGATTTCGACGGGACTTTCATTGGCAGATAGCTGATGACATAAGGAGTAACTTAGGCTACTTTTTTTAGACTGACTTCGCCCCGCGGCTTTGCCCGCGATTATAACAACAAACGCGGGTAACACCGCGGGTCTCAGCTAGTTTAAAGAATAAATATGATAAATAGGTATTTTTCACAATACTCGTACCTATTTAATAGAGTAATGACTTTATTTAAGCTAGTGCAAGATACGTATAATCACTTTTGTAAAATGTCTATGTATACCTACTCTCTAAAATATAGACAAAAAATGAGACAATAACTAGTAATAATAAGTATTAACGTGTAGGTAAGTTCTTTCATACAAACTCCTAAAGTCCGATCAATTTCCTATTTCAATATAATTTTAATTGATATCCGCAACGCTTTTAATACCTTGGAAAGGGATGTTCTGTTAAGCGCAGTTAAGGATAAAATTCCTTCCCTCTATCCTTTCCTTCACCAAGTCTATAAATCTCCTTCGAACCTCTTTTACAATAAGGATCTTATTCTTTCACAAGTGGGAGCTCAGCAGGGAGATCCACTTGGGCCACTCGTCTTTAGCCTTGCCATCCACAAAATCATTTCCAAGCTGGAGTCACCCCTAAACCTGTGGTACCTAGATGACGGTACTATTGGCGGACAGCCTGAGGTGGTGGCGAAAGACATTATGGTTTTGATCCCACGCCTCAAGGAGCTAGGTTTGGAGGTGAATCCAGCAAAGTGCGAGTTTTTCCCCTGCAGTACTGAAGCTCGCACACACTTTACACACTTTGAAATGTTCTTTCCTGGCCTCAGCGAGATCACACCAGGTACCTTCAGCCTATTGGGCTCTCCCATTTTCCTTGAGGCAGTCCCTGAGGCCATAGCTGCCCGTCAAAATCTTCTCCTTGCCACTCGGGAACGTTTAAAGCATCTTTCTCCTCATGTTGCGGTTCTGCTGCTTCGTATGTGTTTCGCGGTTCCTAAAATCACGTACTTATTGCGGACTACTCCAACCTGGCTTTGTCCGGAGGCTGTCTCTTTGTTCGACGGTGCTTTAAGAGATACTGCTGAGTCGATCCTTAACGTCTCCCTTGATGAGCACCAGTGGATCCAGGCAGCTCTGCCAATTACGGGGGTCTCGGATTACGGCGTGTGCTGGATGTTGGCTTGCCAGCCTTCCTAGCGTCGGCACATGGGGTTGCGGACCTTGTCGCTGTCACACTTTCTCCAAATGGTGATAGGGCGAGCATACCTTATGTGTCCGAGGCGGTATCGGCATGGTCAGCCGTCAACGCAGGTGAGCCTTTTCCAGTGACCCTACACGTCCAGCGAGCATGGGATGACATTGGAGCTAAGGGACTCCTTAAACAAATGTTGGATACCGCTAGGGGTACCGATCTGGCAAGACTGAGGGCCGTATCGCAGCCAGAGTCAGGGGCATGGTTACATGCACTCCCATCGCCTCACTTGGGTACCTTGCTAGACGGCGACTCTTTGCGTGTGGCAGTGGCTCTCCGCCTAGGCTGCAGGGTGTGCGAACCACATAGATGCACCTGCGGTGCCATGGTGGAGGCCGATGGTCTTCACGCACTGAGTTGTCGTCGCTGCGCAGGTAGATTTTCGCGACACCATGCCCTAAATGACATAGTCCGAAGGGCTCTTATATCCGCCAATGTACCCTGCGTGCTGGAGCCATCGGGTCTTAGCAGATCTGACGGGAAGCGGCCGGATGGCTTGACTTTGGTGCCGTGGAAAAACGGCAAGTGCTTGATATGGGACGCTACATGCGTTAGCACAGTCGCGGCCTCACATCTGAGTCGCACCGTCCAAGCCCCGGCGGCGGCGGCGGAGGATGCCGCTAGTAGGAAGCAATCAAAATACGCCGCAATGGAGACGCACTATTATTTTGTGCCTATTGCGGTGGAGACTTTGGGCAGTTGGGGGTCGGCAGCTAAAAAGTTAATTGCGGAGATTGGTCGCCGAGTTAGGGAAAAAAGTGGTGACTCCCGCTCCGGCTCGTTTCTGGTGCAAAGAATGTCCGTTGCAATTCAGCGAGGCAATGCTGCCAGTATCATGGGCACCTTTGCACCGGGAGCGACGCGGGGCGGGTTATATGATCTGACTTGAATAAAAAATAATAATAAATGTAATCTATAAATCAGGACCTAAATGTAATATTATTAATGTTTTTAGCTATCAATTTTATGACCTATACACAACCTATTAAAACACATAAGTTTACACATTATTAAAAATATAAAACAATTTAAGACAACTACATCCACATTTACTTTATTCACTAATTTTATAAAAAACAATTGTACCACTAGGGAGGCAAATGTTATACTTCGTACTGGTTACTGTAGTGTCTTGAGGCTGGTGATACACATAGAACATCAAACTAATGCCTAATTGGTGTTTTCTTCAAAGTGAACACACGATTTTCTATGTGGTGTAATAAAATTGAAGTTTAATCTTCTTTAGACGAACAAACTATAATGACCAACTCATTTTAAATGACAAAATGCTCAAGGACCTTTTCAATGTGAAAAACTCATTTTTCCATTAAAGTTCACCTAATTTTACTTCAATTATATTTTTATTTTAAAATGATGATATCATTATGTTTTAAGAGAAAAAAAAACTTTGCTTAGTAATTATGTATATAACCTTATTAAATTTTAATTGTAAAAAAAGATATGGTGAAAATCAGCAACATTCATCATATGTCAATATCGCAGGTGTAAGAAGGTAAACTCCATATCCAAACAGAAATCAACTTGTGTCCCTTGAGAAATACTTCCATGTACTCGATCTATCGATCGTCACACCGCGCATCAACCCCGCGCCGAAGGAATGAAACCCCTGCCCCACTAAACGACTCACGGTGCCGAGCAGCCATTGTATCAACGAAAAACTTTAATAAAAATGATAAAAACCAATAAAAATCAACAGTTATACACTTAGAAATAAATCAGTGCTTCAAGTGGTTTGTTGATTAATAACTATAAGCTTTTACTCAAATAATGACAGTGAAACCGTAAAAATTAGACAGAAAATGGCTGCTCATATAATATCACGGGCACTTTAAAACAATAATGTGATTACAAAATAACATAGTGTAACGTAAAGAAGTCTTCCAAATTAGTGTTAAGTATAAACTAGTGTAGAGAGTAAATTTTAATATAACTATTATAATGTTGAAAATCAATGTCTTCCAGTTGATGTTAAAATAAAGTTATTGACTAAAGAGTATTTATATCAAAGAATTTTTTTACAATAATAACATATCTTGATTGAAATAAATCGAGACTGATACGGCCTCTGATAAATTTTGAGCGAAGGAGGTAAAAAATATTATTTCAAGATGATAAATTTGGGTCGTTTCAAGTTACCCCCCTTCAAGAATGTACTAGACGTGACAATGCAGACCGTACGGCAGCAGATACCTGAGAAGCCTGGCCCATCCCCTCGCCCGCCACAAAACGTGAGATTCGCGAACTTAGGTAAGCTTATAAAGCAAAAGGTCACTACAGGTGAATCAATAAGCAGACTTATATTTTTAAAGGATTGATAACATCAATTTTATATAGGTAATATTTGGGGATATAGATTTCTATATTACCTAACAATAAAAAGTGATATGATATCATTATCCCTCTTAGCTTATCCTCGAGATGTTCTCCACTGAGTCATAGGTATAAAAAATTCTACAAAGAAACTTCTACAACTAACAAACGACTCGTAGCTGACTGGGGTCTGGTGATCACTCTAACACCTTTTCTCAGACTAGATAGTCTGCTAGTTACCTTGGTAAATATCCTCGTAAGAGCTACGTATAGAGTACTTCTTTTTCTTAGTAAGTTCTTCGATTAGTCTTATTCTCTGTATAAGTAACTTCAAACCAAGAGTTATATAATAATGCATAGAAAAAGATAATTGTATTAAGAAAGAGGTAATAAAATTTGTGTAAATGAAATTTGCAGATAACATGGGTGAAAGTTGTGAACTATCAACGATGAACGAAACCACATCACCCACATATCAGTCAACGAACCCCACTAATCCATTTCTGAGCGGTGCATTGCAAGCTGAAGACTCATTCACCAGTTATCAAAATACATATCCTCAACAAGATGGTCAAGCACCCAGGTAAATAATTTATAAAGCTACTCACAAATGTACAAAAACTTCATTTATATGTAGATTTAAAAATAAAAAATTTTTAACGTTTTTCCAGAACTCAAAGCATGCAAAGCGTTGACTTTTATGCTTCGTCCGAAGAAGGCGGATTTGAAGAAGGTGGTGGTAAGCCAGGTATGAAGATCAATGAGTACCAGGCAGCATGGAACGTTACTAACGCCATTCAGGTAACTGTATTTAAATTTTAATATACTTCACAAACATGCTGTATTAATTCAGTGTAAAACTTTGTGTGTATCTTTTACAGGGTATGTTTGTGGTATCATTGCCGTTTGCAGTCCTCCAAGGCGGTTATTGGGCTATTGCGGCAATGATCGGCATTGCCCACATATGCTGCTACACTGGTAAGATTCTAGTTGAATGCTTGTATGAAGATGATCCAGTGTCAGGGCAACGTGTAAGAGTACGCGACTCTTACGTCAGCATCGCAAAGGAATGTTTTGGTAGAAAATATGGTGCTAGAATTGTTAATATCGCTCAAATCATTGAACTACTTATGACTTGTATCTTGTATGTTGTCGTATGTGGAGACCTAATGATAGGCACATTCCCAGATGGGTCTATTGACGGTCGCTCTTGGATGATGTTGATTGGAATATTCCTTCTACCGTTAGCCTTTTTAAAATCCCTTACAAGCGTGAGCATGCTGTCATTTTGGTGCACTATGAGCCACTTGATAATTAATGCTATTGTTTTGGGATACTGTATCCTCAACATCGGAGATTGGGGCTGGGGACAAGTTAAATGGAGTTTGGATTTTGAGACTTTTCCTATCAGTCTAGGCGTCATTGTATTCTCCTACACCTCACAGATTTTCTTGCCGACATTGGAAGGCAACATGGAAGATCGGTCGAAATTCGAATGGATGTTGGATTGGTCGCACATTGCAGCTGCCGCATTTAAGTCCATTTTTGGATATTTGTGCTTTCTGACATTCCAAAATGACACTCAACAAGTTATTACAAATAATCTACGTTCAGCTGGATTCAAAGGACTTGTGAATTTCTTCCTAGTTATCAAGGCAGTGCTGAGTTACCCGTTACCTTATTATGCGGCTTGTGATTTACTGGAACGTGCTCTCTTTAGAGGTAAACCAAAAACAATTTTCCCTGTAATTTACGCTCTGGATGGAGAGTTAAAAGTATGGGGATTGGCTTGGAGACTGGGTGTGATAATATTTACAATTCTGATGGCAATCTTCATTCCCCACTTTGCTATTCTGATGGGGTTCATTGGCAGTTTCACTGGAACTATGTTAAGTTTCATTTGGCCTGCGTACTTCCATCTGAAATTGAAAGGAAATCAGATAGAAAGTACAAGAATTGCTTATGATTATTTCATAATATGCCTTGGTGTACTTTTTGGCGTTATAGGTATGTACGATTCCGGCTCGGCCCTCATCAAGGCTTTCAAGATAGGTCTACCGTTCTAATCTATCGTACTAAACAATTATTGTTGAACTATTTTTAGATTTAGTACTACATCGTATATTATGTTTTGTCGCTACTGTGCGGCTTAGGGCCAAATGTTCAATAGGCAATCAAGCAAAATAAATTATATGTCTGATTAATATAAATTGCAATGATGATTTAAGTTTAATAGCTATTAAATGTTTAACGCGACTCTAAATAGATCGATGTATTAATAAGTTTTGTATTTTAGGTGAATTTAGTGCATTGGCAAATAATTTTTTGACTTACTAAAGTATGATCCAATGTTTAGTAGATATTTCTTTCTTTTGTAGAAACTTTATACACATATATTATCTGTGCCAATAAATAATGGACGTAATTTCCTTCTTTTCTCGAATGGATGACGATTTAGATAAAGAGATAGTACGTGCCAAAAAAGTTGGCAAGTTTTGAAAAATACTTTTCAATGATATCACTAAAATAATGTATTAAATGAAGAACAAAAACTCATATCCAAGAGTAAACGAAAAAGTTCGTTAGCAATTTCTTCGTATTACATAACATTAAATAGAACACACTGAATTATTTTAGAATTCGTTGAATGGTCATTTATATACAAACAAATCTGATTACGTTAATGTGTACACAAATTATTATTTTTATTCTATATGAATACGTAGGTACATGAAGGTTTGTATACGCTTTAATCAATTCGCAAGTGTGTTTTACTTAAAATAGTTATGTATATAGTTTTAAATGCCAATCCCAGATTTTATTATATAAAGTATATTAATATCCAAGGTCTTCCAGACATTATACATTATGTTTTCGATGTGTATTACAACGAAGTCTTCCAGTAATGATTGTATTACATTAGCAAATTAATTTGTTTGTATAACGTATTTAGGTACAAATATAAATACCTATATAAATTTCTTAAACGTATTTGATTAGAGTCTACATTAATATTTAGTGTTGTAGTAAAAGTATGTTCTGAATTATTTGAACTAAATCAAAAAACCTTTACAGAAAACTAGAAATATATAAGTATATATTGAATTATGGTGTAAGCATACAAAATTATATATTAATATATATTTACAGTTGATTTTACAAAATTAATGGTGGTCTAGGAGGGCCTGTTTCACAACTGACTCAAAGAGCACATAAGAGCCAAATTCTGAGCTAAAAATCGCTGGTTTTAATTCTTTCTTGTATGTCTACAGTTAGAATAATTATAACTTCCGGAAGCAAATGATTTAAAAAAAAAACAACCGCGATTGAGCTGGAGTTACATTTCTAATATTTAAATTGATTCCTTTTCGAGAAGTATAAACTTCAAAAACTAAAACAATTTTGCTTTTTAAAGTTTACAGTAACAAAAGTTTGCTTAAAATTAATCGGGGATCTTATACAATAAACATATTGGTAATATTTAGTCAAAGTAAGCAGATGAGAAAGTAGTAGGTACTTCCTCAGTCTAAATAGTAGCTGTGCAAACCTATCAACCATGAAATAGATTTGGCAGTCTTTCAGCTACATATACAGGAATCTATCAGCTGCGACCTGCGACATCTTAATGTCTATAAAGCTCTCCTTGAGTTCATTCGAGAAGACCCAAGAAGTATCTTGGTATTTAGTTAACCAGGACTTAATCCTAATTCAATAAACATTTCTATAATACTGGGTAAACAACCAGTGGTAAAACAGGCCCTAATATATGATATGATATATTAAATTCTAATAAGTACATCCCAAAGTCTTCCATTTCTAAATATAATTGTTGTTGATTATATAAATAGAGTATTGTAATAAATTATACATGTTGAATAGACTAGCTAGTTACGTTACACTGAGATGTAAGAACATGTGATTATTGTGATACCCACACGTTTAAAAACTTCAGGTATACAGATGTTTTGAAAGGAATTATTTATTCAATCAAGAGCATTAACGATCTTAAGATAAACGTTAATGTGTTTATCTTAATTGTACGCTAAAATGAATACAGATGAAAATGCAAATTTTGACACATACCTAACTTGTTTTAATAGTCATGCAATTATAATTTAATTTAAAAGCATGAACTTCTGTTATTACTTTGTTAAGTACGAATCATATATGTAGAGGTTAAATTTTAGTAGAACAAATTCAAATGAAGTGAAATTTGAAGCAACTACTTATTTAAAAAAGAAACATGCAAATTAAAATTCGTATAATCTGTAAAAAAATAAAACTGTCTTTGTTTTATTTCCTTGTACTTAAGAAATCATCTGTATACCTAATTAATAATTGGGCTTCCATTTAGGCGATTAAACCTATATAAATAAACGATGCTTATCTTTGAGAACGCCTAAAAATACGTTTTGACTAAAATATCATATCCATGCTTGTATCCATGTAAATTTTAGAAATGTATCCAAGTGCAATAATGTTGTATAAATATACTTAATAATGTGTATTGTGATGAAATGAACAATTCTAGGTGTGTATTTTAAATAATATAAAATGTTATGCGATTTTTGTTTTATTTCTCTACTCTCGTACACAATCCACTATGGTCGTTATGTCGGACTCTAACCGACTAAAAACCGCACGCCACCTCAGGTACCAGTAGCCGGGGAACCAGGTGTACGCTAGGAAGGAAATCCCTGGGCTATGAAAATCCTAAAATTCCTCTATACCCATTTAACAAAATAGACAAAATTTAAATAGTAAAAAGTTGACAAAATTAAAAGAAAGGTAAAGTATTTTCGTAGCAAAATTTTTGAATATACTACTTAGATTAACTGAGTAGAAATAATTATTTTTTGAAAAATTAATCCAGGTACCCGAATAATACAAGAAAACTTTTTTAATTCTTATTTCTTTTCTAATGCATTTATGAATCTATTTATAAAAGCCATAAAACTAGTTATAAATGCTATAACTATTTTTATAAATTGCCAATTTATTTAATTGGTTAACTCGCGCGCTCTCCTTGGTCGCCATGCTTGCAAAATGGTCGCGCGCATTCACGCATGCGTGTTGCTTGCAATATGTCTGCTATGTGTACAGATAACGGTAAGTAAATAAATTAATACATAAATATCATTATGAATTTTAATCAGGGTTTAAATTATATATTTTGCAAGTCAACTTATACATGTAAATTACTTGTCCTGTCTGACTGAATTAATCATCAACACTGGGGTTACGAACTTGAAATTTTGGCAGCTGCTTCTTTTTTTATTGTAAGCAACACCATTTAAAAAAGGATTTTGGAAATTTCACCCCTAAGGGGGTAAAATAAGGGATGAACGGTTGTATGAAATTTAGTCATTTTCAAATTTAGAAACACGAAATAATCACACGAACGTACCCCCTGGCAATAGCTAGTAAATAGATAAAACACCAACATTAAGACTTGACTTATCAAGTTACTACTTATAAATATACTTGGAAATATTTTAAAAGAATATTTCATATTGATAGATGCATTATAACTACAAAAAGCCTAAAAGAATAACTATAAATACTATCTAAAAAGTTATACATGAATAAATTATTTGACAGTTGTTTTAGTTTATTTTTTAGTTTTTAGTACGATAGTTTATTTAATTTAGACTTTAAACTCTATATCAGTAGCATATCTGCAGTAACAGTTTTTAAATTTAGTGTTAATCGGCACTTAATATCTACAATAATAAGATACAAGGCACAGCAATTTTTTTTATCACACAACATACACACATCTCATATTGTTAGAAATAACCAAAAAAAAAACGAACGGGATCACGTAATGTATACATTCAATAATTTTTAAATATCCCCCAAATCGTGTAGCTACCCTACAACATCCGTAATCACCCATGTTGCCTGGAGCCCAACGAGAATTTAACGTTGGCGATGATCATCGACGCGTTCGAGATCTACGGCCATGATCCTACTGACAAGCTCGACAATCTGTGGCTCTATCAGAATGAAATGTTAAGGATCAAAACTGCTGAAGATCAAGTAAGTTAAAACTGTAGTAACATATAGCGATAGCTTCGTGACACTAAGCTGTTAGATTTTGAAGACTAATAATTAATTACCTATATGAGAACATTTATTTACAATAACTATAACAATTGTGTTTAGGTAGATATTTTTCTTGTAATAATAAATAATAATGTTTGTGTTCCCCAGTATATGATCAACGAGAGAATCCACATAGCCACTGATCATTTGGGGCGGTTTGTCAAACTACACATTCAAGAACTAAAGGTACGAAACTATACAAGATCTTTGCTCCTATTAGTGTCATCTCTCATGAAAGGTCTAGCTTGTGCCAGCTAAAACGCGGTGTACTTGCAGTTTTATACATGTGAATGCAGCAGCTTTAGGCGAGACTTGGTTATGCAAAAGACGTTTTACAACGGATTTATCATGAGATGGAGAAAGGAACTAATGATCGATGATCTAATAATTAGACATAGTTATGCAAAACTAGAACCAACCCTCAAAAAGTTACTTTCGAGATAATTAGATTTTTGTTTCAAAAGTGTCCAAAAAAATGGTAAGTTAATTAGGATATAAAACTTTACAATATTATGTGTAATATTGATGGCAATATAGGACAACAGAATTATATTGATTTTTCTTTGATTTAGTTTTTAATTTAAATCAAAAACTTGCTGGTTCTTAATCGCAAAAAATTTTTGTGGGTTGGTTCTTTATAACAGTATACTAGGGCTTAAATAACTTTTATACATTTAAATAACTTGTGTTTTATAATATTTTACGGTAATTTGAACATACAAATGTCAGATATACACCTAAAAGTCGTATAAGAAACTACTTATTTACGTATCACGCCACTTTAGCTAATCAAGATTGCCCATCTCTATTTCAAAATCTACTTGACCAGAATACCGGTCTATATCATCTTCTACTGTCACTTCTCCCGTTAATTTTCTGTAAAAGTCATGGCTATCTTCTGGGATAAGATGCAAGCTTTTTAAATCATTTATCTTGGCCTCAAAGATTGTTTTTTTTTTGGATTGGTCTGTATTTCCTCGTAAAGTGTTCTTTAGATTTACTTCAATATAATAATCATTCAGGTCAGAGCGAATAAAAATAGAAAACTTATCTTCTTTATTTATCAATATTTCCTTAGTGTTAAGCCACGACACTTTTGACCCATCAGTAGCTTTTTTCTGTTTGTAATTCTCTTTTCCAGATTAGCAATGGATAAAAAATCCTCTTTTTTTTTATTCTAAGCTTTGTTTTTTACATATCTGCATTATACGCATATAGTCTTCTGGCGTATATAGTCTTGGCAGTAATTTTAGAGCACATTCGATTCGGCCAAAGTCGGTATCGTTAGGTAGGAAACTATGCCCAGATTGCAGGAAGCGAAATCTGATAGTTTGAAGAGTTGAATGACGTCAGTTTTAGTCAACGTCAGTTTTATGTTGCGGTTTTGACCGCTACAAGAGTCACTCCAGAGTATCAGGTTCTTCTCACCGTCATTGTTGCCAAGTCTGACATGAACCCACTTCCTGAGATCCTCTCCCAGCTTCGCCTTCTACCCAAATGTTACAATAAGCCTGATCGTTCTTTCCAGAATGGATTCCTAAGTTGTAAACCCACAGCTGACTTTTATAAAATACCACATTTGTGGGTATACGTGGAAGAGGTAGTATTTTTGCAGGTCGAAAGTTATTGTTTGGGTGGATGGATCTTTATTTCATGTCACTTTTAAGTTGATTTTGCAATATTTTTTAGTAGAACACTTACTCTGTTCCTTTCTGTTCCCTTCCGTGCCTTTTAGCACAAAAAAGACGAAAATAATTTGTATTTTTCTTTTTTTTAAAGAACCATGTGACTTGGTTTCATTTTGCGTATTAAAAATGCGAAAGATCTGTAGGTACCATGTAACATGTCTTTTTATCTTTTATAAAGTAAATCTATCTGTAGGTGGTACCCTAAGCGGGCTTCATTTTTTTTTTTTGTTTTGACTTGATAAATTGATCAGGTCTTTCTAAAATGGTGTAAAACGTGGTTGGGAGTCTGTCTTAATACGTAACGCAATTTGACTCGAATTGTGGGTTGGTTCTTGTTTTCATAACTATGTCCAATTTTAGTAAGGAGATTCTTAAGTAATTAAAAGTATATAGGAATACTTATTGTTAAAGTTACGTAGTTTTTTCAATTGTGTTTGTCATCTAAATATCTGAGGGCCTAGTGTGAGTTTATTAGAACGAAGTTCATTACACGCTCTGAGTGGATTTGAGCGAGACCGAAAAATGTGTAACAAGACTATTTCCGACACTTCAGCTGGTGCGTCAACGTTCACATCTTTTTTATATTTCACAATAGTAAACGTCTACCAAAAAGCGAAAGGAACTTCGTTCCGACCGGGGATCCATAGGCCTTCACGCCATTTTTTCACATCAACTCGCTCTTGATGGCGAGCGCATTTGGCGATGCGATTGGTGAAGATTGCAGTGGGGGCCAATCACAACGCTGAACGCAGTCATCGTGAGAAACAAGTTGATGTGAAATAAACTCGCACTAGGCCCTCAGAACTTCGACATCAAAATTGAGGATAATCATAAATTTCTCGATTTGTCATCTAGGTTTTATTAATTACATTAGACGACGTGTTGGACAATATGTTGACGATGTATGATAATCACAATGCGGTCGCAGCAGAACGGAAAGCTACTTACACGGGAGGGCCGGTACCCATGGAGTTTTACCTCAGCCAAGGTAAGAAACTAATATTCATTGTTTTTGACTTATAGAGTTACGTAACATTTGTAGAGCTGCCCGTTGAATAATATGACAAATGGTGTCGTCACATTTCTACAAGGAACTGCTGTAATTTAATTCAATCCCCTTCCATGTATGACTAGGAGTAAATTTCTAAAGGCTCTATTATAATGACCAACAGTGACGTCACACTACAGATACCTACCTACTTTAATATAATATAGTAATTTAATATGATATACCAATGGGTGACTACCGTTGGTTACCCGCTCAAATGCACTTATAATGAATGAATAAATGATATACTCGTATAGTGAAGTGACATTTCTAGAGGTTCTCACAAATGCGTTTACACACATGTCCGCCTGATGTTAACTGACTATCGATAAGTAGCCTTTGGAATACCGGCTGTGCAGACCGTTTTGAAACTGAATTACTATTTCTATGGTGTTAAAAATGTGATGAGTAAAGGTAAGTTTTCATATACTGGCTGCAACTATACAGTGTTTCAAGAAAGCTTTGATAATACTTTCGAAGCTATTTATACATTAATACGTGCAGAGTTTTTGTATCCATTTTTTTTAAGTTCTGCAATAGGAGGAATATTAACGCGTATATCTAAAGTCACTCTAAATTGTAAGATAATTTTCGGTGATTTTATTACTTTCAGAATTTTACTGCGGCAAAAATGTATATATCTTCGTATCAGAGTTGTACAGTGACATTTATAATATGGGACGAGGAGTAGCGCCGTACTGCAAAGATAGATCTTTCGTCTTCCTAGGATTCCTTCACTTTCACGACGAACAGAAGTATTACCTATTGGACGACCCAAGCATATCCTTCCCTACCGATAACTACTTACATGGCTTGGAGTGCCATATTGGGATTTGCATATTCAGGTATAATATACGTACCTATACATAAATCGATTAGTGTTTATCACGGGGCCCTTACATGTCGTAGTAAGCTGCTCCAAATTTTCTTTAGAAAGATGTGACCTATGTAAAGCATGACCTATCGATTTAAACTTTTTATTTTGAAAAAATGTGTGTAAAGGTCTCTTACATACACTACGTTATTCCTACGTAGGGGTAGGCAGAGGCGTATTAAGCGCCAATTTCTCCAATTATAATTTAGTCCCATTTACTTATAACCACGTATAACATGATAACGACATGAATTTCGCTATATGGTCTTTCTGTGATTGCCTTAACGTGTCGTGAGCGTTTTCATATTATAACCATAAAACGGATTTCGCTATGTGTTCTTTCTATGATTGCTACAACAATTCATAAGAACCATAAAGCGAATTTCACTATGCGGTCTTTCTGTGATTGCCACAACGTTTCATAAGAACCATAACAGGCATTTCATGTATTCTTTCTGTGATTGCCACAACGAGTTATGAAGTGTTATTTCCCTTCATGAAGCGTTTTTGGTCTTTGAACGTAAAATATATATTTAGAAACATTTAGGTATATTAGGTAGGTAGGTATGTTTATTTAGAAATATATTTTTGTGTGCCCGGTGGATGGCCCTAGGTTTACCACCTATTACGTAAGCAAGACTAACGTTTATAGTCGGGCAATGTGGGCGTTTATATCGCCTCTGTCTACTTCTTCGGGGATAATGACTTAAGCCATGAATGTCCTTAAGTTTTTATAACATGTCTCTTAAAACTTTTCGTCTTAAAGATTTCCTTTCAAGAAGATCCTGCAAAAGGTTCGCGATGTGTTGACTCTTCCGAAAGCCATAGTGAAGTGTGGCACAGAGATGTACAAGCTCCCGCCTCTTACCGCCGCGTCCTGTATCATCACCTCCGGCTCATTCATACTCGATTTCAATATACAGGGTGTTAGATATAGACACTACGATTATTTGCTGGTAAGACAATTTAGTTTTCACTACCGTTTGGTCGTATATTTTTTATGGGATAATACTTAAAAATATATAAATAACAATGGTAACCCAAAAATTAGGTCGGTAACGAACTGTAACGAATGATATGATATGATATTCATGACATTAATCAAAAATGTACCATGTTATTATGGCAAGTGACTTTATATATTGTTTGCGCATTTAGTCTGGATTCTAAAAACACACAACACTTGGTTGATTATTTTGAAAATTGACGACGAAAATGTGAGAGCAGACTTCACGTTGATTCTGTTTGAATATTTAAAGTATTGGTTATGCACCTACTTTTTTCAGACTATGCCAAACGGCAACACATATTACACCAAAGAGCCTCGTTCGCCGCTTATCTGCGATCATCATGTGTGCGAGTGGAACTACACTAATCATTACGGAGGTAAGATAATGTAATACGTTGATCCAAAATTGACCGAGAAAATGTAACCATGCTATTACAGACGTGAAAGAAATTGTAGGTTATTGCGAAGATTTCTGTTATATCATGTTATAACTTTTACGGACTGACTGCACGGATGGCGTAGTGGTTTAAGCGGTCGCCACGCCGCTTCCTACTACGCCGAGTGTTGTGGGTTCAAACCCCACATGGGACGACACTTTGTGTGATCCACAAATTGTTGTTCTGAGTCTGGGTGTTCTTTGTGTCCGTTTCATGTATGTTTGTAAAGTCCCCCGCGACACAGGATTTATTCCTAATGCGGGAGTTGTCTTTTTAAAGAAAAAAAAAATTTAAAAAAATAATAGGAATTAAATAAAGCATACAGTTTTAAAAATGTTGGAGAGTAGTGGGGCACCTACTGAACTACTCTTTTATACTACAGGTCCATTCTTGATCCCTGGTGATCCTGGTACAGGCATAGATCCGGTGCCACCATACATCGAACCCACGCCGAAACCCGACGGAAGCGGCGATGACGACAACATTACTGTACCGTGTAAGTTTATTATAAATATGTGACAACGATGACTTCGATGTAGAAGATAGTCAATTCGAAGTTTCCAGAAATGCCAAGTAAAACACACTAAAGTAATTGTTCATTCTTAGGACAAGATGACTAAACACAGAAACACAGACAAGCTTACCCTTCTGAACTAACTGAAAACCGGTGTTAAGCAATTATTTCGTTGCTTTTCACTGAGTGATTAAGGTTACCTGAGGCTTAAATCTACCCCCTTATGTACTTAGTATTACAGTAATTATTTCTTTACTTTCTTTATTGATTTACTCTTTAGTAGTAATATAGTGGGATACATATACCTAGTAGTATAAAATATAGTATGATGGATTTTTACCAATAGATATCCTCGATGGGTGCCTGTTCATGTATCCACCGAACTATGGCTCAATCGCCGGCAAGAGCTACCTGGATGCCATTGATCTCCATGATGACAGATTTACTTGTAATGCTGCTGGAGGGAATAAGGTAAGTAGATGTTTCTTAGCAGTAGAATATTATCAAATCCTTTTTTTTTACCCACTACAAATTTCTTTTCCAGCAAGGTCTATATTGGTATCCCCAATGGATGGGTGCCGTACCACGTCAAACGTTCTCATCGATCGGCGAAGATAAAGACCACTTTGAACGGCCAGGTGCCTTCTACCCGCACCAACAACCATACGAATTTGAAGAACAGGATGCTGAATAATAAAAAAATTAAGATATTTGTTTTATTTATTTCTGTATCATACCTTTGTGCCAAGCTTTTCTCAAGAGACTATCCCATGGTAATCATAGGTTGGACATCAGCTTATGTTAGAAAAACTTAACTAAAAACTTAAAAAAGTATTTTGATTAAAAAGTTTTTCTGCTTATTTCGCTTACTTACTCGTGTCAACATTTATTATTTTACTTTATATTTAAGACGAACCAAAAGGAAGAAGTAACCATGATTAAAACTTAATTTATTTCATATAACAGTAACAGTACAGCATAACATATTCTTAAATATAACTCTCTAAAAATCTGCGTTCAATATTAGTTCCACGCGGCAACACAAAGAATGCTGGTGTACCCGCTTTTAACTCGAAATATTTAGTAACTAGTAAATCGCCCAGATTGTTCGCTGCATTGATCACATGAGGCATCTTGTCGTAACCTTCAAAGTAGACATTCACTTTATCACAACTATATTTATTATCTTCATCCCATGGCGCTGGGAAAAGCTGCTCCAATTGATTCAACAATGGCACATTCTCAGGACATGCTCTGATGAAATCAGTCATTTGATATTCTGGGTACAATAACAATACAGGCCATTCTAATACTCCATTATTAATATGTACAATCGCGTCTTGCGCCCCCGGTAAACTTGGTTCTAGTTTCGACAGATCAATGTCATCTTCATCATCACATTTTGAAATTTTAATTCCTCTTTCAATAATAGCTTTTATAACTAACTCTTTTCGTTCGTGATCTTTTTCATTATTTCTTTCTTTTTTCCGCTGATCGCGCTCTTGAACTAACTTTTTCCTCTTTGCTGTATTGAAAAGGTCTGTAATCTCCTTGACTTTTGGTTGAGTTTCTAATAACTTCTGACAATGTTTTATACAAGTATCGTACTTTGATGCTTCAAAAGCTGATTTTGCTGCTCGCAGACGGGCTTTTGTGTGGTTCGGATTAAAACATAAAGCTTTCTCGCTATCATATAAAGCCGATCGGTAATTCTTCAAATGCCAGTGAGCGGCTGCTCTATTATTGTATAGACTAGCATTAATTTCTGCATCATCACATCTCTGCTTGATGCCTTCTGTGTAACTGAAAAAAGAAAACTTTGCTAATATTAAAATTGTAGGTTTTTTGCTTTCACATCTCCAACCATTATTTTCAACTATATTTTATTTAGGGGAATTAACGCGCTCACTATTTGTATTTAAGTACATACCTTCGAAATGCATGAAGTTTCAACCAGGGTGCACTGAGCGTGGTCGTCAAGTCCATGACATAGAAGTTTCTTTATCAAAATCGAAAAAGTGCGGGTGGATGAAAAAACTTCTACACATTTACAAGTTATACAGGGTTACTGGGTAAGTCGACCTATAGTTACGGCTCGCTATGATGGCCGTTTTGACGTTTGTCCACTCATGAAGTTTCGTACTAATTAGCAAATACATTTGAAGGAGCAAATTGCTGTTCTTTATTGTCAATAGTGACGTACTGTTAGCCAAAAAATTTATCGAAATTATTTTTTTCAGACACAAAATTTATTTATTACTATGATTTCTAAACTATATATATTAGGGTCCCGAGAACATTTATTTTTTTATTTTTATAACAATATAATTATTGGTGTACTTATTTACCACACAACTCGGCATTTGTTTTTGAAATTCAAAATTAAAAAAAAATGAAATTTAATACGATAGTCACATAGGATCGCTGGCCACACAACTACTACTTCCGGCAAACTCGCGTGAATGCTCTATGCAAAACAAAGCAGTACAAACTGTGAGTTCACTGCGATTGTGATATAGTTTTAACCTGGCTTTGGATTTCGGATATTGATACTGCACTACTGTTGAGCCTTGCTCGACCTTGACCCTTTTTTTGGTCTCTTTGTATTAAATTGTTTTTTGTGTGCATATAAAGTATGAATGATAAATGATATTTATTTCTGTAAGTAAATCTATTATATATATAATCTATTAAATATATAGATATTTTTACAAGTCTGATGTATATTCTTTTCATTTCAATATTCAGATCGTTCAAATATATTAAGTAAGCATTTAAATATTTTTTTTCAAATTTTTTAATCAGGTACTACTTGCAATAAAAACTTATAGATTTCATTATATTTTTTTCGAGAATAAATTGACATATCACTATTGTAATATGTCAAAACGGCCATCATAGTGCCGCAACTATAGATAGGTACTTTAAGGTATTGTAGTTGCTATCATTTCTGACAGATTTCACTATGAAATACCATATCCCAAACCTATCCATTTTCAAGATATTGGACTTTATTTGGATTTTTTTTAATTGGAGAAATTTTGCCTAATACATTCTTTTTAGAACTTATGCCCTTTATTGTATGCTTTTTTTTTACTGTTTTTGTGTAGTATCTATCGTCGACTTACCCAGTAAACCTCTATATTAAGTACATTGAATTTGACTTTGAATTGCCCGACATTTCGACCAGGTTGTACTGTCCATGGTCGCAGACTGACTGCCTGAGAGTCAGTCAGAGCGCGTTAATTCCCGTTAGACATAATTATATATCATAGAATGCAATATTTTTAAAGTTATAACATTTTTTAATGAATACTCTTTCAATATAAAAAGATTTTTTAATAGATTGTAAGTAGGTCAACCTGCCTATGAAAGAAGTTAAAAAAGTTGAACAAAACAGTTGGGCAAAATGTACCAGTAAACAAATATTGATAAGGACCGAAAAATCTAAATAAATCTTTGTATGTGGAAAGTTTTTGTATTCCTTTTTAAACATATATGCCACATGCAAGCACCTTATATTGGAATTTTTAATGTGTATATGAAAAAGAGGTGAGGAAAATTATAAACCAATGTGTTTTTAGTTAAAAGTTAAGTAGAAACATCTACATAAAAGTATAGGAGCTCAGTACATATTGTAACCTGTCATGATATAAGTCTATGCAATAGGAATGGAATAAAATCACCATCACCAATGAAATCATATAATCAAAACCTGTGACTAATTCACAAAACCATTTTTTTGTTTGGATTTTTATTAGCTTAAGTTTTTGATGGCATTTATGTTTGTCTATGATCTTGACAGTGAACCCATTGAAAACGGAAATGATCATGTTCACGAAAAAACCAAGTCTAGGTAATTTCAAACTTCCTAAACTATTTCAACCCAACTGGCTCTTACCTAAGAGGCCAAATACCTAGGAGTAACACTAGACAGTAAACTCCTGTGGAGTAGGCACTTCGAATAATGCCTGCATTGTCTTCTGCCAATGCAAACAGCTACTCGGTAAAAGCTAGAGACTATCACCAAAATTTCCACTATGGCTCTACTTAACAGTCATATGACCAATAACCCCGTACAGTGCCGTTGTCTGGTGGCAGAGAATAACTAGATTGCAGCAATTCCAGCAACTCCCATGCTCTGCGGTCACTGGCTGTATGTGCACAACGCCAACTGTCGCACTAGAGGTGTCTCTTGGTCTGCCCCCACTGGACTTTTTCAAACGACTTTTTCAACCATGGCTGCCTCATCTATGGCACAAGGGCGAGGGATCGCACTCCACATTATGGGATCAATTAGTGGACTATGAACCACTAATACCACTTTCATGCTACAGGATCCCAAAACACCATACCTTCATAAAGAGATACAACCTTAAGACACGAAAATGACAGAAACGGACAGGTTCCTCACAAGACCTAATGACATGAACATATCACTAGCGTTAGGCCAACACAGTTTCATATACCAATGCAAATGTGTGGCAATAACTTACGCTCGCGCCGCCACAACGGCCATGTCAAAGACTATTCAGGACTATAGTGTACATCCGTATACTGTCAGACAGCATAGCCATCTTAAAGGAGGGCAACACAATGACATCTGGTATTGTCTTCAAGTGCTATCAAGTTTTAGAGCAGCTTTTCACAGCAAATGAGGGACTCCTCCAATGGATTAAAGGGCACAGTGATTCACACGGGAATGACGGCGAAGATGAGCTAGCAAGGAGGGGCTCGGCAACCCTGGCCACCGGCCCAACCACACTCCTGCCACTGCCCTTCAACTAACTTCGATCTAGGGGTTTACAGCGTACTCGTAAAGCGCACAACCGAAGGTTGAAAAAATTTACCCTGCTGCAGACAGTCCAAACTGGTGCTACCTTAAGTCTTACCACGACTTACTTCAGACTGATAAGTCTTAGCAGACTAGATATCCGGATAGTTGTAAACACCATAACAGGACACTTAGCCCTGAAGCAACAACTATTCACCATCAATGTAACGGACAGCCCTCTTTGCAGAGAATGCCTGAAAGCAGAAGAAACCAGAGTGGCATCACAACGGGAAGTACCATACCTGGTACAAAATCGCTTCTAGGAGCCTGTGAACGCCCCAAGAGGCTTCTGCGCTTCTGGAAGGAGCTTGGTTGGATTACCTAGCAAATCTCTCCTAGATGCATAAAGCGCCACTCTCGAGTCTAAATGCGGAAATCGGAGCCCACTCCAGTAATAATAGAAGTCTTAAATGTTGGTTCAATTATGTTGATAAGGAATGTTCTTATCAACATTTTTGAACCAACATTTGCCAATACATCATTCACAAAGAAAAACGGCAGACGTGTGTACACAACAAGATAAATGACAAATATGGGTGGATTTTGTCTTTTCCTACTAGAAGGTACACTTTTATTTTGTTTACTTTGACAAATCAAGAAATTTACTAACCCTAAAATTGCTAGCCTATAATTTTTGTGCTTGAAATTGAAATTCCCATCCTCCTTGTAGTTGGTGGCTAGCTCGATAGGAGTGTTCTCTTCAGGATCATATTTTAACTTAGCAAGTCCTTCAGCCAACGGAGACAGTTCACCATCATCTGGTGTACTCTTCATAAAAAATGGATGCTTGTCCATTTCCTCCTACAAAATAAAGAACTGAGTTTACAGTATTCGAATGTTACAAGTAGGTATAACTCAACTCCCAACCACTTAATATGAATATAGAAAATGAACCATACAGATATAAGCATAGCGAGACCATGGGGTACAGCTGCTTGTAAGTGGAAGCGATACAGGCTCCGAGAGAGATGGATGCCCGATAGTTCCCTCTGTCACTGTTTAGTTCTCTGTTTACTTAAGCTGAGATTGGCTACTTATTTTATGAGTACATACATTCATCATCATCAATAGCCTATAACAGTCCACTGCTGGACATAGGCCTCTCCTTAAAAAGGAGGTTTTGGCCTACTATATCACACTGCGTGTTTCAAGTTTTCCTTCTCTTTGCAGTGCTGTTGTCCTGCATAGTTTGTTCTCTAAGTCGGCTCTTACGACACCCACAGGATGAATAGGGGTGGTGACATTCTATATTCTTAATCCGTCACCACACGGACAATAATAACATTACCATCTTTATACATCTTTGAAACAGCAGTTTTTGTAAAGTCAATTTTAAGTCAAATTTAGGAGAAAATGTCCTTTGCGAACCCATCTACATCTTTTGAAATAAAATATTGATTTATATATAAGTACATGAATGGTGTTAACTAATTAATTGTTTCTATTAGAAGTGGTCATATTAAAGTAATAACCATTACCTCCCAGCGGTCTTCTGGCCATCCTTCAGTATAGCGCTTTTGTTCTAAGCTATCAATAAAATCATCTAACTCTTTATCCAGTTTTTGACACAGTGCTATCCTCTCTTCGTCCGTCATGGACTTTTTAGGTTCCTTTTGCGTACCTTCAGACATTTTTATAAAATATTCTTCGATTTTCTAAAATAAGTCTTTCTACTACGGAACTGTACACAGCAAGATAATTAAAAATAAATTTCAAATAAACAAAAAAAATCACTACGGGGTAGATCTGTTACAGTTCGCTTTCATCATAAATTAATATTTATTTTATTTTCATCCTAACAACACATACGTGTGTAAAAACAAACATAACCAAAGACATTAATAAAATAACCTAACATAAGACATAACATAACCCTATACCTGTGTTGCCAAATTTCGACAGGTTGCCCTGGTTTGTGTTTACTGTTACTGTCTTACTTATTGCCTTTGAAAATATAATTTTAATGATGATGTGTAAAATTTTTAATCTTGTTTGCCGACAATTTGGAAAGTCATTTTGTGAAAGAGGACGGAAGTCTGTAAAGGAACAGGAAACCAGCAAAGTGCGCGCTATTTAACAAGACCAACAAACTTAATAAACTCACTAATTTAAATAACATAGTTTTTTTTTAATAACGACAGTTACTTTATTACTAACTAGCTTTTACCAACGGCTCTGCCCGTGTGTATGTCGTGTGATACTCGCTGATGATGCAACTTCAAATTAGTGAAATAATTTTTAAAATTGGTTTAGGCGTGAAAGCGTAACAAACAAACTCTCTTTCACATTTATAATATAAATGGATGTTACAGTAAAACTAATGGAAAAGAAAACTACACTACTTTTTTTTTTTTTTTTTAACGTGTGGAAATCCCCTCGGACCGTCACCCCTCCGGGGTTTGCGGCGGGGTGGTGTGTCGGACTCGGACCGACTAAAACCACACGGTGTGCCACTCTGCGCCTGTAACAGGAGGGATCCGGGAACAGCTGTTGTTAAGACATCCGGACCCCTCCTAGCGCCAGCCCGCTCCTGGTGCGGGCTCCGTCTCAATACATTTTCCTCTCTTTAGGCGACGTCCGGCACACGCGGACACCGCCCCCTCGCGGCTGGCCAACTAATGCGGGTGGAGGGGAAACCCACCCCGTCCACCCGCGGCCACACTCAGGGCGGCATGAGGCTGTGGTAGGCGGGCCTCCGCCGCCCGGTTCGCCGGCGGCGGATCGGGTCCGAGTGGAGGTCGTCCTCCCGGGCCCTCTCCGCCGCCTCCTTCCGCGAGATTACTACCTCGCAGAAGGTTGCGACCGCGGTAAAACAACTGTCGCTACCGGCCATGGAGCGTACTACGGCCGGTAGCGAGAGATCCACTCCGATGACTGCAGTGAGGGCCCGGCGCTGCGCCGCCCATGCGGGGCAGACCGCCAGCGTGTGCTGGGCCGAGTCCTCAATGCAGTCGCAGTGGTGGCAGGCGGGACTCAGTTCCCTCCTGGCGACCGTGTGCAGGTACTTTCCGAAGCAACCGTGCCCGGAAAGCACCTGCGTCAGTCGGAAGGAAAGGGTCCCGTGCTGCCGCCCTGCCCACTCGGCGATGACCGGCTGGAGAGCCTCCACGGCGGCGAAGCCAGCGCGTGGAGTCTCCAGCCGGAACGACCAACGAGCCATCGTGGCTCGGCGAGCGGCTTCGCGCCACTCGCGCACATCCTCGGGCGGAGGGCGAAATCCGCTCTCCGCCCGGAAGTCAGCCACTCGCCGATAAACTTCGGCGAGCACTTCCGCCTCCAAATCCCACGGGGGAGTTCCGGCCAACGCGCACGCCACCTCCGTAGAAACGGTGCGGTAACCGCGTATGGCTCTGACCGCCATTACCCTCTGAGGGCGCCAGAGGCGTACCCTATTCTGGGCGGTCAGAGCCGCCGCCCACACCGGTGCACCGTACAGTGCCATTGACCGGACAACCCCCGTGTACAGCCGTCTTGTCGCGACGCTGGGTCCACCCATATTGGGCAAAAGTCGCCCTAGGGCAGACGCAGCGCCGACCAGCTTTGGAGCAAGCTGTCGGAAGTGCTCGTCGAAGAGCCACCTCCCGTCGAGGATCAGGCCCAGATATTTCATCTGGGCCCGAACCGGTACGAGGACCGAGTTGACCACTATTGAGGCGCCAGGGGGTGGACCACGACGGGGCCCATGGAATAACAGGGCCTCCGTCTTATCTAGGGCCACCCGTAAGCCCAGCGCCTCAATGCGCCCGACCACCAGGGAGACTCCCCCTGTGGCCAGGCGCGCCGCCTCTTGGAAGTTTGCCCCCCGGGCTGTCACGAGGGTATCGTCTGCGTAACAGATTACACCCAGCCCGGGGGGGAAATCGGCGCGAAGGGCCCAGTCGTACCCTATGTTCCACAAGAGGGGTCCAAGAACAGACCCCTGTGGAACACCGCACGACATGGGCCGACACCTCAGATTACCTTCTCGGTCCTCGTACACGACGGTACGCTCCTCTAAACAGTCTGCCACCAGCCGCCTCAGGTACTTTGGCACCCCATGATAGTGGAGTGCTTCCCTGATGCAGCTGAATGGCAGACTATTGAATGCGTTGGCGATGTCTAATGACACCGCCAACAGCACGCCGCCACAGCTCACGGCCTCTTCGGTCACGGCCCTCAGGCGCAACACGGCGTCGACTGTCGAACGCCCCGCCCGAAAACCAAATTGGGCGTCCGACAGATCGGGGCCCACCTCGCAGAGGTGCAGGACGATGCGGGCAGAAAGAACCCTCTCAAACAATTTGCCCGCCTCGCCCAGCAGCACGATGGGCCTATAGGCCGCGACCGAATCGGCAGGCCGTCCCGGCTTCGTCAGTAGGACCAGCTTCCCGCTCTTCCAGCACTCAGGGAAGCGTCCCGACGCCAAGCTAGCGTCGAACACCTCCCCGAGGCGGTCTGCCATGTGGTTGAGGGCCAGGGCCAGCACTCGAGCCGGTACCCCGTCTGGCCCAGGGGCGGTGTTCTTGGAACGGATCCGTAGAACAGCCGCCCCCACCTCCGATTCCCGGACGGGCGGAACATTGTCCTCCCCGTGCTCCCCGTCGTCTCCGGCCAGGGAGGCCATCGACGGGGGAGTGTGTTCCGCCCGTTGTGGGAAAAGGCCCTCAACCACTTCTCGCAGGAAGCTGGGCTGGAGAGTCTCCGTAAGGGGGGGGCCCGACGCGCGGAGCTTTTGTCGCACCGCGCGGTAAGGGCGACCCCAGGGGTCACGATTAAGACCCTCCAGCATCTCCTGTCTTTTTTCCTCTTTGGCGCGGCTAATGGCCAGCTTCAGAGTTTTCCGCGCCCGTCGGTACTCCTCATGAAGCCGGTCCTCCTCACCGTCTCCACGGTGACGCCGCCGACTGCGCGTGTAGGACCTCCGGGCACGTGTACAGGCCGCACGGAGGTCCGCCAGCTCCTGGGACCACCAGTAGACCTCCTTCCTTGGAGGCCGACGACCTCGAACGCGGGGCATGGCCGCATCGCATACATGCGTAATCGCATCGCGAAAGCGGCCAGCCCCCACGTCGACCTCCTCGGTCGGAGCCTGAGGAGACAGCCACGAGTGAATTATGGCTGCCTCCTCTAGTAGGTCCCGGTTCAGCCTGGCAACAGCCCACCGCGGAAAGCGGGATAAACGCCGCGCCACGTGACCCCTACTGGAGTCCTGGGTCCGGGAGAGCTCAAATCGGATATACAGGTGATCCGAGAGCGTCTCAACCTCTTCCAGGACACACCAGTTCCTTACTCGTGCGGCGAGGGCAGGGGTAGCGAACGAAAGGTCCACTATCGACCCCCCCTGCTGTCGCACGCACGTGTTGGTGGAGCTTCTGTTTAGAAGACAGAGGCCCACCGAGGCCGCCCACTCCTCTACGGCCTCGCCCCTGGCGTCCGTCCTGGGGGAACCCCACGCAATGGACTTTGCGTTGAAGTCCCCCAGCACAAGGACGTGCCCAGACGCTAGTCGCCGTATCGAGGTCTCCAAGCTGGTCAGGAAAACCTCGAAGTCGTTCAAACTCCGGTTGGGGGAGAAATAGACACCATATATGGTGATCCCCCCCCACTCGACGGCAACATATCCAGTGCCCTTGTCTCTTAGCGACAAGGGCGGGGAATGAGCCGTCGTGGAACCGACGACTGCCACGGAGCCGTCCCAGTCACCCATCCAGTTTGGACGGGGAGGGACAGAATAGGGCTCCGCGACTACGGCAACACCTATCGACCACTGTGCCATGGTTTGCAGGAAGAGATCCTGCGCCGCGGCACAGTGGTTCAGGTTCGTCTGGACCAGGAGGTTGGAGACTTGATCCATTACTGGATCGTCTCTACAACCTCCTCCATGGGCGACGACGTCGACGCACGAACTATATCGGAGGCAGCCTGGGTCGACTGGCTAACCCCCGACGTCTGCCGAGAACTGCGGGGAGGCTTGCAGCCTCTCTGCCCCATCTGGTGATTGGCGGGCTTATTGCCCGCCGCACACACTGGGCAGTGAGGGGCGGCAGAGCATTCTGCCGCCTTATGCCCCGGTTGACCGCAGCGGAAACACAGTCCGCCGCAGTCAAAACAACTGTCGCACTTGACGCGCGTGTGTCCCGCGGCCAGGCATTTAAAACACCTCATCGGTCTCGCCGCCAGGACTGTGATCCTGGCGCTCACGAAACCGATGAGCAGCCTGCCGGCGTCGGCCAATACTTTGGCCGACGCTACGGGACAGCTGACCCACACGGCGCCAAGCCCTCCTGGACCGGGGCGGATGGTGCCGACCCTGACGTTGTCCGCGCTGCACCCCGTCTTCTCCCGGATTACAGCGCGGACATCTTCGGCCGTCACTGAGTCGTCCAGGCCCGAGATGCGCAGTTCCGCGCACTTGGTAGGCCTGGCGACCCTGACACCATCTGTGGCTGCAAATATTCCCCGCAGCTTCTCAGCGAAGGAGTCCGCCGTCTTTGCGCCTTCAGCCCCAGGGAACTCGAGAACTCGAGCTCCCGTCTGGGCGAGGCGCATCCTGACCCCCACCGTCCCAAACTCGTTGGCGAGGCTGTCCCGGGCCTTTTTGAAGACGGCCGCATAGGACAGCCCGCCGTCAGCCGCCTCCGGGGACACGGTCACAACTACAGCCGCGGTTTTGGGCGGCTGCAGCTTCCGCGGCCTCTTTGCTGAGGCCGTTGCCACCGGTGGCGAAGGCTGGGCTTGGGCTGCTTTTTGGGCAGCCTTTCTGGCCCGCCTTCGGGACTTCTTGGAGCCCCTCGCCTCCTGCCAACCCTCGTTGGAGGGGGCAGGTGCGGAGGGGCCCGGCAGGGGTGTCGGAGTGGGGAGCGGAGGGAATGCCACTCCGCTCCTCGGCGCCGTTTTAGGCCCCGTCTTGGCCGGCGCCTGGGGATGTGCCTTGGCCGGCGCCTTAGCCGGTGCCTTGGCCGGCGTCTGGGCCGGTGCCTTGGCCCCCCTCCTCGGCTTTTGTGGAGCCGATGGAGTAGGGGCAGACGCCGCCGCCGCGTAAGAAACGCGGCCTCCCACAACGGGGAGCGCGGTCGGAGCGGCGGCCTTAGGCCGCTGTGCCGACGCGAGCGGGGGGCGCATACTCGGCGCAGGGGGCAGTCTCGCCTCCAGGCCAGCCAGGCGTCCGTCCAGCATATTCCCAACTGCGATGAGGATTTCTCGCAGTTGGGAGTCAAATGCCCCTGAGTTGGTGGTAGGGGCAGGCTGGGACGCGGACGGGGCTTCCCGCTCGGGGAGGTTCGCCTGGAAGCGGGCGAACTGAGCACTCAGCTCATTCACCCGCTCCGTCAGCCTCTCGTTGGCCACCTGTAGGCGCGAAACGTCGCCCACTAGGCCCTCCACGACCTCCGACAAAGCGGAGGAGGAGTCCTTAAGGGCCCTCACAAACGAGCCCTTAAGGTTCACGGACTTGGTGGCCACCTTGTGAATGACGGCCACCGCCGCTTTCGCCCTCTCCTGCACGGACACGGGAGCTTGGGGAGCATTTCCCCCCACCGGCTCCCGAACCTTGAGCAGGAGATCCGCGATCTCCTCCTCCGCTACGGCCTCGCCGTCCACCCGTACATTTCTGTAGGACTCCGCGTTTGAGAACGCGGAGCCTGACGGGGTTAAGACTGGGGCCGAGGCCGGTTTGCGCGCCCTCCCTCGGCGGCTGCTTGCCACCTTTGGTGGCATCATTTCGCCGGACGTGTCGGTTTCCACGTCCCCTGAGCGTCCGCGTTTTCGGCTGTCGCTTCGCTCCGCCTCCATGGCCTCCGCGCCATCCGAGGAGACGGCGGATCCGGAACGAATACGATCCGATGCTCTTCGGCTCCCAGAGACCAGCGTTAGACTGACTTCTGGGAGCCCCATCGAGATAGGCGTTCCTGACGCTATCTCACCCTCCGTGGATGAACCATCCACTCCACTGTTCCTCTTCTCTTTTATTTCCGAGTCCGTTTTGCTTGCCTGTTTCTGTTTGTTTATTGGTTGCCGTTTCTTTAGATTTTTGGTGATATGCTCCATAATAAATCCCACGAGTGGGGGAGAACTAAAGGTCCACCCGGGCAGAGATCCCCCATTACCCGGGCAAGCGTAAATTTTTAACCCAACCGAGGGGTCCGCAGGTACCTCGGCTTGGAGTGCGCTCGCGACTGAACTTCCCATCAGCCATGCATCCCCTGGCCACGCACCAGAACACGGGATTCGGGGAATTTTTTAGAGAGGTTATCTTCCTCGCGGTCCGGGCGGTTAAGCCAAGACCCTCGCCCCCGATCAGAGCCGCGAGACTTAACCACAGCGCTCTTCTCGGGATTGCGATATGCCGACGGTTGACAGGGAGACTACGTCCCCCTGCCTGCTCGGTGGTAGTGTGAGTACACGCCGAGCCCGTCCTCCTTTCTCCACCGCTGTCAGCGGAGAAACTGTGGCCCCTACAGGGCCCCGCCATCAGGTTTTTTACCGAGGTTTCCTCCTCCATGCTCCGAAGAGCGAAGAGCCAGCAGGGCAACCGGCAGACACGCCCACCCTGCTGGACCAGGCCTTGCCCGAGAGCCGATGAACGGCTGCCTCTTCTGCTAGAATATTGGCCGCTGGCGATAATCCTCTCCTCCAAGAGGACAAGGAGGGAACAGTACCATCGCCAGCGTTTCCAGGGTGCACCACGAGGAGGTTTTCTAGCCCAGCACCCCACACTACTACACCAAGGTTCACTAAGGTTCTGGCCGCGTACTTATTTTATTACGTCACAAAGACGTAATAAAATCAGAACGCGGCCAGTACGTCTACCGCCGGCCGCCCGTTGACATTTTGAGAATCTTTTTATGATAAGTAAACGAGCTTTCCATGACATGAGCTAGCAACTCAGGACTCACAAGCGTGTCACCGGGCTTGCTTTGAGGTGGGAGTACGCACTTTTCTTGAAGCTTTGAAAGTCGTATCGGTACTTAACATCTTTTATGACAGTTGCGAAATAGAGAGTCGATTGGAACCGAATTTTGACCAAACTTTCAGTTCGAGAATTTTGTCCTTCTGGAGTGAACACGAGCCGATAATAATTTTTTACAGGTTTAATGTAGTGGAAGAACGAGTGTCATGCCCCTCTTACACAAAAGGAGGATCCGTCAGGCGAGGTGGTCGTGACAAAGGGGGCCACGGACCAACGGTTGATTTTGGGAAGTTGTATATATGCTAATCGGCGTGAGAATTATTCATATCGCGATACAGGATTAGCAATTACTCCGTAGTTCGGTTTGTCTTCGTTAGATGGCACTGTAGTGTTTTTGTTTTATTGTAAGTGGAAGTCGCCATTATGTTAACATTGCTTATTATTAAGATTAAATTTCATATGAAATCAATCAGTTCAAAGTTTTGAAATTTCCTAAAGTTTACAAAATCATTATTATTCGTTACAAAGACAAGGTTTCATTAAAAAATTCGAAGGCTTGACTAATTAGTAAATAAAACGCTCTTAAATAAATAATAATATTTAATACCACATTAACAATTTATAAAATATATAGTTTAATTAAAAAAAAACTTGCGTTTCAAATTTTTTTTAAGTATTTGCCAGGAACAATCAGATACTAATGTAAGCGTCTAACGTAATAAATAATATAAATGTAAAATTAACTAAATTAATTTAGTAAATTTACTAATGTAGGTACTATAATGTATTTCGGCAAATAATAATATAATAAGAATTTACAGGGTAATAGACTATCGTAACAAGCCCTTGTGCCACAGTTGGATATATTCACATTTTCTTTGTTCTCGCCGTTTAAAGTAATCGGGGAAATGAGCTTTTTCTAGGGGATGCCAGTAATCAAGAATCCAGTCTGGAGGTGTGACGACGCGCTCGGGTGCCACTCCAGCACATATTCCATATGATCTAGCAACTGGAATAGTATTTGGTAGAATAAATTTATTTTTTACACTATTCTTGAAATTTTATTGTAATCAAACAAACAAAAACCTCTTATTAAAAGGTATCAGTACAGTGTTGTAGTTTTATCTTTAGTGAGTAGAGTCGCCAGATCTCTAGAACCGATAGGACTGGGACAATGCACGAGCTTAGCAATTTAAATTAATCCAGTTTCATGAGTGTTATTTAATAAGCCAACCGAGTGGTAACCGCTCATTGCCGGTTACGTAGACGGCTACCTTAACTTAAGTCTCATTTTCCCACTGGCATTGAGCGCTACAACTATAACCCTATACAAGTTAGTAGAAGACCAGTTCCAATAAAGATCTTCACTAGTTGGGTACTGTTTCAAAGCAAATATGCTAGTTATAAGCCTACCAGAATGTTTATAGGAAAAATCAAAATTAGTGTTTAAATATATATAAATATAATGCCTAGTTTACATGCGCACCGAGGCTTGGCAAACGTCGATGGAACTTCCACGTTTCACAAACGCTTGGATGCCATTTATACGCTTGCGAGTGTACTATTGTGTTCCGGACGTTCAGACGTGGACATATTTTTACTCAAAATATAAACAGCGGCACTAAACTAAAAAAAGAATATTCTTTAGCCCTACTGCTCAATCAGTAAAGCATTGAGACTTAATGTTAATTCCCGACTGCTCAACTACAAGATTTGTAATAATAAATTGAGCAGTAGGGAACAAGCACGCGCTAACGTGTAAAAACGTCGCAAACGCTTGCCGCGAGCTTCCTTTGATCTGTGTTCAAAAACCGACACTAGTACCGATCGACGACGAGCATACCGAGCCAAGCCAAACACCCCGTTTACACGCTTGTGTATGTGGACACTTGTCAAGGCTCGCCATGCGTGTGAACGGCCTAAAAGGGAAACTGGATTAGACGCTCTTGTTACTGATTCTTTTTCAACACATCTATAGCGTCTTATAGTTATTTCAGCATCATCAACCATCAATAGCCTTTAGTAATAAAGCTCTTTAGAAAAGAGGTTTTGGCCTACTAAACCACGCCAGCCAGACGGGTTGGTCAAGAGATTTGTTTCAATTTTTTTTTCTTTTCAGTGCTGTTATTTGCTCCCTTAGTCGGCTCTTACGACACATAAGGGTGGAATAGGGGTAACACTCCGTATTCTTAATATGACACCACACAGAATAGTTAATAAAATAGTTAATAATAATAATATTTCGGACATTGACACACAACGCCATCTAGTTTGAAGCTAAGCAGAGCTTTGACTATGAAAGCTAGATTAGTTAGCTAATGAATGTTAATTAGGCGCATAAACTGTACATGATTCTAAACTCCATACTATACTATTGACAAGTATTCGCATTTTATTTAACTTTTATGATGTTCACTGCACTATTTCATAGCCTTGTTCAATAAACAGGTAAAAAACAATAAAGATATTTTTTTTATTTACTGTAAATAATGGAGCGAATAGTTGCCGAGATTAGCGCTAGACGTGTATATACGAATATACACTATATTATTAGAAGTAAAATAGTTGTAACTGAATTATTACATTGCTTTAAGCACGAGAATTAATATTTAAACGTGGGAGAATCATACTTCGTGACGTATGAACCATCTTTACCTTATTGATACCACAGCTTTATAGAAAACCGGTGGAAAGTATTTTTTTTGTTCCGTTTGATCGTTGCAGTATCAGTACCCCCTTTTTCTTTTTTTCTTTTTTTTTTCCGTGCGGAAATCCCCTCGGATACCACCTGTCGGTGGCATGTCGGACACTATCAGTACCCCCTGGCTCTAATTCTAGCACTCTAAAGAATGTGGGGTACAGCAGTTTCCTACTCAAATTGGATCTACAACATCGGATACTTCTATTTTCTAGACCACGGTGTCATCGCATCATCATTCGTCACTATATAAATAAATTTACTCTTACATTTAGCTACCATTAAAGGATTCTGCTTCATGAAAAGTTCATGTAGTCCCACCCACAATAGGCGACGCTGCTCCTTGGCATCTTTAATACATTTGTTTTTGTCGAATTCACTTCTCAAATGAACTTGATGGTAGCGAATGACGTGCCTTAAAAATATAATACCGTCAAATAAAATGTTTAGAAGAAAAGTAGACATCAGACACAAAGAAAATTCTTTGATAGCATGTCTTCCATATACATTTTATCGACGAAACTCTGCTCCTTAAAGTTTTCATGCAAAGTTGAAGTAAAAGTAATCATGTGGAACTCTAGAAAATGCCTACCATAAAAACTAAATCAGACCACTGTGGATCATACGTCCATCCCGTATGACGGATGTTACTCGACAGTAGTGGAAAAGAATGTTATACCTATGTAAAAATTTAGGATTAGATTAAACTATTATACCTGACAACATAGTAAGACTCAATAGTTCGCATAGCTCTTTTATATAAACTACATACTTTTTGAGAATGAGTACGTAATTCAGGACAAAACGCCATTTTTATTCAACTTTAACGAGTCTGCTGTGAAAAAATAAGTTAGTACTTAAAAACCCTAGTTTTGACAGAAGTTACGTCAGTTTAAAACTTCAAAAATTATTTAAGCACGTAGGTCTCTTATTGAGATACAGAGACCTGCGTGCTCACTCACTATTTTTTAAGATGTCTACAGGTCAGTAATTAATGTTACACGTAACCTCGTGTGTACACTAAAATATGTTCAGGAGGGCTACGTCATAGTGGAAAAAAGATACGGATCTTTTTGAATCGTAGCAGGTAATGGATTGGCAGTTTAAAATAATTACTTTCTGGAATACAAAAAAGTAAATTAGTGGTTGGTTAATATGTCATGAATTGATCCAGCATCATCTTTATATTAAGACCATTCTGGCAATAACATTTTGGAACATAAGGAACATTTTGGTTTCCGCTCAACCCTAAAACTTCAAATTAAACCTAAGTTCTGCCGGGACCTGAAATCACATATAATCTAGGTGCTCCCTAGAGTAGGTCGTCTAAAACCGTGTGTCGACGTGGTTTTTAACGGAAACACCACATACTCGTGGCTCCTGGAACGAATTATCCAATCCGTCACGTCACCAAAAAAAAGTTCTGGTAACGTTTGTTTTACATTTATAAAGTTTTTATCTTACGCTTCCGAAAATAAGAACACACTTTTGATGAATTGAATCCAATGTGTGTGTCTCTGTTAGTCCTCCAATTAGCATCTCTCAGTAATAGGTCTGATGATCTGGACACCATCTTGTTTTTAGTCAGTTGGAGCCTGATATCTAGATGAGGTATTTATTTTTTCCACAAGGCACTATTTCACTTTAAATTTCATTCATTTATAAGTCAAATCGTGTCATAAATGTGTCCTTGAGTTGCAAGGACTGCCTGACTTGATCACATTAAAAAGCGTGACATACGTATTCTAGCAAACGAGCGGACTGAATTTCTTTACGTTGGTGTATTTTATAGCTTGTTTACTAAGTTAGTTTGCTTAAAGTATAAGCCAATCCTACGTTTTGTTTCTTGGCCAATACTGGTATAACTAATATTAGGTGAAACCAAATGAAAACTTTTCTTAAAAACGTCCTGGGTGGACGTTTTTAAGAAAAGTTCCAAGTAAAGAAACATTGAAAACAAATTTTATTGAAATTAAAAATTAAATTGCAAAACTCTGGTATAGATTATTATTTTTATTTATGATTGGAGTAAAATAATCTTTTGTCAAAAGTTTTAGAGTTGCATACAGAAAAAAAGAGAACAGCGACTCGGAATTGCAGTTGAGAGTTGACAACTCTCAACTCTGACATTATTAGACATTCTTTGACAGCTTGGTACAGGCCAAAATTATAAATATTTTGCATGGTTAATTCATTATTCTTTTACTTGTGAATTGTATATCCTAGTTTAATCATATAAATTGACAAGAACAATTCTCTTTACCCTCAATATTTGCTTTACAGTATAAATAATTATGGTTTTTAAAACATCATTCATTGATGTCCGGTATTAATTTTTAATGGTAAGAAACTACCCTAGCAATGTCTGACGCTTGGGAAGAAATTCAAGCTGTTAAGAGTAAGAGAAATAGTCTACGAGAGAAATTAGAAAAACGTAAGAAGGAACGGCAGATCATACTAAGCACCAATGCTAACTTGGTTACTAATGAGAAGTCAGAAGGTTCACCGGGTGGCGGGAAAGAGCGTTCCGCTGCCAGCCCAGCTTCACAGAAAAATGATGGTACTTATTTACATATTGTAAAGTATCAAATATTATAGATAGACCTTTATCATTATTGATAGCATTTAGCATAGCAGAATTTTTTAAGAAAATATTTAATATATTTTTTAATATGTAAACTTATGGTACATTATAGACATCCATTGACAGATATTAAGATTAATAGGTACTTATTTAAATTTGGCAGCAAAATATCTATGGAGCTTGTAAAAGTAAATTTTTCATATTTTTGTAGTTTATTAAATATTGATTTTTAAACATTGATATATGTAGTAGTATCAGGGGCTCCTATTAAGTAAGTAATTGCCGTAGGTATCAAATCCTGTTTATTACCTTCTGACTGTCAATATCTAAAATTTCTACTGACATAGTTACTGTAATTTTTTTCTTAAATTAATTTTTTTATGTTTTCTTTCAGCTCAATTACTAGAGAAGCCAAAGTTGCTGGTACCGTCAGCCTCCTTAGAAGTGCGATTGCTTCAAGTCCTTTCAGATATGCAATTACAACTTCCTGCAACCGCTAGTTCTCTACTCCCTGGATTGGGTGATGTTGACACTGGTATCATAGCAAGCTTATTACAAAAGTTTGCTACACAGAAACTCATTACGTAAGTACAGCACACTGAAAAATAAACACCATAAGAAATATATCATCATCATCACCACTTTCCAATTATATTTGGAGTTGGTGCAATATGTAAGATTTCTTGGTTTTGTCTGGTTTCTTTAATAGCCGTGTGCCTGCCTGACTTCAAGCCTCGGTTTGTATTAAAATTGTTTCCAGACAGGACAAAAGAAAGATACCTTAAGTCTCGGATGGGATACTGTTCTGAGACTACTGTTGAGTTGAGCTACTACAACAGCAGGCCAGAGTTGTGTACATGTATGTTAGTACCGTGATTGAATTCATATAGGACATCATCTTACTCAGGGTTGTGTCCATGTCGCGCCGACTCCCATACTCGTGGGAAACTCTGTCCTGGAAGTTGTTGACGAATATGTCTACCTAGGACAAACGGTCCAATTAGGTAAGTCCAACTTCGAGTAAGAGGTCATTCGTCGAATCCGACTAGGCTGGGCAGCGTTCGGAAAATTACGAAACGTCTTCACGTCCAAAATACCTCAGTGCCTAAACACGAAAGGCTTCAACTAGTGTGTGTTACCAGTGATGACCTACGGAACTGAGACGTGGTCTCATACTATGGGCCTAATCAGAAAGCTCAGAGTCGCTCAGCGTGCTATGGAAAGGGTTATGCTTGGCGTTTCCCTGCGTGATCGAATCCGCAACGAGGAGATCCCAAGGAGAACAAAGGTGGTCGACATAGCCCAACGGATTAGCGCGCTGAAGTGGCAATGGGCAGGGCACATAGCAAGGAGAACTGACGGCCGATGGGACAGCAAGGTACTCCAATGGAGACCACGTACTGGTAAGCGCAGTGTGGGACGACCGCTTACCCGATGGACGGAGGACCTGGTAAAGGTTGCCGGAAACCATTGGATGCAGGCCACAATCAACCTTCCCCGCTGGAAATCATTGGGAGAGGCCTATGTCCAGCAGTGGACAAGCATAGGCTGAAGAAGATCATCTCACTAATATTATAAAGGCTAAAGTTTGTGTGAATATATTGATGTTTGTTAACAAAAACAGCTGAAGAGAACTGGATGAAATTTAGCACAGAGATAGATTCTAATCTTCAGCCGTTTTTGTTAACAAACATCAATATATTCACACAAACTTTAACCTTTAGGCCACAGTACAAACTTTAGGCTATAGCCTGGAATAGCACATAAGCTGCTTTTGATCCCGAAAAAATGTAGCGTTATAGGATGAGCAAGGTACAACAACAACCACGGATAACAATGCGCAAAACAATCACAGCTTATTAATCCATATATTTTAACCTTTTATAGATTAAGAAATCCCTCTTTGAACTATTGTAACCATTCATACTGATACTTCCTCAGAGATAGTGTTTGCTTGAATGTCCAACTTTCAAGTAAACCAGTCAAAGTAGACTCAGTTGTATTATTGGCAACTACTACAAAAAAAACTGTTTTAAATGTTTCGTTATCTGTTTCAGTATCAAAGAAAGAACTGAGAGCACAACAGATGCCAGCTTAGAAGTTGTCAGTGCAGAGTCCGTAAGACTTGGGGCTGTACTTGCAGCTTTAATGGAAGAACAGGCTGCAGGAGAGAAGACCCCTCACAAGAGAAAAGGTATTATAGTCTTATATGTCACAATTTCTATTCGTTTTTCAAAACGTTCGTGTTTAATATACCTCTGCCTATTCAGATTTGTGCAATGTATTTCCTTACATTATCAGCCATGCTTTGTCAGTTCACTACTTAGCCATATCCTCTTATGCATCCATCCATCTTTCCTTTATTCATTTTTTAGTTTTATGCGGGATGCGGCAACTTTAAAACTCATTTATCACTGCATCACCTGCGCTTACCTTACCTTTCCATGGCACAATAATCTGCTGCTTCTTAATCTTTCATCCGTTGATGCCCTTTTCAGACTTTGTCTACTTAATTAAAAAATCGCAATACATTCATTTTAATGCGCAATATTCAGATTCTCGCTTAACACCATTTCTTTTTTATGTCTCCACCTCTTATTAAGACCCTCCTGCCTTTTTGGTTTTTTACTCTTTCTTTTAGTTTTTTTGATATAAATTTCTATTTCTCCTCTAAGATCTTCCACTTTCCCTAATATATTTATTAATATAAGCATGTACTCTGATTACAGCAACCGCTTTTTTTTCCACTCTTACATTTTTTTTGTCCTCCATTCTTATACTCCCCTTTTTAATTTGGCAGCACTTAAGGCAGCACTTTTTTTTTAATCACTAAACTGTACAATTTATTGTATGTAGATTCCAGATTGACTTTTTTATTACAGGGGAAAACGTGAACGACGACAGTTCTAATCCGAAGGTAGCAAAAACCGCCGCAGATGAGAAGAAAACCTCCAAAAATGACACAGATCTTATGGTAAACTGTTATAATACAAAGAGTATTATGTATTTTGAAAATCATACAGTAATTGCAAAAAGTTGCATTTTAGATAAATGTGTTTTCAAGACCGAGAAGAAGTGAAGAGGATTGTACAACACTATATTATTATTTTTGAGTTACATTTAATCCAAGAACATAGGTGTCTGTGCCTATCCCTAGTTTCACTGACTTTGTACATCTCAGATCTACATCTCTATTCTTTCCTGACATATGTCAAACACATCACCTCAGCTGTAAAAAGTCCTATTTATACCTGCATTTCCCTGTTATTTTCTTATTATGTATGTTCAAATTAAAAAAAAAGTTTTTGTTATTCTCATTAGTCTCTACTGGCGATGCCATCGAGCAGAGAGAAAGCTGTGAAGAGGGTAGGCGAAGAAATCATGGACTTGCTGAGTAAACCTACGGCAAAGGAAAAATCACTTGCTGACAAATTTAAAAGTCAAGGAGGTAAGTTGCATACATATTATAGGTTAAAGTAGGAAATTGCAGATTTGTACTGGAAAATTGAAACTAAGATGTAACATTTATTTAATCAAAATATTTACCCTCATTCATTATGCATAGCACTTTGCTGCCATCTAAACGGAAATTCATTTATGACTTGATAGAACTCTGGAGATCTAGATTGGACAAACTGTGTGAAAGCATTTTATACTGCCTCTTGGGATTTTTTATTACGTAGTAAATTGTCCAAATCAAGCAAAAAAGTGTAGTCCGTTGGAGCAAGGTCTGGCGCGTATGGAGGGCGTATGTTTTCTAACCACAGCTCCTGTAGAGTTACAACGCTTTCTCGTGCAGTGTGAGGTTTTGCGTTATCATGGAGCAATAATGGTGAAGATTGATTCACGAATCGGGGCTGTTTCACTGCCGGTTGTCGTCATTATTGTTCTAAGTTCGGCACAGTAAACTTCTGCTGTTATTGCCTGACCAGACCTGAGAAAGATATAATGAATAACACCATGAAGAGACCACCAAACAGTTGCCTTTTTATTGGTAAGCTTGATTTAGGGCACCGTTGCGACGTTTGACCTGGGGTCAGCCATTGCATTTTTCGCTTACGGTTATCGTAAACAATCCACTTTTCGTCACATGTCACAATCCGATTCAATATTCCTTCATTTCTGTACCGATTCAGCAAGGAAACACGAGTTTCAACACGCATTTCTTTCTGCAGATCAGTCAAATCATGAGGCACCCATTTTTTATATTTTTTTATCTAATTGATTTGATGCAAATAAGTAAATATTGTAGGTAGGGTAACGTTAAACCATGCTGCTAATTCTTGGGTAGTTTGACTCGGATCCGCTTCCACCATCTTCAATTCAGCGTTATTCACCTGTGTGGGCGGTCTTCCACGTGGTTCATTCTTCAAGTCGAAGTTTCCATTACGAAAGTCTTTATACCAAAAACGCACGGTGCGTTCATTACCAGTCTCCTCTCCAATCGCAGCGTTGATATTGCGAGTCGTTTCTGCGCGTTAGTTCCGCGTCGAAACTCGTATTCAAAAATGACTCGGATTTTCGAAGTATCCATCTTTCACGTCTAAGCTGAATAAAAAAACAATCAAAAGTCAAAAATCGAATGTCGCATATTTTTTAAAAGAAAAACCTCATACGTATCATATTATGAAAAAAGTTTTACACGAGAATCTTATACCATGAAGGTTTTATGTCTAAATATACTTAAATATTTCTAAATACATACATATTATAAACTACACCCAGACACAGAACAAAAGATCGTGCTCATCACACAAATAGCTATTGGACCAAGGGGCCGTGAATGGTAAAGTTCGGTATATTTTCAGGCGCGCAGGTGATGGAGTTCTGCCCGCACGGGACGCGCGCGGAGTGCGCACGCGCCCTGCAGCCCAACGCGCCGCTCGCACGTGACGCGTGCTGCAAGAAGCTACACTTCAAAAAGATCATCCAGGGACACACAGATGAGTCACTCGGGGATTGTTCCTTCCTCAACACATGCTTTCACATGGACAGTTGCAAGTTAGTTCTATCTCTTTTTATTAAATTTTGCTACTTTAAAGTTTAATATAAAAGATATGACAGTAGGACGAAAGAAGTCCACCAAATAGAGTAAGGTTGGACTAAGTTAAAATAGGAAGAAAAAGAGTAAGCAGTGAAATGGTAAAAATAATTAAAAAAAAATACATTGTGCAGATTCCAAATTTTCTACAAAAGTTCAAGACATTGATAATTCCATAAATATAATTGCTTTTACAATATTCAATGATGTAACTATGTGTCAAATTTCCAGGTATGTCCACTATGAGGTTGATAACACTGATCCTAATGCAACAGCAAAATCTAGCGAGAGTGTTTCTAAAGGGACACATAATGGTACGTAAATTAATTTAGATAAAGAAAAATACGCCCTATTATTATCCTGTTCATTAAAAGAAATTTAATATCACTGATCAGGAACAAATGTGGTGACGAAGCCAGACGGCGTGCTAACTCTCACGCCCCCACAATGGATACAATGCGATCTTAGGTACCTGGATATGACATTTTTAGGTAAGTTCTTAAATCGATTAAAGCTGTAAATATATACCTAATTTGGTCCAAATAATGAGCCATTTCTTGTATGATCGATATCTTGTAGTAGGCTTGGCTTGGAACAGCCTGTATAATTTTCTTTTTTCTTTTCAAAGGTACTTTAGCAGCTCATATCTTTTAAAATGGGGCCTTTCTACGCTCCAAGTTCTAACTGATATTTTTCATCATTGGAACGAAGTTCCTTATCGCGCGTTGTAAAAGGGGGCTAGACGGAAAAAATTCTCACGAAAAGTTATAACGACACTTTTTATGTCAGTGATTCAACGCCGTCTATCGAATAGATAGGAAATCATTACTTTTCATCTCAGTATTTATTTTGAATTATCACTTGTCAGTCATTCAGCGCCATCTATCGAATAGATAGGAAATCATTTCTCAAGGAGATTTTACCAATGTATAAATTGTTTTAATTAGAAACAAACTGAAAAATATGTAGGTAATAGCAGCTTTCATAGATGGCGTTGTAATTAAAATAGTGTCGAATCAGTTTTACTCGATCGTCACAACTTCGTTCCTTTCGGGTGTCCCACGACACCACACGGCTTTTATTTTAAACTGATTATATTTACCGAGCCCTGAATGAATACACAGAAAGGTTAACAATACATATACAAAAAAAAATTGCTGGTACAAATGGCGGTCTTATCGCCAATTGCGATTTTTTTCCAGACATCCTTGGAATTATGGAATACATCTTAATGAAAATTTATAATATATATTTTACAATATATATAATAATACCTACTAAAATTAACAATTAAGCTTTTGTGAATAATTTTGTTTTTTATTTCCGCAGGTAAGTTCGCAGTGATAATGGCTGACCCACCATGGGATATCCACATGGAGTTGCCGTACGGTACAATGTCGGATGACGAGATGAGATGCCTCGGAGTGCCACAGCTTCAGGACAGCGGACTCATATTTTTGTGGGTCACCGGCAGGTATAAACTTAATAATTATTATAATCTATGTGTATATTTTATATGCATGCATGCATGGGCAGGTAACTCCTTCTGTCTCTTTCAACAGATTATCATGATATTTTGCAAACACGTCAAGGATACAGATGTTTTAGTGATTTTATAGTGATTATCTTTTAGTGAAGTAACACCAAAAACAGCACACCAAATCCGCTATAAGTTATTATTCATCCCTTAATGTGGGACCTTGGAGGTGGTATTTTCTTCAAATTTTTTCTCCCGCATTAGGAATAAATCCTGTGTCGCGAGGGACTTGCAAACATACAAGAAACGGACACAAAGAACACCCAGTCTCAGAACAACAATTTGTGGATCACACAAAGTGTCGTCCCATGTGGGGTTTGAACCCAACAACACTCGGCGTAGTAGGAAGCGGCGTGGCGACCGCTTAAACCACTACGCCATCCGTGCAGTCAATTCAAACTCAAGTCAAATTCAAATGGGACCAACCTAATGTAGGCCCGCTTCACATCCTATTCCCGTCCGGGATAGACAATGATATAATATTAATTGTAAGCATTATCCTTGTGGTGACGGATAAATAATACGGAATGTAAACACCAGTGGCCAGCGTGGTATAGTAGACCAAAACCTCCTTTCTAAGGAGAGGCCTATGTCCAGCAGTAGACTATTAAAAGGCTGTTGATGTGATGTGTGCTAGGTATAAATAAATGTTACTTGCCCTGACTGACTGATTGATCAACGCAGAACCTAAACCGCTGAGGCTACAAACTTGAAATTTTGGCCACTGATGCTTTTAATGTTGTTAGCACTCACAGAGTGATAGATGGCCTCACCTGTCACCCTCAGGCCTGCGCTTATGAAGGACGTAAGTCGTTCTCCGACCTCCGGCGCCTGAGCCGTCTGCGGTACCTGGCCCGTTCTCGGGCCTGGCGGGCTCGCGTGAGTTCTGAACCTATCCCGGTCCCGCCATCTCCATCGCAAGCATAACCTGCTCGCGGAGTTCCACGCACTCTCGCTCCCTACCATGGCGGCAATCATATCACCGAGCGAGAGAATTCCCACTACGACGGCCGCCACGAGGCTATGCCTTTGCTCCACCCACGCCGGGCATTCTGCCACTGTGTGGGGTACCGTGTAAACGGTCCGGCCATCGCAGTGGTGCCAAGAACTGCAAATACCAACCTAATGCTGAATATCGTCAGATAGATTGCATTATTAATTATAAATAAATAAAAAAACAATGGCTAGCTATTACAGCGAGTACATTGACTACTTTTACCGCGATAACCAACATGCGGGCGCAGTCGCTGGCAAAAGATACTGAGGATTAATCACGCAAGCGAGCGCTAATTTTTTTCAAACCTTCCATACATTCTCGCTGGTCGTGGGTGCTTTTTCATTTGGTATTTTTTCAGTGCTCTGTCGAAGATAGTATGTGTATCAAACCATAAGCAGTATTTCTGTCTGCCAATGCATTTTCTTTAATTATTCTCTTTCTATTTTTAGAGCTATGGAGTTAGGCCGCGAATGTCTCAAACTGTGGGGTTACGAACGAGTGGACGAGTTGATCTGGGTGAAGACCAACCAGCTGCAGAGGATCATACGCACAGGCCGGACTGGACATTGGCTCAACCATGGGAAGGAGCACTGTTTGGTAAGAATTGTTATAGGTAAAAATTTACGATGTAATGTAAGATTCATTATTATTTTCAAATATTGAATTTTATATTATACCTGTATTATTTGCAAATAATTGATTTGATTAATTGTAAAACCAAATCGTAAATTAAACCACCTAAACTAAGCAGACCATAACGTGTTGCGATGTTATAAACCCTCAAACTCAAACTCTCTTTATTTCATAAAAAAAAAAAATTGTTTGAAATCGTCTTTTATGTAGACTCTAGAGTCATAGATCAACACACGCAAAAACAACAATCTCTGTTTTGTCAAATAGTAAGCAAATAAATTTAATAAAAATTAACTTATTTAACCGTTTCCAAGGGGTTGAGCATTATGAGAAGAAAAATAAACCATGGCCACTCTTTTGCAATTCACAGACAGATACAATGGCATTATTAAATATACCACAACATTCTTTTGATGTGTGCCAGTGTGACGTCATACTGCCGCCATTGTCTAATCAGAGTCCAATACAACTAAAGTCGGATGATAGATAGCGAGTTATTAAATTTAGTCTAATCAGAAGCTCTAATAATGTGCCCTTTTCACTTTTAGGTGGGTATGAAAGGTAATCCGGACAACTTAAACCGCGGTCTGGACTGTGACGTCATCGTAGCCGAAGTCAGAGCCACTTCCCACAAACCCGACGAGATATACGGAATCATTGGTGAGATACTCATTGATTAGTTTCAAGTTGCATATTGAATCTTTATTGTTAGTTGTTATTAGTAATTGTTAATGAAATAACAATTAACTAAACTGACTGATTAATTCATTTGAATTGTCCTTATTTATTTCTAAATTTATTGTTACGATTGGATAATTTGAAATTTTCAGAGCGATTAAGTCCAGGTACTAGGAAAATAGAACTATTTGGACGTCCACACAACGTACAACCTAATTGGTAAGTTATTTAAGTTTAGTCTGCCATGTCTCTGCCGTTTTGGGCGTCATTATATTGTTTATGATTCATCATCATCATCATCAACAGCCTTTAATAGTCCACTGCTGGACATAAGCCTCTCCTGAGAAATGTTTATGATTATATTTTGTATACTAGTTACCGTACCTTTAAAATAAAGTGTAAAATCATTTCAATTTTCATTCGAACTTTGGCATGTAGATTTTTTGATGGGTGGATTAAGCAATGATATATGCCGCGTCGACTGGCAGTTCGAGTCCCTTACAGGACAGATAATTTGTGGGATTCACAAAATAGTCCCGGGACTGGGTGTCCATTGTTTGGATTTTTCTAGGTTGTCAATAAAATGATTAGATCTTTATAAGATGTATATAGATGTAGAACTAGACAAAACAGTGTGTATAAAATACTGTACCTAAAGAATGACTGCACGGATGGCCTAGTTTAAGTTCGATCCCCACCTTGAGACAACACTGTGTGATCCACAAATTGTTGTTCTGAATCTGGGTGTTCTTTGTATTCTTGTCATGTATGTTTGTGAATTCCCCCACGGCACAGGAAAAGTTGATAGTGCGATAGTTGTCTTTAAAAAAATCTATCCAACAGGATAACACTCGGCAACCAAGTGGACGGTGTACGCCTGGTCGACCCAGATCTCATCTGTGCGTTCAAGAAGCGGTACCCAGACGGAAACTGCATGGCGCCCCCTCCTCCCGACCCTGGGCTCGCATAGCGCCTCGCTACCCTAGACAAAGACAGTCTGGCACTCAAGTCTAGCTGCTCTTGTCAGTAATGTATTGTGCTGTTATATGGCAGATAATTAGCGACAGTGCAGTGATTGTGGATTTATGCACGACTTTTAGAAAGTGTAGTGATATTAAAATATTAGACTTAAGTGAAACTGGAACTTAATAAAATGAGTCGGGATATGAGCGAATTTGGACTAAGTAATTTGTATTTTAGTGGAAGTGAACTGGAATACAGCGTAAATATCAATTAATTTATGTATAACTTTAGCTCTTAAGGTGCAGACAAAAACTATACAAAGACGTGTAGAGCCCCATTTTATAGACTATAAAAGTGTGCAAACACTATGATCATTTAGTGTGTCAATAGTAATTGTATTGGACTATTCAAAGAGCTGAGTATTTTTATTTACAGTTTCTCGGGAAGATTCAAATCAATTAATTTCACACAATTACTTGCAACAATTTAAAAATGTAAGTCTATAAATCAAAACTAGTAGGTCTCCTATGATTATCTTTTTTGATGCGAAACATTTAAAGCGGAGGGTCGGACTGGCTGTTGACGTAGGCGACAGTGGCGACGCGTCGCCATGCTATCCTTTCGTACTCATAATTTTTATCAAATAATTTCGATGTTTTTACATCTGCCAGACGTCCCTGGACGGTTCTATTTTTTTTGTAAATAAAAAAAATCCTAATTTCCTAATTTCTAATGTTGTTAAGATAAAATAGTAAAATCCGTTGTATATAGTAAATACGCGCATCGACTTACAGGGACTAACGTAGAATTGCATAATATGCTCAAATCATGTTAGGTAAGGGATCGTATCGGCATAGTAATATGATTCCTTTTACTTTACGCTTTAAAATCATATTCCTTGTTTGCTTCTTGTGAGTTTGTATCTATTTTTTAACATTTTGCTGACCTTCACATTATTACTGTATCTAATTTTAACAAAGTAACTGAAATGTACATACATCAAATCTGTACTGTAAATAAAACACATTTGTATCAAGAGTATTGTTTATGCATTCACAATTACAAAGCAGAAACATCCATTAACAAAGAACTTTTACCTATACCATCCTTAGTCAGAATCCTGTGATGCCACTTGCTTTTTTTTTACATTACAACACGACCACAAGAAATACATCATCTGAGGGTAAATTGCGTCCAAAGCACCGGCCAATATTCCTATCCTATAATATTGATGTAGCTTAGTTACTTATTAGATCCGGAGGCATATAAATGGTTTTTTATTGAGAAATACATCACAAATAGTACCTACCCCGTACCGGTCACTAACAATGAGGATTTACGTCTTGTGGTCGAATACTAAGTAGGTAGGTAACTTTAAATTTAGTAATATTGTTAATTTAATGATTCTGATGATTTGATGATTCAATAACTAGAGGTCTGCGTGTTCCGTCGCCCCTTCGGCGACATGGGACGTGATGGACTGAAGAAACTTCGTGTCCGCGACCTGTCGTCTCTGCTGCTGCTGTAGTTAAATCGTTTATATTAGACCTAAAAACCTTAGTTACCTTAAACTTTAATAGAAGTTACTCTTAACTTCAGACTGAAATAAAACGAAACTCTTTATAAAAATGTCAAAATTTTATCGTTAAATTGTTCTATCCATTCTGTTCCCTCTAGGTCAGTCAGTCGCCAAGGATGAAGATAATTTAAAACCTTACTTTATAAAATAGGTACATAATTCACACTCTTGCATACTCGGAGCAACCAAGTGTAGAAAAATTACGGACAATTTTACAAAATGCTACTGCTTTCTTATTTTTTCTGCTTTGATATTTTTACAAGTCGAAACGGCGCGTTTTAATAATATTTATAGTCGTAATTATCTTATTTTTACAGACCATACCTAATAATAATATTTATTATTATGCGTAGGTCTCCACTTCAGGTCTCCTAAACTATTAAAATTAAAGGCTTCAAAAAGCCTCTGACTGCAGCCTATATACCTACCTACCTAGATAGGTTAGCTATACCTCACCCTATGGGCAATCACCGCATAGTAAGTACAATTTACTAACGAAACTGGGTTTGGGCTCGTTGCTTGAGGTTTGTTCACATTATCCGTTTTCATGTTCAAATTCGTGTTCACTTTGCTCGTCCTAGAGCTAACATTATTTACGCCAGGCTTCCTAAAAATTAAAGAAAAAGAAAGTAGGTAACTGCTAATTTTGATATAGACGTTACGGTAGGTAAAAAATCTGAAAAACAATCTATTTACTTACCAGTTTTTCTCAAAAACAGGTCTTTCCGATAGCATAGCTTCGCGGAATCTTCTTTCGAACTGAAATGGTTGAAATGCACAAAAACTTAAATTGTAAACAAATATTTATTTACCTAGCAATACAGGTTGGTGGGAAAATTTTGAATAAATAGGTATAATATATGGTGGTTACTCTGTCACAATTTTTATTTCTTGGTTATGCAATCAATAATCATTTATACTCATCTACATGTAGTTTTACAATATTTCGCTAAAGAGTCAGCTCAAACCAGTGGTGGTGCCGAAGAGGCTAATGAGTCAAAAAGAAAATGGACTTCGGCACGTTGACATACGATGAAAATAAGTATAACCGAAAACAATTACTCGGTAAACGTGGTAGAGAGGAGCGCCCGACCAAATAGTCAATATAATCTGACCAAAGTTCATTCTTACCACCGAAATATAATATTTAAATCTATATATCTATCTATCTAATAATTAAATAATTTGGCTATTTCATACCTTGATGCTATTAAGCATATCCCCTTGCGTGGCGAGGGGTCGCTCATCAGATCGTACACTGGACGTCATACGTGGCACAGGAGCGTCGCGGTTTGCCCCTAGAGAGGCAGCACCCAGAGAGCCTTCGCAAGCACCTGCTGCATGAATGCCGACCTTCATTACTAACGTCACTTATTCTGTCACGTTATTAATACTAATTATCTGCTATTAAGTTAAGCTTTGCACGATTATATTTTACAGTAATTCTCTATCGTAATTGAAGATCGCTAGTTCTATCCTGCATGTTTATTTTAAAGACAAGACTACACCATTTACACAGGGTCACACTTTTTTTACATACGGAAACCCCCTCGGGCCGTCATTTCCCCTCGGTGGGGTTTGCGGCGGGGCGGTGTGTCGGAATCGAACTGACTCAAACCACACGGTGTGCTATTCTACGCCTAAAATTGCAGGGATCCTGGCACAGCTATTATTAAGACATCTGGAACCCACTTGCTCGTCAATAGCGCGACGACGTCGCCTCTTCCCAACTGCCCACCATAACGTATGGAGGAGAAAGACCGCCCCGTCCATATGCAGCTACACTGAGGGCGGCATGAAGCGCCCTTCAGTCGCCCGGTTTGCCGGTGGCAAATTGAACCCTAGTGGAGGTCGTCCTCTCGGGCCATCTCGCCCCTCGTTCGAGATGACGTCTTCGCAGAAAGACGCGACTGCGGCAAAACATCTGTCGCTAGCGACCATGGAGCTTATGACGGCCGGTAGCGAGTGATCCTGGCCGATGACTGCAATGAGGATCGGCATACAGCGGCAAAGCCAGGACGACCAACGAGCCACGCCACTCGCGTACCTCTTCATGTAGCCATCTTGCCGCGACGGTGGGTCCGCCCGTCAAAAATCGCCCGAGGACAGACGCAGCGCTGATGACGATGCAAAATTGGCAATTACCGCGTCATAGAAAGTTGTACTTCCTTGATCAGATATTGGGAGGAAGGTATTAACCCTGAAATAGTCAATGATCAAGACAGTAATTTGCAGTACAGGTAATCATACTTTTTTGGTTGTTATAATGTCATAACCTTGTCTGTCATGAGTATGAGTTTTTATGGTTACCAACCATTTCATGAAGACCTGTTCAAAATGTTTATATTGCAATAAAGCAACACTGAGTCCCAGTCTCTTAAAAGTATATTGACTATCACAATTTTCTTAAAAATGACAGTAACATTTGTAAAATCATTCCTTAGTCCTTTCTTAGTCTCTTCCACTGCATATCAGATTTATGTCATAAATAAAATAATACATGTTTATAACAATATAACATTTTATTTTCTCTAAATCACATAAGTGTACAATTTCAATAATCTAAACACAATGTTACTACACAGGTATTTTAATAAATAAAAATTGTATTGAAGAAAATTCAATGCATAAGTATCTCCAATTGGATGAAATTTAAAACCAATTTTGCATAAATTTTAAATTACTTAAATAAATTTCCATACTAAAGGAATCAGAGAGTACCTTAAATCTCACGACCTGAGCAGAAAACTCAATAACAAAGATCCAGTACTTCATATCGTTTTCAATTTGAACTAACAACTGAAAGACTGAACTGATGTGTCAGCCTGTTAGGTATCCAAGCCATTAAAAACCATGAGCAATCAAAAAGACCTATATAAATCAAAGAAAAAATCCAAATTACTCCAGTCTAAGCACAAAACCTGTATTTAATCAAATCACAGCTAGTAACAGTATGTATCAAAAACAAAACCTCCTTTCGAAGGAGGGGCCTATGTTCAGCAGTGAACTATTAAAGGCTGCTGATGATGAAGTAACAGGTGCCTTTGTAGGTACCATACATTCCCAAATAAATTAAAAAGGAACAATATTAATGACAAAATGTATCACTTTAATTTTTAATTTTTTTATTTTCTTTAACTTCTTTATCACTATCAGTATTTTCACTACCTATTTCTTTAACATCTTGTTTGTATAGCTCCTTTCTCAGTGTTGCTGGACCAGCAAACAGGGCCTTGCTTGTTTTTGTCTCGGGCAAATAAACCTCATATGTCTTAAAATATTTAAGTATATTTTGAACGTCTTCTTCCCTCAGTTTATACTTTAAAGCTATTTCAGTAGCCGTCACTTGCTTAGGATCTGTTTGGTTTGCAGAAATAAAATTAATAGCATCTCTCAATGTTGTTTTGCCATAAGGCACTCTTTCAGATTCTTTGAAACCAAACTCGTATTGCGGGGGCATTTTTCTATCCTTAGGCAAAGGCCGCGTCGTACTTCGACTTTTCTTGTTGCGAGTTATATCGTCCTCTGGTATTCCCAAAGAGGTTACATAAACTTCCTTCAATCTATTATCCAAGTTTTCATCTTTTGTGTTCAATTTCTCATCCAAATCAGGATCAGCTTCAAGTGCTCTCTTTAAATCTTCAATATTAGTAGGATATCTCGGGGCTGGAGTCGGTTTTTCTCGAGAGATCACTCGATGAGCGCGATTCTCAATGTTAAAAGATTTAATCGGTCTTAAAGCTTTCGTTGCCAAAGCACCCATCTCAGGTGGCGATAGCACAATAATAAAATAATTATACAGCCGAAATCAACGTGCAAATCATTTTTTATACGTATTTAACGTTGGTAAATGATGCAATCATAACACCGGAAAGAGGTTAGTTTTATTTTATCACTTGACAGTAGCGTTTGACAATTGACAGGTTGATGTTGACATAGCGTTTGAATTAAAAATATACAAAACAAGTAGCCAGTATTAGTAAGACCTTGCCTGAATCAGACTACCACCTACGTGTTGTTTGAAGGTAAATACGATATTATAATGCAAACTAAACCATATTTTCATGTTTGCATAGTTACTTTAGCATAATAATATACCTATAATCTGTACCTGACAGACTTATAAGATTTTCTTCACGTTTGTTGTTTTTTTAAGCACTCGTGATTACTCCTGACGTTTTATGCCTAACCAGATCAGCCAAACTTGACTGACTTTCAGAGCACCCTCGACATTATTCTGTAACTACTCTCAGTTTTTTAATACTAATGTTTTAATGGTAACGAATTATGTTGTCCTTTTTTTTCTGTGCGGGACTCCTCTCGGATACCACCCACCAGTGCGTGATTATGTTGGACTCGAAACGACCAAAAACCGCATGCCGTCTCCAGGTACCAGTAGCCGGGGAACCAGGTATACCCTAGAAAGTATAGCCGGGGCTATACTTTCTAGGCTCTCTACGGCTTAAAGATGACCCCCACCTGTGTGGGAACCCGGATGTTCCCTTCCTGCCCCCGAAGGGCGTGCGCGCTCCGTAGCGGCATCGCGCCTCCACCCACCCCGAATTACGTCCTGGTACAGGTTTGCATGTTACAATAGTATTCTTGCTACCTTATGTAAAAAAGAGCAACGATCCAATTCCATCTAAAATGAAGGACATACGATTAGGACACTTACATTTTAATCTTGACAAAACACCTTTTATTGAGGACTTCGACATATTTTTCGGAATAACTTTCTCAGTTGTTGAAGGCGTGTTGGTGGCCCTAGTTTGCTCCTGAGTCGACCTAGGTGGTGGGCTCGGACTTCGTCCTAAGCGTCTTCGATAAGTTTGAGACATCTTAGGTGCTAATAAACAAAAAACTATGTAAATAAAACTTTTTATTGAACCATTAACTTTATATTTCTAAATAGGTACATACCAAAGTAGTACAGAAATGTATCCTGTTAATTTTGTCCACACTAGAAAATATCATGATGTTTTACTGTACCTAAATCTGAATAATCAATTTTTGATCTTTGGTTACTCTATAAGTAAAAACACTAAACAGCTACCTAAAACAGTAAAAAGTACCTGCTGTTGGCCTGGCCATTGGTGCAACGCTTACACTACAAGGAGATGTAGACATGTTATTTACTAATCGCCCTGAAGAAGTGACTGTAATGCTTGAATTCAGAATTTTATCTCTTTCTCGATTATATATGCTGCTTCGCATTAAATAATTCTGAAATAATACGTTAATTTTAGAAATGAATAGAAATCAAAATGAACTTATAAAGAAATTAAATGAAGCAAATATGTTTACATAAAAGCACTTACTTTAGCATCATTAACGCTTTTTATTAGAGGTGCTTGGCTGGTTCGGAATGTTGTGATAGGTGACACCTAAAAATTGCAAATGTAAAGTAACAGGTATTTACTATTTTACAATTTAGGACTACTTTTCTAACATAAGTACTTTTATAACCCCATACTTAATTCCTCAAAATTATCACTTGTCAAGATTCCTAAATTAAACAAATACATTTCTCAAATATGACTTAAAAGAGAGTGATAAAATGACCCATAAACAAAATTCAAGGAAATGTCTCTGTCTTTCCTATCGGGTAGTACGAGTATGGTCGTATTTAGCCATCTTCTAACTCTAATGCCAAATAAGCAACAAACTTCAGCGGCAGGAACCAATACCGCCACTGCAAGGTTACACTTACATTCCGACTGACTTGACTGGAATTTGATTTTGCAGACTCATATTGCGATTGTGTTGAACTTTGAGGTGCCGGCCGACCAGCTTTTGGCTCCCCAGCGCCACTACTTCGTTGTGATTTAGCATCTTGTGTCTCGAATTGTTCTCTCGACCCCCTAATAATAAATGGCAGTTTAAGCTGCTGCTAGCTTGCTATTTATTGGCAATAACAAGTGCAATGAAAATGTTTGTACCATTTCTCATCATTGACTTACCCTCTAAAAGGTATCTTTTGGTTATTGCTAAAACTTTTCCATTTCATGCGCCAGTCGCGCTCCTTCTCGGCCGCCTTGTTAATAGCTATATATGGAAGATAGTTTAAATGAGTAGGTACTACAAGATTTATAAATACAGAACTATCAGAGTAGTAGGTATATATTTACAAACCAAATCTAATAAGCTGCATAACGTGCTTGAGTAACATTTCTTAGGAGTAAGGCTTGCGCAACGCACCGCCAACATAAACAAACTGTCATTTATTGTTTTTAAACATGGCCGACAGCACAAGTATTTTTTCCAAGTCGATATTTTTTCTCTTTCTTCAAATAAATCGCTTTCAGTAACATCCTCGTTAATATGTTTTAATACACATCCCTTCAGCTGTTGCGTTGATCCAGCGGACTGTTTTGTCAAGTCGCACGAAGCTACATATTTCTCTTGATCTTCTTCGTCCTCTAAGACTGATTTATCTAGATAAATAGATAGATATATCTAGATATAAAACGAGATTTCTTAAATTGGAAATACTTTGAACATCAAACCTTTGAATACCTTACATGTTCAAAATAACACTGTTTTTTTCAAATTTAAAGTTGACGGTGCGTGCGTAAGCTTTTGCTGTAAAGAAATGTGTTCAAACAAACAGTGTTACTTTAAACAGGCAGTCAATATTAAGATCTTCAATTAAATTATCTTTGAGAAAAGTTGTGAAGACTACACGCACAATCCAAAAACGAATCACTATTAATGACAAAATAACACTGTTTGAGTAAATACAATTTTAACAAAAATTTCATTGTAGGTAACCTTCTTTGATCCGTGAATTCTGTGGTCTTCCTGGAGAGAGTGTGTCGCTTGGCCGTTTATTTGGTTGCTGTAACGGTGGAGGCGGTGATGGCGATTTCTTGAATACCAAGGGTCGTTGCTTCTTGCTCTGCTCAGCTATTGAGTAGATACCAAACTCGTGGTATGGCAACTTGTCTGGGTCGTGACACGAGTGTCGTCTGTCACAAGCTTTATTAATTTCAGTTTGTATTTACCCACCTTCAGATAAACTAGGTATTTAGTATGAATACTGTATGATAAAAATACTGAGTGCATGAATAGCTGTTTACCTATAAATGTTCCCTTGCTTGATTAACCACGGCTCAAGTTGCTCCAGCCAGCCCTAATAAACAAAGAGAACGATTACGTGTTACAACTAATGTCATCACACTAATAATCTAAACGTGAAAGATTGCGCGTGTGTGCGTTTTTATTGTTGTTACTTCTTCATACTCAAACGGCTGGACCAATATTTATAAAATTTTGCATTGAGGTAACTGACACCCTGGATTAACCCATAGTTTACTTTTTATCCGCAAAAATGTATTGTTCCCATGGGATAAGCGTGGGATGATAAACCGCGGGAAACAGAGAGTGTTTTATACATGCAGTATCATATTTTATAAATGATACGTTCATTTTCTATCTTCTAGTACGCTACTTAATTATTACATACGATGCAACCCACGCGGTCTATAAGATTGTAGGCTTAGAGACTACTTTACGTCTAAGAATGGGACATAGTTTCTACTATCGAAATATTTAATCTGCAAATTAAATAGACCAGTAGCGAAATATGTTGTAAGGAACCTAAATTGGCTGTTGACAATTACGAATATTTCACTCAGTCTTTCGCTTGTGAATTCATTTTTTTTTAACATTACTTACCGTCACTCAAGTATTTTGAATCAATCTGCAAACTATAATAATTAGCATAACTACTACCTACATAGAAATCTGGCTAAAAAACTACCTGCTGATGTCCAATAACAGAACCTGGTCTACAAATTCTCATCCATCCAATGGCTTCGTGAGATGTCATTTTGTAATGCTTGATAAGGTAACATCCAATCAGCGAGCCCGTGCGCCCTAAACCTGCCTGAACAATTTCTTTGTCAGAAACCGAAAACAGATATATATATGAGAAAGAAAAGAATCAAAAGAGTAAATGCGTAACCTTGCAATGGACAGCGATGGCGCAGTCGGCCTCTTCGCTGATTTGAAGAAACTTGAATAATATGGTTCGAGAAGGGCAAGAACCATCGATGAAAAACAAGTCATAGTGTACTATCCCAACATTATTGAATCTAGCAACAGATAATGTCCACACAATTATGGAATACAGAATACTTCTTAAAGTATTTACATACTCGTACATCCAGTAGACTTACACATTTGCATCATATAATCTTTTATTCAAACGTATTACGATTTTCACATTGTTCTCTAAAAAGTAATCAAGATACATTTCTGGCGGATGATACAAAGAAATACTGTAGTCAACTGGTCCGATAAACGCTAGAAATTTCCCTGGAAGTAACAGTTAATATTTTTATTCTTACAACTTTGTCATTGAGATAGTTCCACATTGAAGTAAAACCTCTTTACTTAACATTTTGAATATTCTAACTGACCATCGTTACATGTATTATTTCAAAGTGAACGAAGCACAGTAAATTCTAGAACATAGATTCCATTGTATTAAGTTCAGATGTATACAAATAATAAAATTCCCGCAAGTTTTTTTAGTTTATGCTTGAGTTAATCTCTCTCTTGTGCTATTATAGTTTATAATAGAGTGACTATGGTTTTTACTGAGTAATTGTAAAAATATTTTTACAAACAATTGAAAATTCTGAAACATGGACTCCTCTTTATTGTGATATGAAATACCTACTAACCAAAAAAAACATATGAGGTAGGTACGATAAATGTATGAAATACCTATATTATTACTTCATTATTAAATATGTACCTGCTGCAGATATGATAAACTTTATATTGTTTGATGTTTGCAGTCAGATTCAGTTAAGAATATACTTTTAGATTGTTCGATCACTATAAATCAAATCTAGTGAAAGAGAAAAATCCAAAAACTTTCAATGTAATTTGGCACCTCTACGTACATACTGCATTGTAAGTTTTTTAACAACAGTCAATTCCTACCAGGAATAATCCAGTTTAAATCACCGCCTTGTATTTTGTCCAATCTTTCGTATTCCTCATAATTAAAATCCTGAAAGTTAAAGAATCCCAATTCTCTAGCCTTTTTAATTGCTTGTAAACAATCCAGCAACGATATTGTAAAACTCGAGTCACCTTGGGTTGCATCTTGAAATGGTCTAAAATTTAAAATCAGGCTCTTAGCTTTTATTTTCTTGGGCAGAACAGAGATCTAACACTTTGTAACAACTGACGGTTAACAATAAGACCTTAAACGGATATCTACTTTTAATTTATTGTTACAAGTGAATATGATTGCACAACCAAACACGCATAGGCATATAGATTTGGCCGTTAGGGGCAGTTGATACTGAGCGTATGCCAAGAAAGTCTACATTTCGCTTCTCTGCAGTTCCTATTTTTCTAATATACCCTACAAGTAGTCATATAACCTACAAGTAGTTCGTAAGGTAGATTTACAATAAATATATTTTGACACGATATAAAACCCGCTACAAAGATTGTTTTTATCTATTTTTCATAAATGGTTATTTCCTCATTTCTCATCAATGCAACCATAATGTGCAATAGCGAAGCGTGGCACATCGTGTGTAATTAACATTATAATAATTTATAAACGGTTTTCCAAAAAATATATATATATAAATTTTGAGCACTTTAGTGAGAAGACGTCTCCGACAAAATGATTTTAGAATTTGCCTAACTAGACAAAAGGCCTTATTACTTTTTACTTGGTCTTCTCGTTTTAGTCAGTGTTTTTTTCTGCAATAATATTTTTCGTCTACCTATCTTCAAAACTCTCTTCTTCCTCTATTGATGAGGTACAAGAACTCATGCCTTCATCTATTGCCACTTAATTTTTTAAAAGTACTAAATTTTTTCACGCATTCCCATTTTTATATCTATTTCTATTTACATTTTATCTGTAGTTATAATTAAAATTTTTCTAGGAAAGTATATTCGTAATTATGCTACTATTTTCTTTGATTTTGGATTTGTTTGTGTGATTTGTTAATCGGTGAACCTACTTTCTCTATCTAGGTGGAGAAAAAAGTGATATCGTTAGCGAATCGTAGGTAAGATGGTTTCCCGTTAAAGTTTAACCCCTTTTTTAAGTTGTAATTAAAGGGATAACGGATGTCCTTGACGTACACGTATTCGTTTACTCTTTCTCTCAGTGCAAAAGTCATCTTCCATCTAGTAGAATACTTTATTATTACAATGGTACAATTATTCGATCCACCAAGGGTCTCATTTAACAGGAGTCTGTAGGGGGAAGTGGGGCAGATTCATACAAGGGACACCGTCATACACTAGATACATCTGTTGTTAGGCGCACATCAACTGAACGACTTATCCGTGTACGCGTAGCTTACTTATGTGTGTATTGGCTCACGGAGTTTGACAACAGTCGGTGGGAAATTCGCGATGAGGTTACATGGAACGTGATTCGGCCACGCGTAAGTAATTTTAAAACCTCACTTTAAACATCTTTTTTTTAATAAAAGCTTTTTTCTAGATTTTTCAGTACTATTTTATTCAAAAGGTAATAGGATTAAGTTTGTAAATTGATCCGTGAATAATGATATTTATAGTTGAATTTTTTTTTAGGAATATTTTTATTTCATTTTCTTGTGATGGGGTTGGTTCATACAGCAGTAAGCGGGGTACATTCATACTGTATGAATGTGCCCACATTTTTATTTCTTCCAGATTCTAGAGAATATATACCGCAAACACAATTTAAATGCCGATCAGATTTTCAACAACGATGAATCTGGTATTTCTACTGTTTTGAGCACACCCAAAATTTTTGATGACAAGAGCCAAAAACAGGTTGGTCAAATAGTGTCTGCCAAAAGAGGAGAACTGGTCACATTTGATGGTATTATTTCAGCAAGTGGATACACCATACCGCCCTTCTTCATCTTCCCTCGAGTACATTTTAAGGACCACTTCATAGAAGATGCTCTAGAAGGCTCTTTAGGTGTAGCCACGAGAAGTGGTTGGATAAACTCGAGCATTTTTGTTGGTGTTCTAAAGCACATTCAGAGACAAGGTGAAATTGGTGATGTTCGAAAGAAAATCCAATATTCCTTTTATATGACAACCATGAAAGTCACATTTCTATTGATGCGATCAACTACTGCCGTGACAATGGGATTGTGTGCCTTTCCTTTCCACCTCACACGATTCACCGCCTTCAAGCATTAGATGTTGGAGTATTTGGACCATTAAAGTCGAAATTAAAAACAGCTTTCAATGACGCATGGCACGTTTCCAATCCAGGAAAAACACTTAATATTTATAATCAAAGAAATCAAGAAAGACTGTTAGGTTAACTAACTTCCTTCAGTGTCATAAAAAGAAAAACTACCTACAATTATGTTATTCTCTTTTTTACTTAGTATTATTTGGTTATTACTTAGTATTAGTTGCTCATATAGACTAATTGCTTTTGTTTTCGAGAACGTTGTGGTTTGATACTTTTATTTTGATGAATAATTAAACTTTTCATGCTAAACTTGTGTATTTTTTTACATGTATGAATCTGCCCCATAGCCTGTATGAGAGTGCCCCGCATGTGGGGTACATTCATACATTTTAATTATTTTTTTAAAACTTTTATTAAAAGTCGCACATGTGTATTTACACAAATTACATGTTCTTGAAATAAAGTCAGATAGTGAAACTACTAGTTTTTGATGAATCGATACAGATATTGATACCAGAGTAAATTCTATAACACGAAATATAAAAACTGTATGAGGCTGCCCCACCTTCACCTACTGTGTGTGAATATATGAACATTACAAAGATTATCACTACGAACATGGAGTTTAAATTTTGTAAACATGAAAATAGAACATAGTTTACATAGGTTTTAAATGTTTATATAAAACTCAGATTCACTTTCCTTGCAGCTCCCGCCAACATCTTGCAATAACATTCCAACACTTACAATGAGGCTTACCTCATTTGCATAACTGGACCTATTTACTGACTATATTACTACGTACAGTTAACTTAATAAATTATAAAATTAAATATCTTCACTAGCTATTATACCTGTAGTTTTGACCGTGTATTTGTAGTGGCTTCAAAGCATCTCTTGGACTTAAACTCAGATACAGGACTCCGTAACATCCTAAAAGAAATGCAGCGTTTGCTTTCTTCTTGGGATCAATGGACGTATAATGTACTATAATCTGGTGATTCAAATGTTGAGTTATTTTTTCATTCAATAGTCGACAGTATCTGTATACACAACCAAGATTTAAAGGTCCGAAATCTGAATAATAATTTTCATAAACTAATTCGTTATCTATACAAAAATAATGTGTTTCACTGGTACTTTTAAGAGTTTTCCCTTGTCTTACTGTAGCAAAATATAAAACATTTTTTATATATTCAGCCATAAACATAATATCAGTACTTCGATTCATCATACCAAAACTATGATACATAGATTAACTGATACACATCATACATCTTCAATAAAATATTGCTTCTTTACAACTACAATACACAGTTTTTTTCAGTTAGGCACTAAACACTACGATTTCATAACACAAACACATTTTTAAAAATAAAATTTACTAAAATAAAATTATACAAAACTTAAATGACTTTGTCGCTGATACTCATTTGTTTTAAATCGCTGCGACTTGTACATATTTTTGTTTGTTGCCAGTTCATTTGGTTAGTTTATTAACACTACTACTGAATCACCGCCATATTGATTGCATGATTTTAATTAATATGTTAAAGAAAAATGATTTTATATTAATTGTAGAGAAAATAGTAATCGATTAGAAAATAAAATCAACCTCCAAAAAAATAACGTGGATTAGTGAAATATTAATTCAATGACTGTAATCCTGTTTTGTACCTGCCTATTTTATATTTTGTCTTTTTTTTTGTAATCATTTCTTTATAACTATGAATTATGCATTAAAATTGGAAAAAACTTATTTATGATTATTTATTTGTCTAGGATATATCATTGAATACTCTTTTATATAATAAACTTTCTTAAGTTTTCAAATATATATTAGAGGAACTCAGTTTAGTTATTCCCCTTTTAAGACTAGTTTTAAATCGATTTATTTTTTATTTTAATCGATTTTATATAAATATTTTTTGATGTATGGTGGTCACACTCATTCCTTAAAAATGATTTTGACGTCTCTAGTCTTTTTCCGGTACGCAAGGTAAATTGTCAAACGTTCTGTACGTGTTATATCTGAATCTTGCAATATTTTTACAATCTTACAGCATTTTATCACTGCAGTTAATTCGCAAATATGTGGCAGTATTTCTTAATATTTAAAATTTGCTATTTCAGGTCGTCGAATCACAAAAAACCATGGCTGATGTAGATGTGTAAGTACTTAGTGTTTTCTTCTTTAGTTTAGTTGTATTCGTGAAAATATTGATAAAATAGTAATGTTAGTGAGTAATTATAATAATGATTAACTTTATTGAGTTCAAAAATGATATTAAAATTTGTAAACATGTTGTCAACATAACCTCAATGTCTAACTTCAATAAACTACTTTGATTTTCGGTTTTTAGGGATTAATGTTGATAATGTAGTAAATTTTGCATTGTGTATATTAGGAATAATCATTAAATTCTTTGGTCTTTTAGCGAAGTTGCCCCTAACCCCGTGTTGAGCGGAGGCGCTATGGATGTGAACACAGCTCTGCAAGAAGTTCTTAAGACCGCTCTCATCCACGGTGGTCTAGTTCACGGACTTCATGAGGCTGCTAAAGCTCTAGACAAGTTAGTAGTTGTTTTCTATTGCACTAAAACATACCTTGTACTTGCTTGTGTCTGTGAACTGATTTATACTCATGATTTACTTAGTGTATTTTGGACCACTATTAGCTAACATTTTTTCCTGTTGTGCTTAGGATAATTTAAGTTTCTAGAAGTTTGTAGTGTAGCTTATCTACATCTATCAACATGTATTGAGAAATTGATTTTTCAAGTTTTAATTATGATGTGTTAATTCATCTAAAGAAACTTATACTTTACCTTCAATAGATTAACACTTTTTGTTCAAGAAAAGATACAATTTAGAAAGTATTTGCAACAACTAACCATCTTAATACACCTGATCATGGCGTAAAGTAAATGGAATTAACAATTCTTTATTTTATGTTACAACAATGCGTATCTTCTCACACACACAACTAAGACTAAATTTTGTGTTAAAAGCCAGTTTACCCATTAGAGTTAAACTCACTTATTTGACTACAAGTCTAATGCTTTCTGCATGCCTTGTTATTCCAAATAATAATAACCTCACACATGGCCATCTGATCCCAAACCTATGTTCACTGTCACATGTTTACTATGTAGCATATATTATTATGCTATTTTAACTTATTTTGCATTGGATTTTAATTAAATATTTGCTCAGCTTGTGGCTGTTCTAGTCACTGGCTGGGTGGAAATATCGTATGCAGCATTTTGCTGTGTGTGATACATTCCGGTGCAGATATTGATGCACACTCATAGTACCACATTTCTGATCATTCAGCATTGTGGCCTCCCATATGTGCTACATTTGTTATTAGCTCATTATTTTAAAATTAATGTCTGATGTATGTGTCTGCAAGCTCAGGACAGACATGGGTGTAATAATAACTTAACACCTTTCACACATGGGCTTTACAGATTGCGCTTAGTATGGGACTAGATGGTCCCATACTAAGCACAATCTCTACTATGGTAACCAGACTGCTGATAAACATACTAAAATTACACCCAGACATAGACAAATGATCACGCTCATCACACAATTATTTGTCTTGACTGTCTTTGACTTAGCAATGAGGGCCACTAACAGGCCAGTCTTTGCAACATACAACCCTAGCCTTTTCTAATGTACTGTAGGCTCCTATTGAGACTTGTATACCTGACCCTAGCACCTTTTTTCTGTACCTTTTCCTTACCCTAACATACCTTTTTTCTTTACTTATCTGTAAATTATTATATTCCCAAGGAGGTTTTGTGATAAAAAGAGACTGGTCATAAAAGAAACCAGGCAAAACTCTGCAATGTTACACATTGTGCAAAGAACTAAAAATATTGATTATGGGGCAGAAAGATGATCATTGTATCACTTAGAATGTATGGATTAGACCTATATCTACGTACAGCATGCTGCATGCATGAAATTATTGATGAAATAAATATTATCTGTCAACTATGTTGCTCAACCAACCCGTCTGGCCGGCGTGGTATAGTAGGCCAAAACCTCCTTTCCAAGGAGAGGCCTATGTCCAGCAGTGGACTAGTATAGGCTGTTGATGATGATGATTGATGAACTATGTTGCTCAAAAGGGACTAGTACTTTGTTAATCCTTCAATTAAGTTTTTATGTTAGGAGGTAGTTATCATTGATAACTGTTGGATTAAAACCAAATCTATTTAATTGCAAGTCTGAATTCTGGCAATTATGTAATAAGTGAATATTTTATTTTTTTCTAATTCTGTCCAGTTAGTGGTAGCCTTTTTTAAATTAAATTTAAATTCATTGTTTCATCACAACAGCTTTTGGGAGTCCACTGGCTAGACATAGGCCTCTCCATAGAAAGGAGGTTTTGGCCTTCTATATCCCGCTGACTCGACGGATTGGTATAGGGTTTATTTTAAGTTTTCTTTCTCTTTGCAGTGCTGTTGTCCTGAGTAGTTTACTCCCTTAGACATGTGTGTCACATGTCACCCCCTATTCATCCCATGTTCTCAATCCATCACCATACACACAATTCATTCTGTAGTAGCATTTAATTGGGATTTACATATTCTTAAATTATGAGTAAAATGGCCTAAATCCATCTTATCTTTGTTGCTACATAATTATTATCAATTTATATAGCGCTATTATGTTATTTCATAAATATGATCATATTGAACAGGAGGCAAGCAGTCCTGTGTGTGCTAGCTGAGAACTGTGATGAAGTATCATACAAGAAGCTCGTACAGGCTCTATGCAACGAACACCAGATCCCTCTTGTCAAGGTAACCAAAGCTACTTAGCAAACTTATTTACTGCAGTTAACATTACTGGATGTTTCCTTTCAAACTAATGATGCTGTATATGCACAAGCATACACATCACAGACAGAAATATTAGGAAACACTCAACTGTTATAATGGCCAGGGACAATTCTATAAAAATAAATAAATAATACACGACTGAAAACTGCAACCCAAAATACAAGCCTTCGCTTAGTTTGGGAGCCAGTATTAGTACCTAAATCACAATACATTTAATTGTGTCAAATTATAAGTGTGATCCCTTGTGAACTGTTTAATTTTTGTGACAATAAAGATTATAAAGATTAATAGAAAACACATTTATCATGATTTATGTCAGGGGTGTTAAGAAATTATTTTGCTGCTTTTCACTGAGTAAGTGATGCTACTGAAGCGGAACCCCCCTTCCCCCTCTCCTTATTCTGGAAGGTGGGTATGCTCAAAATTAGATTCAAATGTGAAATAGGAAAAAAAATCTAAATATGATCAAGGGTTTTTTCATGTTTACTCATCCCACATATTTTAGATTTGTTGTAGTAAATCTATACGCTCTGCACGAGCAGGCCAGGCGAATATATGCCTGTCCCGCACATTACGAGCGAACAGTAAACCGTCTGCCCCTATGGTGACTCTCAACATGCTGAGTCAACTTTCCTAGCAACCGGACATTTTAGATAAACTAATATTTGTTACCCAAAAAAATTGTGTCCAGTTAGTACAATACTTATTGTTTGCAGGTTGACAACAATAAGAAACTGGGTGAATGGGCTGGTCTCTGCAAAATCGACAAAGACGGCAAAGCTAGGAAGATTGTCGGCTGCTCATGCGTCGTTATTAAAGTAAGTAACCTCAAATAAGCTTGTTGCCAACAAAAAAAATAATTAAAATTAACAGTTCATTTATTTTAATTTATCGAGTTATATGTATATATTAAGTACAGCTTATGTATGTATATTCGTCGGTATGTATAAATATGTGTTTATATATATATATATATCCAATTTTACCTCTTTTATAATTAATAGTTATCATAGTATTTATATATTTAACCTGTCAAAACCATTTCACCTTCAACTACTATAGTCTGTTTTTTAATCTCGTAGACTAAACTGACATTACGAGTGTTGTCAGTTTATTGCAATTCTTAAATAGTGATGTGGCACAACCGAAACTTAGCGTTAATAAAATCAAGTATCGTTTTTTTACAATAAGTTATCCTGAAATAATGTGTTTATCCTGAAATAATGTGTAGGTACTTATTTAAAACGTAATAATACAAAATTAATAATGTAAAACATATATTTTTAATTAAATAACTTAATTACAGGTATTCGCGTTAATCTGATTCAGATAATGACTCCATGTCTGAGGAATATTATGAGTCATCAGAATCGCCACCTACTTCTATGATAAACCTATCAGTAATGTCGTCGGTTATATGGCCCAGATGACACATTTGATCTTCAATTTTAATTAATAATAATAATAATAATATTCTACCACATACACACAACGCCATCTAGTCCCAAACTAAGCAGAGCTTGTACTATGGGTACTAGACAACTGATATAAATACATATATACTTTTTTTTTGTAAATACATACACATTATACATAGAAACACCCAGACCAAATCAAACATCAAATGTTCATGCACACAAATGTTTGACTTGAGCGGGAATCGAACCCGCGACCTTTGGAATAGCAGTCCGTTACACAAACCACTACGCCATCCGGTCGTCAATTACATGGACTACACAGTCTTTCCACCGCTGCGGGGTCACTTGACGAAGCCCTTCTTCAAAAAGGCTTCGTACTTCATTCATTTTGAATGTTTTATTATTTTTAGTGACATGCCCCTTTACTTGAGCCCAGACCAACTCAATCGTTCGAATTACGTATTCGTACAATTGTTCGTATGGTGTCAAGTTCCATAATTGCCGTATTTTTTAAGTTCTGCCGTTTCGTAAGAGAAAAGGGTTAAGATTGCCGTTTTAACGCGTACGGGAACAACACTGATGGCGTCTATATTTTTTTTTTTGTTTAATCTTAAGGCATCGAAACATGGTCGGGTTACGCATGGCGTTGCGTGGTCAGATTTCCCTGGCAGTTTGTAGCACGTCGTGCAGCCGTGTGTACGTACGTGAATTTTAAATGTAAAACTTTGAATGAAAATTAAATTCGTCTATTATAAATAAAAAGTTACGATTCAACTAACCGGTATCGTAGGTACAACACTGCACAAAAGAGTTGGCAACATTATTTGTAAATTTGACATTTGCATGTGTCAATTTAGTCTACGAGATTAAAAAACAGACTATACTATCTGAAACATTTTGATCTATCCTAAGGTTGCCTGAAAGAGATTGCTCTTAGCAATAAGACTGCCCTTTGTACATTACATGTTTGACAATTCTATGTACTATACAATTTTGTAAAACGTTCAACTAGAGTTTTCTATCTATCTATCTATCTAATTTTAGTTAAGACAGGATAAAGTAATCCTAATGGGTCAGAACCAATCCAATATTGATAGCTCCTCAGTAGATATTATTAGATGCTATAAAGATCATTCATTCCACATCAGATGTGTTACTAAGTTTTGTATAGATATATTTTTTACAATTTTTATGATAAATTATTAAACAATTTTAGCATTTAGTTATTTTGAGAATTGAAAATTGTACCTTTGCGCTCAGCACGAACACTATCAATATCCATCATTGCTAGTGACGAAATAACGGCGCTAAAAAAACTTGAGTGACCCTATGGTGTCGTGCCAATATGCACAGGCAACTTTCCTATTACTCACACAAAAACATTAGTTTAAATGAGTTTAAATTACTTTTTACAGTTATACAAACTGAAAAAGCAATCTTTAAACAATTGTTTTAATATCATCTTTGATTTGTTCTAGGATTTCGGTGAGGAGACGCCAGCGCTGGACGTGCTCAAAGACTATCTGAAGACTTCGAGCTAATCATCTAGTGTAAAATAAGTTTAAAAATAAAAACCCAAAAAAACTAAAGGCTCTTTTCTATCAATTCTCCTTTTTTTAAAGAACTTCCGCACTACCAAAATATCCTGTGTCGTGGGGACTTTACAAACACATGAAACGGACACAAAGTATGTACACCCAGACTTGGAACAATAATTTATAGATAAGTGTTGTCCCGTAGGAAGCGGCGAAGTAACCGCTTAAACCACTGCCATGTTCAGTCAGCCATAGTCAGTCTATGTTTAACGTAGGTTATATCTCTATCACCTTATCAGTAGCTACATAAAGGACAACGATCGATTTTTCAATCGAGAAGTTTTGTAAGATAAAACGGTGGGCGTCTCGTCAAAATGCAGCTACTTACGGGAAATTAGCTTGATCAATTTTAAAAATCGAACCTTTTTGTTTTTTTCCTGTGCGGTATCCCCTCGGACATCCACCGGTGGGGTGATTATGTCGGACTCGAACCGAACAAAAACCGCACACCCTCTCGGATACCAGTAGCCGGTGAACCAGGACCTAGAAAGGGCATCCCTGGTACCCAGATGTACCTCGGGACATCCACGGCGTGTAGATGACCCCCTCCTGTGTGGGAACCCCCATGTTTATTTATTTAATAACTTTATGCACAATAGCGGACTTAATGCCATAGGCATTCTCTACCAGTCTACCTTAGGGTGGTGTGGAAATGAGTGTGGAGGTGCACTATCCTTTGGTTGAGAATTATAAAGTGGACATAAAAGAAATAATGTTAGCAATACTGTCTCGCACATAAGGAGAAGAGAAAAAAAACAATGAAATAATATAAAAATAACAACAACATGTTCCGCGCGCGCGATCGGCAGTGCGTCTCGCCGCCACTCCGGTCTACTGCTAGGGTGACAGATGGCCTCACCTATCACCTGGCCAGTGTGTAGACATTAATTTTAAATAGAGATTCTTTGTAAACTGAATCTACCAAATTAACATGGTGCCGTCCATAGGACATTTATAAAAAAAACCGCAGATACTTTTTTCAATATTATAATTATACGTTAATAAATTATTAAGAAATAATAGGACAATAAATGTATCCATTGGAACTCAGACTGGAAACAATTAGAATACGGTGGAAATGAACACAAATTAATAAATTAAATAAATCTAACTACTTAATTAATACCAATTACATGCAAACATTTGCAAACTGGTCACATATTTCTTTGTGCTTCGGCCATTGTTGCACCTGACATTCCCTGTAAAACAATAATAATACTGTTATGATAATCTAGTTTTGTTGGCATCAACTCACTGTCGCAAATCCAAAAATAGTTAGTCGTTTTTTGTGCCTATATTATTTTTTAAACCTGTAAATGTTTATGTTTATACTTAATCGTATTATTTTGTTTTACTAAAATGTTTCGACGAACTTAAATTTGCCATCTAGATATAAGGCTTCGAAAATTAAAACATGAAATGGCAAATGTTTTGTGGCCTATTGAGTGTTTTATGTTAGAACCTCTACTTCAGTCTGCCCTCGGCTGTACATTGCTTATCATTTACCTGCCACAATACCATTCAGTCTTACACCTCGAACATTTTTTGGTGGCTTTATCCCCGCATTTAGCGCATTTCGCCCCTCCACTATCCAATGCCAAAGCAGTGTCACTTGTATATGACTCCAGCAGTTTCTTAGCCAAGTTCCTGGATTCTTCTGATCCATCCATACGGAAAGAGTCCAGTTGGGCTTTGGCAATTGTCTTTGTCCGCTTGTGGACTTGTTTAAAATAGGCATCTTTAATCTAAAAAGTAGATTAAATTGTCAGATATGGTGGATACGAATTCAACAACGTCGTAAGAAATCTAAATTCTCTCGCAAACAATTAAATCGTTGCAAAGGTTGTATTTTTAAATTATTTTGAAATTATATTAGTGTTATTTAGATTAAGAGAATATAGGTACATAACGAGAAAAACAAAAAACTGCTGACTTCATTTAAATCCAAAAAATAGATAGGTATAGCATATTTATACACTACATTTTGTAAATCGCATAAAACTAGGGTATCCTTCTAGGGAGAGATATAGTTTTATATGTGTTCTCGAGAAGTGTGATCACATTGTATAGCCTTGTACTGTAGGTACTTACAGTAAACAATATAAGTGGAGTGCTAATTCATTCATTGATTTTGAAAAATTAGTACCTAGAAATTGAATTTAGAATCTCTTTAAAATTGTATTAGTCAACTAAGTACCTATTTCTTTACCCATAGAAACAGACTGATCTTCATATGAATCTTTTCAAAAGCATGTTCTGTTACCTGGGGCACTAGTTCGATGAGCGTACATCCCGGATTCTTTCCGTTAGCTCGACCATTCACACTCGTGTAGTCACCCACGGACAAACGACACAGGAACATCTTCAGATCACCCAGCGGAGGAATTTGATCCAGGACTGGTGGGGTCATTTTTGCTTGCAACTAGTATAATGAAGTTTTACGGGTAAAAAAGATAGCTATTAAAGAGAAATATATACTTAAGGCATTTCGAGCACAAACTAAAAGTAAAGCTGACTTTGGAACTAGTTGTCTTGTTTTGTGTGATTTGATACAGACAGTCGAAATATAGTTTCAATTAACATAGCAGAATAATGTTTATTTTACAAGAATACAGGTAAGCTTATGTCCTAGTCATTGGACCACTAAACAGTATCTAGAAGAAACATACACCGCAAACGTTGTTTGCAACCTGTATTGGATGACGCCGATAAATTATTCGACACGTCTTTCTAGTTCGTTACTAAAAACCTATTTCTAAACTTATGCCAAAGTTTTAGCCTCATTAGTCCTTCGAGTCACCTCACACAAATTTCTTAGTAATCGAACAAAATAGACACTCACTCTGCAAAATGCATTGCGTCTACACTCGTCGATGTTGTAGTAGTGAGCAAGTCGCGGTTCCAGCAGTAGCTGCCGTAAGCACAACCAGAGTTGAGCTTCACTGCGGTGAAGCTGATTTAGTTCCTCTGCTGATGGCTTTGTCCAACGACCAACTACACAATTAAAAGTAATTTAAGTAGTAAATCAAGGTTGGTTATTAGTGTAATTTTTTGAAATCAAAATTGTAGTAGGTTTTAATAAGTCTGATTAATTTAATTTTTCATAGATTTTCGTCTTTAAATTCTGACAGCATTTACGACTGTATCGGCAACATATAAAATATACATAAAAAATGTAAAAAGAATATTATATGCAATAACGCTGTAGTAAACGAATGCGTTTACAAACTACAACAAACCTAGTAATGTATAAAAATAGCATTGGCTTTTTTTCTGTTAAGAACCCTAAGTCGTTCTATAAAATCGTCCTTACAATTGAATGTCAAGAGTTCATTCTTCTCGTCAATTCTTTTCCACGGCTCATGTAGAATCAGATGGCTTAATAGTGATGGTACATCGTGTGTCTTGTACAAGTTGGTTGCGATAGAAGCAGCAGCACCAGTTATCTCCATATGTTCCGCTATGTAACTGTACACACAAACTATTTCAATTGAAGCCTTGGCAGACTTGATATATTCATTGCGCTGAGCATTAATCCTACTTAGGTATTGTTAATAAAAATATCAATATTAGCAGATAAGGCATGTGAGATCTTTTAGTACTTATTTAACTCTTCTTACTTATCCGTTGGACTCCAGCTTTTCCTCTTTAGGTAAGTTTATCCAAGGTTAAGCTTGAAGGCCCTGACCTCGCTTTTAGCTTGGCACATTAAACAACCTCCAGTTATAAAACTTTACGTGCAGATTAAGCACCACGATTCTACCCTTCGGCAAGCTCCTACAAAAATATCTTTAAAAACAGTTTTGAAAAAATATTAATGGCAATACTGAAATTACTTTATTTAACATTTTCAAATAGTTTCGTTATGCAAAACTTGTATCAATTCGGTATGACGGGAGTATATAGGTACTATAAATTTTATCGATACTTTGAGACTCACCGAACTATAGAGATACATCTCATGCTGATATCAAACTGTAAGTCACGCTTTTGGCGTTCCAATTCCTCCACCGCCGTCTCAGAATCCACTTCTTTAGCGGACGGCATTTTTAAGTAGTCGTTGCTGTAAGCAATATTTTGAAAGAATGACTTATGAATTAACTTCCGACTCTTTGAAATCTCAGATGTTTGCGATTAATGTGAATTCAAACCCGCACTAGGCCATAAAGGTGATGAATAGTTGTACTTTCTCTTGTTTTTAAAAGTCTCCCAATATTTATCGTGCTTTCGGTTTTTTATCTTTTCGGAAGGTCGAGAAGGATACCTACTATTCTAATTGTAACCATTATAAACCTCGTCAGAATTCACCTAATTCACAATTACACATCTCAGACATTCGACTTCCGCTTTCGCACTCACTTGATTAAGGCCAAAAGAGCAGTGAGCTGATCTGCCACGTAGTTGAGTAGATCTACCACGACGTCACTGATGCAGTTAGCACCGTCCTCATGGAACAGCACAGTCTCCAGAAGACCTACTGTTGCTGCCTCGTGGTACAACTAGTAGGAAAGAGACGGTTGTTTTTACTCATTTTAAAAGATTTGATATGTTAAAAAACTATGAAACCTGTTTTTTCGTTTATAGATAATAATATAGAAAGAGAGGAATCGTTATAGCGATCGATTTTCATTTTTTTGTTGTGCGTTACTTCTTAAACATAATAATTTTCGGCTTCTCCGGGACCAGTTGACTGCACGGATAGCGTAGTGGTTTAAGCGGTCGCCACGCCGCTTCCTACTACGCCGAGTGATGTGGGTTCAACCCCACATGGGACGACACTTTGTTGTGATCCACAAATTGTTGTTCTGAGTCTGGGTGTTCTTTGTGTCCGTTTCATGGACGTTTGTAAAGTCCCCCGCGACACAGGACATTTTCCTAATGCGGGAGTTGTCTTTTCAAAATGATAAAAGAGTTAATACCCGCCACTAGCTACTCCAGTATTAAAAAGCGTTGAGACGAGTATTAAAAAAAAATGAACTCTTCTTGTGTGGTCTGCAACATTTTTAAAATGCCCATACCTGGCCTTTTCTTAAGCACGAGTAAGACTTCTCGTATTTTTAGTATCTACAGAATTTTAAATGAATAATTTATTTAGTTTATACGTACCACCATATAAATACCAAAGGTATTTGCAGGTGCAGGCTCTAGTTTCATTATTTGAGGGAAAATTTTTAAGCGCCATACTTGGATGCATATTGCTTCATAAACCAACACTGGCAGCTGAAAATTTGATTAATGCGTAGGTGACAACTGCATCCGTTGAAATATAAGAAAATTTAAATTACCCACATTCTCATTTATTCTGTCTGAACTATCTCTATATTCATGTACTGTACACAGCCTTAGATATTAAATCTGACCTTTATAGGCATCGAGAAACCAAGAGATAAAATATCTATACGTTAAATGGCAGGCAATAGACAAAATAATATGTACCATTCTCCATACTTTTCTAATCTCCAAACTAGGGTTTTATTTTAAATTGGGTTTATCTACACGAAATTCATCGTCCGCCAAATTCAAAACCGTCCTACTTAACAGATGAATATTTAAAAAAATCTATATTTGACACTTTCCACTAATTTGTATAACCCAATGACATTTAACAATGTGAACCTTTCCACAAGAGATGAGGGTTTCCTTTGTAAGTTCCTCCTGCATAGAAGATGCTTCTAAAACCGCTTGTTGATTCAGTTTTTGTAGTCTAACATGCCAGTCAACCCACCTAAAAAGATAACATTTAAAATTAACTTGTTCATTGACTATGTGGTGTTTTCAGTAAATACCTAGACCTCCTCAGAGTAGACGTACTCTGGGGAGGACGCAGACCCTTCAATCTTATTTTAAGAGTCTAATTCTCGAAGAAGGGTGAAGGTTTCCTTTCTTTCTGTCTGTTTTTTGAACTTACGCCTGGTTTCCAATAGAGTCGATGCGCCACGGTTCCATACTTTCCACAAATATATCCAGCTCCCCTATATCTAGGGCGCTAAGTTGAGGATCTTTTTCCACCATTGTTATAAGGAAATGAAATATGAATTTATTTTAGATTGCAAATAGAACGTATTCTTAGTATTAATTGTAACTATAGCAACGTTACTTCGATATTATATAGTGTTTGGATACTCTTTGTTATTTTGTAAAATAGTGCTACCGGAAAAGAGTTTCATAGTGTTTACCAACCTAAAAATGTAAGTTTTGTTTACTTTGATAATTATGTAATCATTTTTTGACCGGGCCCGTTCCAGCCTGCAGATATTAAAATTTCAAAATAAAAAAAAACTCATTTTATAGATCTCAATTAGCCCTTTCGACCAACGTTAATTAATTTATAAGCCCGTTTGTCGTTTTCCCAGGAAAAATAGAAATATAATTTTCAATTTTCCTCTACTTAAAATAGCCATATCTCTTTGAAAAATGATTATTTTTACACTACCAAGCGTGAAAAAATTGCCCTTGCGCTAATTTAATTTGCCCGCGTGCTAATTCTTAAAAATATTCAATAATTATTATTGTAAACAATAAAAAACCGTCGTGGCATTTCCAAGCCAATTATTTGCGCCAATTATCTGTCACCCTGGTTCTGTCCATATCCTTAATTATTATTATCTCGTTACATAACAAACTTAATTTCCAGTGCACCTACTCAGACATTTCCCCACCACCCAAAGGTAGACTTTGAGAAAATGCCTGTGGGGTTAACTCCATTGTACAATTAATTGTTGTTTGTGCAAAAAGAAAAAAATAAATAACAATAATAATTCTTGCTTTAATTTGTCCAACACATGACTTACTAATTTTTCAGTCTTTATATATTTAAAAATTGGAAACGAATTGATTAAATAAAGTAAAAAAATAAGAAAAAGGCTTAAAGGACATGTATCTTTAGAGCTTTGGAAGATGTTGCCATATTTAAAAAAAAATACAATGGCGACTGGCGGAAGTCTATATTCTCTGTCTTTCTTTTGATAATTTGACACACGTGCCGCGTGGAGTTTTGCCTCGCAGGTTGATTGAAAATATATTTTTATTAGTTATTTAGTCCCTATTTGCTCATTATTTTAAAAGAAATCTTAATACAGTGTCAGTATTACATAAATGTTTTGTGATTATTGTGAATTGTGAAAAAACCGATCGATACGGCACTGACATGCCGCCACACCAACGCTTGTTTTTTCGAATCACTTTTACTTTATAACAAATTAAGATGTTAGAATTTCAGTATAAGTGTACAAAATTCTGAAATATCAGTGTAATTTATTCACCGGTTAAGAGTTATAACGTTCCTCTCATTCAACCTAACCTCAATAGTTCTTAGTTAATCAGCATGAGTTTCGTCGATCTAATTCTGAATTATATGCGATGCAACGATGTAATTGTTTTCTAATATAACCTGATATCAAGTATTATTATCAATTTTGGTGGTCTGGCAGATCCATGATGTCACAACAAGCACCGTCTAATAGGACAACATTTCTGTCGTTTAAGAAACTAATAATTTTTCAATAATTAGCCAATTGCTTCGTTCAGTTATAAAACATATATATTGCACGACGCACGTTTTAAACACATAATATCTGACGGGTTTCCTTACAGCACTATGGTTGCGACTACAGACAAGAAGGCTGCGACTGAAAAGAAGCCCGTTAAGGGTAAGGAGGACAGTAAGAAGCTTCCTGCTGTTCCCGAATCAGTGCTCAAGCACCGCAAAAGGAGGGAGGCACTCCGCACTCGCCGCCTACAGGTAAAATCCCGTCAAATATGATTTCATTTATCATGAAAGAGTAAACTAGTATGATCATGATTATTAGACAACTTACACACAGACATATTCAATGCTTACAGTCATTCCATGATTTACCTAACTAAAATTGTTTCTCTTTTGAATCTCTACTTTTTAAAGTAAAAATTGTCGGATATACTTTATTTCAAGTAGTGATTTGTGCAGGCATTCACATTATGTATGAGACTCAGTTTACTATTTTAGAATACTAAGTATTCAAGAATGTTGTAATAGGTTTACAACTGTTGATAGTTAAATTCCATACTATGACTGAGCTTGAGCTATTGCTCAGATTGCCATCCTGCAGTTTTAGATTTGATAAACATAATTTAAGATTTCATATCACAAAAATGATGATGTTATCAAAATGTTGCCATCTAATTGACGATTTAACACGTTAAACGCCGATAGAAAAAAATAAAAATCGTAAAAATACTTTTGGTCGTAATTTGTTTATTATGTTACGATACGTATAGAAAATAAGTTTTATTCAATTCTGTACATGGGTTACATAGTTACAGTCAAATACATAGCTGAGGTCACCGGTGCACCCCATGGCGCACAATTCCTTACAAGGTATGTTTGTCCCACTGCGCAGTATAGTTCTACAGCGCCGTGCCGGTCACGGAGTACGAATAAAGTAACAGTCAGTATGGCCGGCGGCGAGAAAAAGTAGTTTGAATATGACTATACGTTGAGGTCACCGGTGACCCCCATGGCGCTATGATAGAGGAAGGGTGAGGTCACCGGTGACCCCCATGGCGCTACGATAGAGGAAGGGTGAGGTCACCGGTGACCCCCATGGCGTTTAACGTGTTAAAATAAAAAATTCTATTACAATATTTTAAACCACTACTTTACAAAGTTTTGTGTATATTAATACTTTTCCGTCTGCTTCATTCCATGTGTTTGTGTCTACTGAAATGTTTTTTTTTTTATGAATTTAAGTGATGATTCCCAATATTAAAGGCATAGTTCATCTGAAAATGATGCTGTTAATTTTGATTTCTGACAATATTTAATATTAAAAATAGTTTTACAAATTTAGGACAAAAACACTTACATATTTATCTTTTGTGCACCAGGTAACCCTCAAGAGGCGTTCATCTGCTATTAAAAAGAGGAAGGAAATCTTCAAGAGGGCTGAACAATATGTTAAGGAATACCGCATCAGGGAGCGTGATGAAATCAGGCTAGCCAGACAAGTAAGTTTCTATATTAGCCAATTGATTTAGGACTAAAACTGGTCTTATTGAATTCTCATATTTTCTAATTTAAAACTGAATTTAAATCTTATGCATAACCTACTAATATATTTAAACTTTCATTTTAATTAGAGCATTGGGCTCGGTTTGGTAAGAATAATAAATGTTGTAAAACATTGTTTCAAATTTTCTTCTATAAAAAAATAATATTTATTTATTATTTTTCTTGTGCTGTCACTTTGTACTCTTATTCAACCATCAAACTTCAATTGAAAATTTTGTTAGCGTTTGTAGTTTGTATTAATTCTTGGCACCTAAATACATTACCAGACTGTCATGTTAGTTTCTTTTAAAATAACAACAAAATGGTATATTCAACAGATACACTTTCTAGGTAAGCATGGTTTTTTTATTTTCTTGAATTGTTTTTTTTTTATTCTTCATCTGTGTATTATAGCCACAGCCAGAATCCTTGAAACTTATAAATTTTATTTTAAAGATTAGAAACGTGAGATTATTGTCAATTATGGCATTGTGAATGAAGAAAAAAATGTAAAAACTTTACATTCAAGGCTAGTGAAATTTTTTTGGAAAATTCAATTTTTAGTTTCTTATTGTTTAATAGGTTATTTTAAACTTAAAAAATAGATTTTCAGCCTTTTGATATGTACTTAATATGTACTCATTTCATTCTTTGTGTCTGTTTGAATAATTGTTTGTGAACTCAGGGAACCCTGTGTTACAGGATATTTCTTAACACAGGAGTTGTCTTTTATAGCAGACATCATACCAATTAAATGAATCATAAACTGATTTCTTCTTGCCTGTTCTTGATTATTTAAGTAGGAACAACATGTTTCATAGTGTAAAATTTTTTTAGGCACGTAACCGCGGCAACTACTACGTACCCGGCGAAGCAAAGCTTGCGTTCGTCATCCGTATCCGTGGTATCAACCAAGTTTCACCCAAGGTAAGAGCATTATTTCACATTGAGTTTTTTTTCCATTGTGATGTGGTTGTTCTTTATGAGGGAGGATCATTTTAAATTGAATAATTTGTAATTTGTTTTCTTAAAGTTCTAAAAGTTGTAGAGGTTCTTTAGTAAGCCTTGCCAATATTGTATGGGTAACGCCTTCTTTAAAAATGAACTCAAATACAAGTGGCAGTTATATCTCTGTTCTGCTGTTGCAATTTGAAATTTGATTGTGAAGTCCCACCATTTTAGGTATGTTATTATTATCCACATCTCTGTAAGCGAAAATGCAGTTTCATAAATCGGCACTTTACAGAAGACTAGACTGTTTTTGTTCTAAACATTTGTAAGCGTAATTAGTAATCCAGGTTGTGGAACATTATCTGTGCAGAAAATAGATACATAACAAAAAGCTTGATCACTATAAAAAATTACAACCTCATTTGTAAAACTTATAATTTTTAAAAAGCCTATTAGTTAATACTTCTCAATATTGAATTTCAAGAGTGTAATGTGTACATCAAATTTTTTAGGTCCGCAAAGTACTGCAGCTGTTTAGATTGCGCCAGATCAACAACGGCGTTTTCATCCGTCTGAACAAAGCAACAGTCAACATGCTGCGTATTGCCGAACCCTACATCGCATGGGGATACCCTAATTTGAAGAGTGTTAGGGAGGTGAGTTATTGATTAGTTTTATGATAAACATTCCTATATATTTAACATTTTCCTGCCATAGTATATTTGCTATGTGGAGACACCTAAAGGATTTTCGCAGCATTAAGTAAAAGATTTATTGATGTATATTTAGTCACTACAACTTGATACCTAGACCTTGAAATCATGTCTTAGTGACAGTAAGGTAGTTAATACCTAATGAGTAACACAGTAATTGTTAACCTTCATCTAATCCACAATCCTTGAAACTGTCTCTATAATAAGTACTTATTTTATGTTTCCAGCTAGTATACAAGCGTGGTTTTGCTAAAGTGAATGGACAGCGTGTGCCGCTCACTTCCAACACCATTGTCGAACAAAAGCTCGGCAAGAGAAACATCATCTGTGTTGAGGATCTCATCCACGAGATCTTTAGCGTAGGAGAGAACTTCAAGGTGAGCATAGCATTAAAGCAATTCTTTTCTTAATTTGTTTGAGTAAAAGAGTTCTAAGAGAGATACTATCTATATTTGCATTAAGTCCCACTTTGCCGTGGATGTTATTAGACCAGTTACATAAATGAAGTCTTGTGATGACACATACAGTTTTAATCAACCGCAAATCTATATAATGTAAGTAATTATGAGTTAAGGCTTATTATTTAATTTTTTTTTAACAGTATGCCAGCAACTTCCTCTGGCCCTTCAAGCTGAACAACCCCACCGCAGGTTGGCGCAAAAAGACCATTCATTACGTTGACGGCGGAGACTTCGGAAACCGCGAGGACAAGATCAACGAGCTCCTCAGAAGAATGGTCTAATCTAAATAGATAATAATAACTAAATGTGTTTGTTTTCTTCTTCACTCCCTACTCTTTTATGATACACTGAATGGTGTTGAAATATATAGCACACAGTATTACTTTATATTAATCATTAAACTTTCACTATTGTAGTGCTTATGTACGTAAAAGTAAATGAAAACAGTTTTCTTAAATTCAGTTTTTATTACATAACAAGTGCATTACAACATGAGAAAAATAAATAAAAATATACTCTTAGCATTACAAATATCACTTAATTTACAAAACATGAAGATCGTGTATGATTGCATGATTCACTGAACAGCAAAATCTCGGCACATGTAAAGGGACCCTATCTGATAGTTGCTATGACTGTTTAAATAAATAATAACAGTCCGAAATACTCATGCTGTCAGTTGGGAAAATGTGGGTGTTTTTACACATCTACTTAACTGCAGAGCAACTAATAATAGTTTCTAAAACAATACCTTGGTCAACAAAACAAACATACAAAACTATCAGCAACTTATAACTTTTTGGGTTATGGGTATTTTATTTGATTGACACATACAAGTTGACTTTGATTAAATCATTACACAAGATACCTAGTTAAAGCTAATGATTCAAAGTATGTATCTATTAAAGTATAAAAATAGCTATCTACCTACATCCTAAGACCTTAACATTTTATTTTAAGATCTCTATATTTTACATAAATAAACACACAAGTATAAGATACTTGTGTGTTTATTTAAGTTATTATTGGTTTCCTGATCTTCTAAATAGGTAAACAACCTATTATTTTCTTTTCAAACTGTTCAATCAAGGGTAGAATATCTTCTTCTGAAGCACCAGTCACACTGTCTCTAATAGCTCTCTGAAGATTCTGTAGAAAAAAAAAGTTTCAGTCAGATCAAATTTAAATATTTTAAGCAGGTTTAAAACATATCACTATTTTAATACAATTTTATCTAAAAAATGCCATTAGACATAGGTATACCTCCTTGGCAAAATTTAAAATTATCATCTTGTTTTTAGACTGCATTTTAGCACTTAAAAATTAACAGAAATATTAATACAACTGTAACTATACTTACCTCAACTGTTATATAAAATGAATGGCTAATGAATTGTGTTCCTGGTTCACAGTTACGAAACACACTATGAATTAAATTTGATAGAAAATTCCTCATGTCTAATGCAATTTTTGCATTTCTGCTTGATACCTTTAAAGTTGGAGTTGAAAAACCATCATTATCAATCTCTAGTTTAACTTTTTCCTTAGCTACAGTCATCCATATGCCAATTCTTGATTTTAGAAAGTCCTCAGAAGTAAACAGCAGAAGAAAATAGTTAACTTTTTTTGAATTCCATGGTTGCCTCACTGCATTTTTAAATATTTCTTCATATTGGGGAGGTAATCTTACATACATTTGCCATGTATTCAGTACTGCCATCTTTTCTGTAATGTCAGTAAAATCAAAGAAGCTACCATACTGATTCATAGTTGTTTGTAATATCAGTTTTTCTAATGATTCCTCTGGGTCTTTCAAGCATATAACATTATTAGTTTTAAAATTAAACTTTATAAAGTTATCTGAATTTAGAGCAACAGTCTTTCTATAGAGTATTACCCATATTTTTTGCTTACGGTCCAATGCACCTGGGATGATAGTCACAAGTTTTGTTTCTACCTTCATTTCTGCTGTATTTATAAATTTTATTTTAAGTGGTACCAGAACAGTTATATTTCTTAAGACATTTGATATTTTCACAGTTGTGCTTCTTATTATTCTACCTTTAGATATTATTGTAACATGAATTCTCAAGTCCCCTACAGAATTTGATAAGATATTTGCCAGGTTATTTTCTATTACTGCAGTAATTTTAATCAAAATGTAAAAACAATCTATATCAAAATACTCAGACAACTGATTTGTTAACACTGTATCAGTGTGTTCTGAAATAGCATCCTCATAACTTTCATAAACAATTACTTTTAGACTTATGACCTTATCCATTACATCTTGCCTGTTTGTCAGACATAGAGCAGTAATATAGTCTTTTTGCTCTACCTGCAATTTCATTAGCGCCTGACTCTTATTTATTTCATCCTTGATTTCTTCTAAATAGTTAGCATTGTTTAACACCGTTTCTGCAGAATAATACTCACCCACAGATTGGGGCTTTATATAGGATCTTTCATCATCCATGGAAAATGTGTATATCATATTATTGAATGTTGTGCAGATAATTTGATCACCAAACTTTATAAAATCTTTTACGCCCTTTACGAACAATTGACTAAATTTGATATTAATGGCCAATATGTGTTCAGCCTTCCACATAGTCATTCCGTCTGTATATAAAACTATATCGTTGAAAGCTAATAGTTTGTAGATAGGAGTATTCAAATGAATGATTCGTGGGGCATTTAGCTCTTTTAAATTAAGGCAAATCATTGTGCCCATTGTTAGTCCCATTATACAATTCATGTTATCTAATTCAATCAAGTCTATACTCGCTATTTCTGCTGGACATGTGTATAGTTTAACTAGACTTATTTCAGATTCAGTAGTTTTAAGACTATATAAACAACTATAAACACTTAATTTATCAAAGCTTATAAAAACAATGCTATAATTATTGGTGATACTCACATCTCTGATATTAAAAACTTCTTTCACAATTTCTAGCTGTCTTTCACTGATCAAATAGGACTTAAGAAGGTATTTATCTCTATTTTGTTGTAATAGAAAACGATCATTTGATATAAGCATCGCCTTTTTTACTAAATTAAATTCCGTGTTGATTTTATGCACACTTAGGGAATACGCGTGTGATTCGTATTTTAAACACATGGCGTGGTCTTCACTAAAGAGTGAAAAGACAACGATGCCATCATCTCGAGGTTGAAACCCATATTTAAATCTTTTTTGGGCAGTATTCTTGAACTTAAGAGGAGTTGTATGCACATTCCCAGCGCAGTCCATACATATTAAATAGTTGTTGGACGTGATTATGTTATGTATTTGGAACTCTGGAACTATAGTGTTAGATGCAGTCTCAAAGTCGACACCTTCATAAAAGAACATTTGATATTTATTCCATAAGGTAAATGTGGTATTCGATGCATTGTTAACTATATTTAAGTTACAAATAACGTTTTCGTCGCATTGAAAACACTTTTTAGTTAGTTCCTCAAAATCGAAACTGATATCCATTTTTGTTTAAGAGCATATAATTAAAAATATCCACCAGTATTTTACTTAACAAAGAATTACAATTATTAGAAAAGTTTCGCTGAATGTGACTTCACCAAATTACAAATTACCGGGTTTTTGTGACTGACGTGACATTCAATAAGTGTTGCCAGTACCTGAGAAATAAAACAGAAAGATACAATAGTCGGCACGAGACGAGATAAAAGAAACGAAATAAAAAAAAATGGATTAACAAAACAAATACAAAAAAACAGAAGGATTTAAGTAAAGAATATAGTAACACAAGACGGAAGAAACAATAAAAATAATTTAAATCGAGGATAAAGGAAATGAAATGAAAACAAATACAAAAAACAGAAGAATTAAAGTAAAGTATATGGGAACTGAAGACGAAAGTACGCCAAAAATTAACACTAATTAAGACACTACAATTGATTCTTTTTGTTCTTAGTATATATCGGAGCAACTACAAACTACCTCACTTAATAAAATAAATTGATTGATTTAAATTAGATTCTGATGGATTATAATTGAAGTTTTGATAGTTAGTGTTAAGAAATTTCCTGAAGAATCGTATTATCTAAACACAACAAGAAAATAAAACACTTGACCTAGCAACAAGTAAACACGTGAGTGAGCAATACGTCCTATAAAAACGAGGATTCGCCGCACTTATGGTAAATAAAAATTAAAAAACCAAAAAAATTAAGGCCCGAGGGGATTTGACAGGTACAAGGCAGTAATGCTAGTACAGCTAAAACAAAACCAATAATTTATGCTTTCCTGATTAATAAGAAAACCTAAACGTATAAAACCCTTTTCAATGTATTAAAATCTCGTAGGGCCGATCTCCAGTTAAGAAGACGTCGTCGTCGGTATGAGTCACCGACGGGATCGCGGCCCCCTTGAGAGTGCAAAATAATTACTGCGGTGGCGTAGTGGAATTATGTAGGCAGCCTGATTGCACCAAAATGCAATTGTTCCGCAATATGTAGTGATAGGCAGGGGGAAGCCTCTCCCTTTCCCCGGGATAGGGCCTAGTTAGGTACGGCGTCAATCCGGGGAGAACCTGAAATCACTTGGTCTGGCTCCTTCCCAGAGGCCAGGCACCTTTACAATTTTTGTTGGAACTTATATCCTTTATTTTATGCTTTTCTTTACAGTTTTTGTACAGTTGATGAATTGTTTTGTAATTTCAACTACTAAAATTGTAGTTAACTTAACAAACTGGGCCGAAGTAGATGGTTAATAATTGGAAAAATAATAAAATTGTAAAAAAAAGAATTTTCTTTGACAAATATTATAAGAAAAATCTATGACAGTTAAACTGCAGATTTGTTATAAAACATGGATTTATTCCCAGTTATCGAACAAGGAATAAAAATCTAGGATAGTATCAGAATTGATAAAAAAAGCGTTAAATTAGGATTTTCTCAATGCTTTGTTATATATACACGGTGATTTTATAGGCGATTTGGAAACGAAACATTTTAATTTGGAATCATCTATAGTACCAATAATAATGGTTAAATCAATTGTAATGTTGACTAAAAAAAAGTTTCAGTTTTAATATTCATTTTTACTCGATCGACTTGGAAAGTAGTAATGGACTGATCAATATTCATTATCTTATATGAATGAAACACGTCCGTGCGCGTTTCGGCGACCGCTGCGCACCGCTGACGCTAACAGCAGCTGATAAAAGTATACCTATAGGCGCGAGCTAGCGAGTACTTACGTTGATAGACGCCAGCTTGTCCTTCAAACTTTACACGGGCTTAGGACCGTCGGAAATACCTATTTTATTTAAACTTCTTTTGCGATTATTAACCACGATTGTTCTTTTCACAACAAATAAATTTATCAACGGACTGTAGGTATAAATATTGCAGGCGTATTTAAAAAATCGGAGCTATCTACAGAATAATTAACTTACATACCTATTTACAGTTTATTTACACTATTTACACTTCTCTGTATCGAGCCAACTGCTCAAAATGGAGTCCGCTGCGTTCAATACACAAAGGTCCACGTTTAATGCAATTGTTTTTTAATTTTCTTAATGTATCTCTATCACTTTTCACTTCATCAAAAGCGTCCACCACCACGCGTAAATCATCACGGCTTTCATATTACCGTGTATAAACAAGTCTTTTAGAAGAAAAAATCCAGGCTTCTAGGTCGCCAAGGCACAGGCCCTCCTCGACCTATCCACCGATCACTAAACTCATTGTCCAGGTATGCACGCACTACACTCCGGCGAATAATAATTTAAACGTCCTTGACCTTGCGCATGAGTAGGCGCCCGAAATTGTCCGTGGTCGAGAAGACGTTGGGTTGCAGCCAAGATGGTAGGTGTGGAGGGAATTTGAGGGCTTTCAATTCCACGTAGCCGTAGTGCATTTAAATGCTCCGGCTGGGAATACAAACGCCGAGCCTCTTCCAAGTTGTAGTTGGCAGTAGCGTACAGCTGTACCATTGCACTGTACCATACACAGGGATTCTTCCTCTTCTTCTACTAACGTCCAATTCAACTCCAAGGAATCTTTTGGCCTGCTTGAAACTGACGAATGTGAGGTGGAACGGTTGATTATGTCTCTAAAAATCAACTGTGCAGTAGGATGGGACGGTATATCATCCGGCTTTTTAAAGAAATACAGGACCATTCTCGTTACCCCACTCACATATATTTTCAATCTGAGCATTACAACAGGCAAATTTCCGGTGTCCTTTAAGAGAGCACTTCTCCATCCAATTCACAAATCAGGCGATCGAGACTGTGTGGAAAACTATAGACCCATTTCGGTACTACCAGCAATGTCAAAAATTTCAGAAAAAAATTATTAAATCTAGGGTTATTAATTATTTAGAAAATCGTAACCTACTATCTGTTAACCAATTTGGTTTCAGAAAGAATCTATCCTCCGAAGATGCTGTACACAATCTGGTTGACTCTATAGTCAGAAAGCTTGACAAGGGTCAGAAATGCGTTGCATTATTTTTAGATCTCGCAAAGGCTTTCGACACGGTCTCGACAAAAATACTTGTGAATAGGCTTGAATCTTTGGGTATTAGAGGGACTCAACTGTCTCTGTTTCGTAGTTATCTGACGGGCAGATCACAGTTAGTAAAAATCGGTTCTTGTACTAGTACTGAAACGCCCATAACCTACGGCGTGCCCCAGGGGAGCATTCTGGGCCCAAGTTTATTTCTGGTTTATATAAATGATTTGTGCAACATTGGACTTGACCATGGAGCAATTTTCGCGTATGCTGATGATACTGCACTGGTTTTCTCATCAGATGATTGGAGGGATACATACCGTTTCGCTCAAAAATGTTTCGATGTAGTTAATAATTGGCTAAGAAATAATCTACTCACGATAAACAATACCAAAACCAAAGTAGTTGACTTCTCTATCCGATCCCCTAATCCGTTAGACACTTCCCTACAAATAACCTTTAACCTACCTGATAATGCTCCATTTAGTGACTCTTATTTCATAGATAAAGTAACTTCTATTAAACATCTAGGTATCTATATTGATAATAACCTAACTTTCAAAAATCATATTAATTATATCTCAAGTAGAGTACGCAAACTTATCTATATGTTTAAAGAACTTCGACACTCTGCTGATGCTCATGTAATGAAAATGGTCTATACAGGTCTATGTCAATCTATCTTAAATTATTGCATTACCACATGGGGGGGTGCAGCTAAATCTCACACCTTGCAGATTGAGCGTGCCCAAAGAGCTGTGTTAAAGGTTTGCTGTTTCAAGCCTAGGCTGTACCCTACTAAAAGGCTTTATGAAATTTGCCAAGTTCTCACAGTAAGGCAACTGTTTGTGAAAGCTACCGTTCTCAGACAGCACTCTCAAACTTATTACACCTCTGATAATACTCGCCGTAATCGTTTGAAGGTCGTATCATTGCATGTTAAAAGTTCATTTAGCCGTAGGTTCTTTATTTTTCTAGGGCCCTACTTGTGTAAAAAGTTGTATAAAATTTTGTCCCTACATAGTCTTAATACGTACCAATGTAAAGCCATCATCTCAGAATGGCTCTTAAAGCAATCATATAAACACAAACATACATAAACACACACACACACACACACACACACACACTGTTTTTGTTAATGTTACAATTTTTACTGCTCCCGCTCGTTTCTTTTTCTTTTTTTTTTCTTAAATTTTGTACTCTTGCACAACTATATTGTAACCACCTCACAAAGGTATTTTGAAATGTCAAGACGAGGTCCGAGTGGGGACCTGGTGTCCTGTAACACAGGTTTTTATACCTACCTCAGGCACCAGCTATCCACTACCGAAATTGTCAAATGTTATAGCGAAATCGTATTTTCATTGTAGGGGAAGGTGGGGCAGCCTCATACAGTTTTTATATTTCGTTTTATAGAATTTACTCTGGTATCAATATCTGTATCAATTAATCAAAAACTAGTAGTCTAACTATCTGACTTTATATCAAAAACATGTAATTTGTGTAAATACACATGTGCGGCTTTTAATTAAAGGTTAATTTTTTTTATTAAAATGTATGAATGTACCCCACATGCGGGGCACTCTCATACAGGCTATGGGGCAGATTCATACATGTGAAAAAATACACAAGTTGAGCATGAAAAGTTTAATTATTTATCAAAATAAAAGTATCAAAATACAACGTTGTCGAAAACAAAAGCAATGAGTCTCTATGAGCAACTAATACTAATTAATAACCAAATAATACTAAGTAACAAAGAGAATAACATAAATGTAGGTAGTTTTTCTTATTTATGGCACTGAAGGAACTTAGCTAACCTAACAGTCTTCCTGATCAGTCATATCAGTATTTAAATATCTACTTCCTATTGCTTAATTCTTATTTAGTAGTACTATCAATAATCAACAATTTCAAAAATTATCACATACAACATGAGGAATCTTAAATGTTAAACACTAATTAACTTGCAAAGTATCTTATCTTTACAATAATTATATTAATGGACGTTATAAAAAGAGAGATCTTTGTTAAAACTTAACATACTACTAGTCCTAGCTGTCTTAGCTGATTTAAGATCCGGTAATATTAAAACTATATCTGATAGATCTACTGATCCTTCATGATTCATCTTTGACGTCTGGAAATACAAATTTCATAGACGATCCTGGTTTCTTCCTCAAAAACGAAACCATTACTTCTGTCAAACTGTAGTGTTTGATTATTTGTCCGACGTAGTAGATCACAGACTTCTTTTTTTCAAATTTCACAAGCACATAAGCACCATCCTTGACATTTTCAGGGTCAACAGGCTCTTGATGATCATCTTCTTCTTCGTTTTCTTCAAACACGTCAAAAGGTGAAGCAGAACTTTCTCTTAGGCTGATATTTGTTTCACTGTCGCTACTAACTGTTTCAAGCTCTTTGGTTTTATTTCTTTTTGGTTTACTTGATCTGTCATAATCTTCATTTAATAAACTCAACGCTCTCTTCAATTCTCTTGCTTTACTTTTCCGTTCTTTTTCTAATCTCTTTACCTCTTTTATTTTTTCCAATTCTTCAATTCTAGTCTTCTCAGGCGTGTCCGTATAAATTCTTGATTTTCCAAGTGATCGACCTTTTCTTGTTTGTGTGCGTCTTTGAACTTTTGGGAAAGGCCTTATCATTTCTGGCGTCTTCAATACATTGGAAGTAGATGGTGCAGGGTTATCAAAATCTATTACTGTTAATTCAAGATGTTGTGAAAGCAGTGACGGCGAGATATCTCCGGATAAATTCGGTGATGTTCGAGCAAGAACATTACAAAGTTCACCACTAACTGTATTAAGCTCATCACTAGGTATTCCAAGCTCCTCACCACCTGCGCTTTCATTAGGATTTGTTGCCGGATTAGAATGATACACCTGAACCGGCGCAAAGTCATCGTCATTGAAAATCAACTTATTAAAAGGCCATATTCCGGTTTTTTCATAAGCACTGGTAATATTCCTACCATTGAATGACTCTAAATAAGGTATCTTCGTGAGTTTTGGGATATTATAAATATTAAGTGTTTTTCCTGGATTGGAAACGTGCCAGTCATTGAATGCTGTTTTTAATTTCGTCTTTAATGGTCCAAATACTCCAACATCTAATGGTTGCATGCGGTGAGTCGTGTGAGGTGGAAAAGAAAGGCACACAATCCCATTGTCACGGCAGTAGTTGATTGCATCAATTGAAATGTGACTTTCATGGTTGTCATATAAAAGCAATATTGGATATTCTTTCGAACATAAGGTGTGTTTCTGGATGTGCTTTAGAACATCAACAAAAATGCTCGAGTTTATCCAACCACTTCTCGTGGCTACACCTAAAGAGCCTTCTGGAGCACCTTCTATGAAGTGGTCCTTAAAATGTACTCGAGGGAAGATGAACAGGGGCGGTATGGTGTTTCCACTTGCTGAAATAATACCACCAAATGTGACCAGTTCTCCTCTTTCGGCAGACACTATTTGACCAACCTGTTTTTGGCTCTTGTCAGCAAAAATTTTGGGTGTGCTCAGAACAGTAGAAATACCAGATTCGTCGTAGTTGAAAATCCGATCGGCAGTAAAATTGTGTTTGCAGTATATATTCTCCAGGTTCTGGAAGAAATCATTCACTGCCGTTTTGTTAAAACCGAATGATCTGGCAGCGCTGGTATTTTCAGGTTTACGCAAACTTAAATTCTTATGACGGCTTCGGAAACTTGCTAACCAATCTGCTCCCGCCGTCTTATTATTATCCCAACTTGCAGGATATTTAATTTTATTGGCCTTAGCAAATTCATATGCAAGTTTTTTAACTTGGATACATGTCAGTCCATAGTGCATCTTAGAACACTCTAAGATATATTTATTTAAAAGATCCTCTTCTGTTTTTGTAAAAACTTGCTGCGATGCAAATTTAGATTCGAATACACGATGTTCGCCACCGAGATCTTGTGTTTTGCGTAATTTTTTGATACGGCTTTGTAGTGTTTGTGCATTAACTCCATATTTGGTTGCTGATTTCCGTAAAGAGAGTTTGTTTTCCAAAACTTCATCTATAGCTTTTAACATTGCCTGTTCGTCCACCTCTCCAGTCCTAGTTCCCTTTTTCTTGTAATTTCTGACCATATTTTTTCTGTAAAACAATTTTTTTATATCACTTCAATTCTTAAAACTATAATAAAAATATGGGGCACATTCATACAGTATGAATGTACCCCGCTTACTGCTGTATGAACCAACCCCATCACAAGAAAATGAAATAAAAATATTCCTAAAAAAAAACAACTATATATATCATTATTAACGTATCTATTTACAAACTTGATCCTATTACCTTTTGAATAAAATAGTACTGAATAATCTAGAAAAAAGCTTTTACTAAAAAAATGATGTTTAAAGTGGGGTTATAAAATTACTTACGCGTGGCCGAATCACGTTCCATGTCACCTGAACGCGAGTTTCGCACCGACTGCTTTCAAACTCCGTGAGCCAACACACACATAAGTAAGCTACGCGTACACGGATAAGTCGTTCAGTTGATGTGCGCCTAACAACAGATGTATCTAGTGTATGACGGTGCCCCTTGTATGAATCTGCCCCACTTCCCCCTATGCATTTTGGTTTTGGTGAGAAAATAAACGATATTATTATTGTTATTGCCAAGTACTCCACGTTTGAAAATTCGTACTGTTGACTCATTTTAGCGCTAATCAATGTAGCGTGCCGTCATGATGTTATGGTATTACTGACCGACTGAAAGCGAAGGACGCCTCACGATTACAGGTGAGTCCCGCGCATGCGCCTTCGGGGCTTACGTCATTGGTTGGACGACTCCGGCGCAACTCGGTAGCTTTGTTTTTATTGGCGAATACGATTTCATGTGACTCGATATTAAAACGCATAGTACCTATTTCTATTTGTAGTATTTACCTACGTGTGATTGAATAGCCCTACTACTGGTTCTCACTTTTTCTCTGTAAACGATATGAATATCGGCTTTGATGATAAAAAAAATATATATTTTATTAAATTAACGTTATATTTAGCTTCTGTTATTGATAAATATTTCAAAATTTTCTTTTCCAAAAAGCTTTCAAAATCACCTTGTATACAGGTTACTACCCTGCATAAATATAACAAGGTGGCTTACGATAAAAATAATATTATATAATTAGCTTTTGCCCACAGTCGCCATGCCAAATTTCATTAAAATGGGTTCTGCGGTGAATAATTTCCACTAAAAACTTCCAGCCCCCCTTTTCACCTCCTTAAAAGGTGATTTTTGGGTTAAAAGCTGTCCTGGGCGGGACTCAAATTATCTCTATACCAAATTTCATCTAAATTGGTTCAGCGGTTCAAGCGTGAAGAGGTAACAGACAGACCGAAAGACAGACACACTTTCGTATTTATAATATTAGTATGGATTGGATATGGATGGTTAGTAAAATATGTGCAGGGGTTAAAAGGACCATAGTTAGGTATCCACCTATGAATATGCATAGATTATGATAATAAAACAAAATATTTAAACATCATTCTTTACTCCACGAAAAGAAATTCAAGTACACAATGGTAATTTCAAATTTCCAATATATGAAAAATATCGAATATACCGAAACACATCGATAACAAAGCGAAGATGAGCATTTCTTGTGGGTACAAATTTAGAATTATAAACTAAGTTAATGTTAAGAATTTTGAACACAAACCATATGTTTACCTACTTACTTAACCAAAATTATTACATGTTGATACTTTTTGGTCGCATCTGCGCTGATACCCACTATCGTAAGAAGGGTTATTTTTTTATTTAAAACCAAGTTTGCGAGTGTAAATATAAATATGTCCTCGGCCTAGTCCTAGGCCAAAACCTCTTCTCTAAGGAGAGGTCTACGTCCAACAGTAGACTATGAAAGGCTGTTGATGAATATAAATATGTACTAAGGTAATCTTTTTTCCAATATATTTCAAGAATATTTTAAAGGCTTTTCGATCTTTGTTCATTAGTTCTAGAGTAGGACTGAAAGGCACTAAGGATGCATAATTTCTTGTTACTCACTAGATCTATAATGCTCATTTACGTATTAAGTTATTTGATTATGTACCAACACGATCAAATAATTTTGCAGTATATAGCATTATGCGCTTTAGGCTGTGGTTGACTGTGTATAATTAAAATTCATTAAAGTATAATATTTATTGACGTATTAAAATTAAATCCAATAAACTATTAGAGGCCAGTAGGCTGACACCGTCTTGACAGGATAGGAACAGTCGTATAATCGTGTCGCCTAATTTCCACATGTTTGTACTAGTTTGATATGTACATTGCTCTGTAGTTGCGTGCCAAGCCAAGCCGGTATATCACTGAGTTAGATATAAAGGTTGGGGCAGACAGAAGGCAGCACGGAATGGCTACGAGGCGTGAGCAGTTAAAATGTATTGGCGTGTATATTAATCTACGGGCAGGCTTAAGTACTAATTTATACAAAGTTGGAGTAAGAGATAGATGTGCGAATACTAGAATAACTTTAAAAAAAAAACTAAATATTAGGCAAGTGAATAGTAATTTCATAAGTATTATGTACAAGCCACAATAAATATATTAAATACCTATTATTGGGAACTCTCGCACATCAGAGTTTCCCAAATTATAACTAATTGGCACACTTTCACATTGAATCACTAGCAAAACTATATCTATAATAATAATTAAAAACTAAAGAGGTTTCTTTTAAATTCTAAAAACAATATGAAATTTTGTCAAATAATAAAACACCTTCCTTCTATATTTAGTACTATTTACATTATTGATATGTGTTTTATTGCAGTGGGTGTGTATTATTTTATTTTTTATTAAAAAATATATGTCTTGAAGTTATAAAATCACTGTTTGAGCTGAAAAGTATTTACTATAAATGCTTAATCAATACTGTGTTGATTTTATACTATATTTACAGATCTCACAATCATGAGTATTATAATTGCACTTTATTTATATGCGAGTCGCCAGGTTCGAAGATCACCATAAAAATAAATACGCAATCTTCATACATTATTACATTTTTACGCAAGTGAATGGCAGTTTTATTTCAAATACATTATTGTTATCCTAATTGGTTGAGTGATTGGCACCGTTGCCGACATTTTGATAAAAAGTTTTTGTCACAACGAGTTTGTTCTCGATGCGCGACGCAAGAGATTTGTTCTCGTTGTACAAGAAGAATTACCACACAGTCCGACGTCAACGTCGTTGCTCTTGTGTTACTTCTTGATATCTGGGTCCATTTTTGTTTTGTCCATTGACGATGATACCATGCCACTTTGAGGATATAATTTGTCTAAGTGCTTCAGAGATTCGTTAAGAAAATTCTGAAACAAACATAACAAAAATATGTAAGTCAATCGGTGACGTATTTACTTAAAGAAAGAAAAAAGTACTGCTGGTTCTACTTATTTGTTTATAGCTTTGTTTTTTTTGCTGTAGCATTTTAAGTGTATTGTCACTTAACTACCCACTTACTAGGTGTATAATTAATAACTTATCTCTCATTAATAACTTTCTGGTATATGCTACAGCATATACCAGAAAGTTATTAATAACTTTTGGGGTCTAGCTGAGGCGCTTAATACACGACACCAAGCCACGAGCCAAGCCTCCCTATTCAAATAAATTAAACACACACCGACACCCAACTTCAACTGTATCTAAGTTACCTGTACTTAACTGTACTTTAAGAAGTTAGAGGTCTTGATTCAAGCGAAGTAATTTAAATAAATTTTAAGTAGATACATACCTGTATGGCAGTTAGAGCAGCTACAATAGCTGGACCTCCGAACCCATGGGAGATGAGTGAAAAATGCGTGAGATGACGCTGTATCGCTGGCTCCAGGAGGTGAGGTGGCCTCGTATTACACAGCGGTGATCGATCTTGGTTCAGTAAATCCATTAGCTCTTTTATTACCTGTAGACAAAGAATATTCATCTGATATTTTGCATATGTTTAATTATAAATTGGAATGTACTATAACTAGACCGTTTATGACAATTTTGCACTGCACAGATCGGGCAGTAGTTTAATGGCTGCTCCGACAGTGGACAGGACGTTTTAGGGTATATTTACAGGAGCGGTGATGGCACTATTTAGACTCAGACTAAACATAGTTTATATTATCATAGGGTTCTTGAACGGCGTTAAACATTTAAAAAAGTTGTTTTTTTTTCTAAATATCTGCTTATTATACATAATTACTTTTTTATACCAAGCGGAAATCAATAAAGATAAAATTGCAGTAATTTTTAGTTTATCACTAATGCTGCTTAGCTAAATACATATTATTAGGTGTGCGCTACAAAAATGCAGGAAAGTAGGCCGCCGGACTGCATTATTTTGTCTATTCACAGTCTGATACCAAACAATGCAGAGCCTGTACTATGGGAACCAGACTGCTCATAAACATACTTATGTATTTCTAAATGCATACGCATTATAGATAAAATTACAACCAGACACAGAACAAATAATAATAATAACTACACACATCTCACACACGGCCGTCTGCTGCCAAACTTGGCAGAACCTGTGCTATGGTGACCAGACTGCTGATGTTCATATTTAAATATTTCTGAACGCATACATATTTTAGATACATGGACATGCTTTTCTCACAATTACTTGTCCTGGGTGGGAATCGAACCCATAACCCCAGACCAACATGCCAACGCATTGAAACTGGGCATAGGCTGCAGAGTTATGTTGAGACGCAACATTTCTGTTGCCAAAGGGCCTGGTCCAAGTATCTTATCCAAATTTAAATGGCCTGCCCTTCGCCGTGATCAAGTAGAATCAGGATATATCAGTAACTTCTATATCAGTAACCCGATTCTTCTATATCTTCTAAAACATTCAATTGAACGATAAGCCGTAAAGAGAAATTTTAATCTACACTAAATGCACATCGTATCCTTAGGAGATAGACATATACCACCGCGGACTTTTTTGTATTATAGATCTTTAATGTAAGCTATGTTAGTGCACAAAAACATATTTTATTTTTTACGACAAATCTATGATATTCTCGGATTTTCTCTGCTATAATATGCATGTGTTATACATATAAACCTTCCTGTTGAATCACTATCTCTATTGGTGAAAACCGCATTAAAATACTCTACACTGTTACACTTTTTTCGGTCTCGCTCCCATCCGCTCAGAACGCGCGTCAAGGAACTCCGTTCCAATAAATAATATCAGTATCTTTGTCTTTATGAATCAGTGTGATAAGGTAAAGTAGGCTAGCATCATTATCGAAACTTCAGCGACCAGTTCCGTCATAGTAGACTGCACTGATGGCGCAGTGGTTTAAGCGGTCACCTCGCCGCTTCTTACTGCGCTGAGTGTTACGAGGGAGAGGTTCGATACCCACATGGGACAACATTGTGTGATCTACAAATTGTTGTTCTGAGTGTTCCTTGTTTCTGTTTCATGAATAATAATATATATACCTACATAATTTAATATACATGAATGTATGTAAAGTTGCCCGCGACACAGGATATATTCCTAGTGCGAGAGTTGTCTTTTAAAAAAATATTTTCATCTGCCGAGCCTTTGCCCAAACCAGGTTGGAGTCGGCTTTCAGTCAACTAAGTCAATTTCGATTATTACGTGGGGCGCCTGTCATCAGACCCACCCGTAACGATTGCCACAGATGTTTGTATGGGAACAGGGCAGACACGGAGGGGTCTCAATGTGTTAAGAATGGTCACCCATCCACAGAATGACCTGGCCAGGATTGCTTTCTTGTTTTAAAAAAAGAAATATTGTGAAAGTAACATTTCTAGCTCACCTGTTTGGTAGCTTGTAATAAATCGCGTCTGCGTCGTGCGTCATGCTCCGCGTATTGCCTCGCGAGGTATTCCGCTAAAGCCCTCGCCGGAAATTCCGTCTCACACACGTAGCCAAAGTCACGCGCCAAATGTACTGCTTCCGCTGCAAAATAAATAAAAATAGTACTAATTTGTTAACTTACAATGTACTGTTAACAGTAGACATTTTTCGGCTGTAAGCTTAATGACTGATTTGCATTCAGTATATCCTATGGTGTAAGTTTCAAAGGGCACCTTTTATCATTATCGTGAAAAAGGAAAAATGTATGATTCAAGTTAAAACAGTTACACTTAATAGACGATATAGTATATAATACATTACTAGTAAATACTCTACACTGTATGTAAATGAAAAATGCTATGCTATGAAAATAAGCTAATATAAACAACTGCAACAAGGGAGGAAAGAGCACAGCAAAGGGAAGGAAAACTTGAAACACCATATAGCAACCCATCTGGCCAGCGTGGTATAGTAGGCCTAACCTCTCCTATCTAAGAAGAGGCCTATATCCAGCAGTGGACTAATAAAAGTTGATGATAAAGCTAATAAAATAAACACGAATATTTATTTAGCGCCGGTTAAGTAAAAAAAGAAAATTTCACCACGATTGTAATAACAACTTTATAAATATTATGTATGTGCATATAATCGGTTGACAAGTACGTATGTATGTATATTTTTCCTATTGTTTCTATCCAACTTCTCAATTATTACCCCTTTAAAAATATATCTAGTGCGTCTAGTCACACATTTCCCAAACACCCTAAGGTAGACAATTCTCATTTGTGCATAAAGAATTAAGTCAAATAAAAAAGGTAGTGATCTGTTTTGTTATTGCCTATTTAAGAAACAAATACACCTACGTAAGTGAACATCCGAATGAACAACAAATCATTCTCGATACGAGTAGACGGTCGATATTTGCTTGCTAACTAATCACAGTGTTTCATTTCGCACATAAATCGTTGGCAATAAATTATCGGAAAGCATTAAAATATAACGGTTATAATAAAGAAAATTGTGTGTGAACAAGTTCGTTTGGCAAATGGCTAAATAAAACTGTTATGTCGTTGTAGTCATGATCATGAAATTGTCAGTTGCGAACATGATCATAGCAAATAGTACTAACGACTTTTTATAGTTTATGTCTATCATAATTGTTGTCGACTTCCAAAAGGGCTCTTAGATATCGAGTAAACCAATATGTATGTTTGGTGTGTGTTTAACACGCTTTTATAATGGACACGTTTCTGTACCTATCTATACATTTGCCGAGAGTGCTGCTCGTGGTGTCGATAGATACTAAAAAAGGCAAGAATTGACAAACCTTCTATTAAGCTGAAACTTAAGAACTTAAGTTCAGACAAATTAACTTTCTATTCATATGCAATAATAACATTAATCTACTAGGTTTATTTCAAAATATTTCTACCTGACGTGCCAAAAATATTACGGACCTATGGATCCGTAGAAGTGAGTGTTATGTTTATACGAAATAGACAACTACTGTCCCTACCGTACCTAAAAATTATGTCAACTTGGTAAAAATTACTAAAACATTTTATGTTTATTGGTAATAAAACCAAGGGTATAAAAAAACTAGTCAATTTATAATTTTAGGAAAGAGAAATATAAAATGAGTATCTTACCTTCAACTAAAGAAGTCAGAAGCGTAACATTAGCAGCTTTCCGCCTGCCAGCCGGTAAGTTAAGTCCAATCTTTTCCAACTTCTCGCGAAGTAATCTGCCACCATTTTTACTTTTTGCTCTGAAAAAGAAAAGATTTAATTTTAGACTTCGTCATTAAGGACAAATTACTTTGTTATAAATGGTACAAATTAGAGTCAGTTGTTATAATGGCCGGTTTTAAAGTACGGTTGTTTTATTGTCAACTTTGAAATAGTCGTTTAGGAAGGAAGTCAAAGTAGTGTTATTTGACTATTACCTAAAAGACCTACACGGATCAATTATAATACAAATTTTAAATAGTTACTGGCAATGGCTTTGAATACTTAAAACATTTCGTGATGCAACACAACACCTGAACCTCAGAATAAAGTAATCAGAATTTACAACTCATAAATCACATCATTATCGAAGTGAGTGCTTCTGGGTACCGACAAAATATGATCTGACCATGAACTCGTTTGAAAAGTTTAAGATCCCTGTTCCCGTCAAAATTTTTACTTTGATCTAGAAATAGTTTTTAATGGTTAGTTCCTGCGATGGCTCCACTGGCTTTATCCTAAAGCCGGTAACCCTACATAAGAGATGCGTACTGGTTGTCCAACAACTAATTTATTTAAACAATTATAATAAATTTGTATTTTTACGATTTTTAAATTATCTTATGAAAACTATAGTCGATTTAGTAACATATACACATTCTTAATCAAAGAGAATAGAAATTATAACAGAACCCCTTATTTTAAGATCTATTTGTTTCAACAAATTGTACTATTGACTTCCTACTTAAAGCACTCGCTTCACTAAGTAAAAAAAGTTCGACAAAAAACCAAAGTACCACTTTTGTTGCGCTTGACAGGAGGTCGCCATGTCAGTCAATAGTATTGCTACTGACCGCTAGATAGAGCTACTGATAACCGATCGATTACCGTCAGAATTCGTGATTGACGCATAGAAGTAGTTAAGAAATAACATTGTCGGATGAAGCAAATTATTTTTATTCGTGTTGCTACGATATAGGGCCTTTAATTGAACGGTATATGTTAATTCGGCTGTAGAAATACATTGGCTGCATGCATGTCGAAAGTTTTATTTTAAAAAATGGCTACCCGTATTAACTGACCGTGGAAGCTCGTTAACAAAATTGTTTTCGGTAAACTTTGAAAGAGTTTCTGAATAAAGTTCAAGAATGCGAGTTCTCGTTATGATATGTGATTGATCGAAAGTATGATGTATAATTGCGATTTTTGTGTTTTGACTGTCGGCTGATATATAATACTGGCCACGATATGCCCATACTATACATCTCACTATAGCTATATATCTGTCACTGTAACTATACATCTAAATCAAAGTTCCTGTATAATGTATAAATGAATACTAACTCTTTTTTTTGAAAATTTAATACCTTCCCTAATTAAGTGTGGAGACGTCGCGGTGTGTATATACAATTGCATAGGGTTTTGATTGATTTCTTTTATTATTAGCTGACTGCCTGACGTCACCTATTTTTGAAAATGTAATCTAAGAACGACTACAGGTGACAGGACAAAGGGAGAAGCTAAACTGGGGTCAGGAATATGGATATGGACCAAACTGTCAAAGTCGCACACCTGTATATTCATTCTGAGATTGAGGACCCCCAAGGATAACGAAATCCACAGACCTAACAGTATATATCCAGTCATTTTCTATCTATTTGTATCTATTTTATTTATGTCTTTTATTTTGTATAGTTTCGGTTCTTACTCCTATTAGTTCTTCTTAGTTCTGGTCTCTGCATTTCTTCTACATATTAACTTTAAAGTGTTCTAAATAGATATAGATGCAATTTCTGAACTTAAGTTCAAATTCTAGACTCTCAACGAAGACCGCTGTAAAATAAATTTTTTCATCGGAACCATGAATTTTCTGTATAAATTCTTCAAGCCCCGCTACTACTATTAAATCTCGGTAAATAGGCTTAATTCCGTATAACGATGGTTTGGGGCACCCCTCGCGACGGCACGGAATGTGAGGGAATTCCTTCAAGGAATTATTATTAGTTTATGTTAAAATACTTCCAAATTATAATAGATATTCTCGACTCCCTCGTATGAGAAGAATTTCTACTGATATTCATACTCTATAAAATTGTCAGATTAGTAAATCGAAGGGATGAAAATATTTAGATGCATTAGTAGGAAGACTACATTTTTGAAAAAAACTACAACTTAATTGACATAAAAGAAAGTTCTCAGAAGTTACTATACTATTTAAATCTAATATTGCTTGTTGCAGGTGAATTAATCATTCAAATTCTTAATATTGGCGTTTAAAATTTAAAAAAAGATTTGGCTGTGTATTGTTAACGACACCACTGGGGTGTAGTTTCAATTTTGTTACAACACCATCGTTATGAAGTTCTAACACAAAACTTGTGCATTTATTGACATCAATTATTTTTGTTTCGTAAGATTACGACCGTGACCATTTTTAAAAGGCTTTTTCAAAAGTTGCCTTAAAGATAGCAGATAAAGTGAAACAAAATATGGTGAAAAACATGAATAATTATTGTATAATATCGGATCATAGTTTATAAATTCATTAATTAGTTTTTTGTTGTATTGCATACAATTATTATGTTTTACGAATCCCTTATGAACTCGACCAATTTCAACATTAATATTAAAAGTTAACACGTAACAATATGTTTTATTTCCCGTTATACATCACTAGACAGCGGTGGTGACATTACCAAAAAAATTATGTAAACAACACCCCAGTGGTGTGGTTCAGTGGTATCATTTATAATACATGCTTTTGGCGCATACCACATTTTAATTTATAGAAGATAAATCTTGCATTTTATAGCCCTGAAGGTCGATTCCCGTAATCAAAATTCGTTCAAAATGTTCTTCCGATGTACTCTCTCACAAATATATTTTTTTCTTTTATTAAAAAGTCAACTCCTGCATTAGGAACATATCCTGTGTCGCGGGGGACTTTACAAACATACATGAAACGGACACACACCCAGACTCAGAACAATAATTTGTGGATCACACAAAGTGTCGGCGTAGTAGGAAGCGGCGTGGTGACCGCTTAAACCACTACACCATCCGTGCAGTCCAAATCTCCAAATCTCCCAAAAGGTATTCTGTGTTTGTAAGTGAATTATCGTCTAGGTTTGTTTAACCCATCAAGCTTCTTCGAGGCTAATTTGGCATTATTCTTTCAGTGACCTCGAAACTGATCCTTAAATAAATTACCTTTTGAAATAGTGTCGATGATTTTAATTCTCCTTCATAATGATGAATTGTAATAAACTTTTCATTTCTTAGTTTTTCACACTTAGTGTTGGTATTTCTTAATTTTTCAAATTTGAATGGTAGATCTGTATTACGGAAATTACACTCATTACATTAACGAGATAATACCCTCACAGTAAAAACTTTAAAACCACAACAGCTCATTGAGACTGCTCTAATAAGCCCAAACATGGTAAATATGCTATAATTTTCTGAGTAGTTGGCTATCCTGCAGACTACTTGATGCAGCAGCAAGTTACAGGGATGGAACTTGCTGTTGCATGTAAATACATGGAAATACCATCTAAGTAACAGCTTGCTGTACATGGAAATACCATCAAAGTAACAGTATTTCAAATTTCAGATCAGTCGGACCTGTGGATTTTAGTGAGATCACCTAAGAAGTGATACACAGATACAAAGGTTAAACTTATAACACCTCTCGTTTTCCGTCGGGGGTTAAAAATAGAGAAGTTTATAAATACAGAATATAAATCCTGATGTGGTAGGTTCGTTTAGTTCGCAAGTAACCACTAATCGTTTTAGAAGTATCGAAACCAGTTTCTCTATTAAATAAAAACCAGCTTTATGGTCAAATAAATATTTTATTTCTTCTGATTAGTTTGTTATAATCCGTATCGCTACATCATTAGACAGTTTTGACCTAACTGACAAATAAAAGTGGGATTTTTAGAAAATATCAATTTAATTGGTCGTTAAAAAAACTCTAAGCTTTACTGATATTGCAATTAATGGTTACAGCTACAATATCGAGTTGAAAGTACTTAGGTAAAAATTAATTGGACAACAATACTTTAAGGTGTATCCCCACTATGGTGAAGCCTTAAACCTTAAACTTAAGAAGGAGAATAGGTTAAAGTTATTTTTATAAGTTTTTTTAGAAAAACCTTTGATTACTAAGCGAAAATAACAAAAGAATTTAAAAGATTTATTCCAAATTTAAATGACTTATAACTTTTGTTGCAAGACTTTAAATGAGTCCGAAGTTTAGAAAACAACCAACAAGCTGTAACTCAATAATCACTAATCTATGAAGAGTCTTGTAATTATTAATAAATAGGTCTTATTGTACTTTAACCCCATATTCAAACTACATTTATTTACGTCATAAAGATGTGTAACAGAGCGACAGACACATGTACGAGTAATGGTCCTATTACGTCAACATGAAAAACTTCAGGCAGTGGAATGTCACCCTAAATAATAACCCATTTTAGAGTAACCAATAAGAACAAAATTGTCTAATGTGCTTAGGATTTGAAAGGTTATAGGTGTATAGTTCGGAACATCATCATCATCATCAACAGTCTTTATAAGTCAACTGTTGAACTGAGGGAGGTTTTGGCCTACTATCCCACTAGTCTCCCACTGGTCAGACGTGTTGGCATAAGGCTTCTTTCTCTTTGCAGTGTTGTTGTCCTGCGTAGTTTGATTAGTCTGCTCTCACGCTACCCACGAGATGAATAGGGGTGGAGACACTCCGTTTTCTTAATCTGTCATCACCCAGATAATGGGTAGGATACCTGTAACTCAAGCCGCCTAGGCCATTCCTTATTGATTTTTAGGTGTATTATTGCAACATAGGTATATAGTTAAAGACTTAAAAATAGAGACCATTAAAGCAGGTTATGACAAATATGGGATACAGTGTGGATCCATCTTTATCGAAGCATAGTTTTCACACGTCCGTTTAGCCAGCGACAAAGAATAAAGATGCACTAACGAGCCATACATCAAATTAATTTGATTTTAGAATCAATGGAAAACTAAA